GCCAATTAGCCCTCTCAGAAGGTCAACAGTTATTAAACCTAACTAGGTTTTCATCTCTTCTTTCCAAACTCTAATGAAGGCCGTTAAGAACACGGCAGTTCAGTGGCAAAGTGACATTCCAACTAAAATAACCTCCTATGAGTATTCCATATTGTCATTATATTACAATATCTTTGGGAGTCATGTATTCCTAGTGCTAACGACCCCAGCATCTTCGAATTTAGATCATGCGACTGCCATCCGAAGGGCACATAGCCAATGAAAAGTATGGTGTAAAGTCCTGCTATTCTCAAAATGTACTTATGGTCGTCTGCAAGAGAACTTATCTGGTTATCTAGGAACTTGTATCGTGCAAGGTGATCCAAGGAACCCTCAGCCCACCACATATCAAGTCTAAGACATCTCATAATTTACTCCTCTCTAATCTGAGAACTTCGTTGGTTGTGGGAACCGTTTTGCTTGTTCTGGTGAAATAGGATCTAGCTTTTGGAAGCTACTGATCAGTCGGCCGCTTCGGCCCAGCATATCACCGCGGAACTCGGGGTCATCTTGTTGTTCCAATCCACGTAGGATTGCAGCCAAAATTGAACGATTGATATCTCGTTGCCTGCTCGCGAAGTCGATGATCGCTGCTGGAATTCCCTAAAATATTATTATGATGTTCATGGACCAAATGTGTCACATCTGCAACCAGCTGCCTCGCTATGCTGACTTTTGCATTTCGTTTCCTTGATAGTGCGCTAGCATATTCGTAACCCTGAAGTTTTCTTTCTACGTGCCTTACTAACCAGTTCAAACATGTCCTATTTACAGATAGCATAAGATGTTCGGCCGTCTTTCTCTGGAACTGACATGACGCCCAAAATGTGCACTCCTCAACTAGCATATCAGCACACGAATACGTCACAGCAGGAAATTACGATGTTGGTTGGACTAATTGAATTAATCGAAACTGATCTTGTCAACTGTAGGTAGCTTGAATTTGGCCCGGTCGCTCCTAGCTTTGGGACTGTGATGAAGTAGCTTGATTCAGGCTTCTTTCTTGTTGAACTCGTCCTCGTGCTGCTTTTGCTTTAGCAGCTTACTACGTTCGAGCTTTATCTCATTATCTTTGTTCCTGATCTAGCAGGTCTGTCGATCGTCTCAACCTAAACTTTAGTATTTCAGTGATGGATGTAATTGAAATAATGTTTTATATACAACAACCAAGAAGACATAGACGAGTAGAGCACAACAATGAATCAGGCGACAAGATTAATAAGATCCGCGGATCCCTTTAGAACTTCGTATCCGGTAAGTTAGTGGAAATGTGGAAACAGATCCGTTGGGAGGGTGGCACACGCTACCAACGGAGGTGTCTGCTATAATTTTCCACCATACCCAATACGAGCTGGAGCTTCTTTGCTGTCCTGACTCGAAATTCATCCTCTGAGCAACTCAATCAAGAAGCGAGTCTGGATGACAGGTTAGCCATGAACCCATTTCATGGCACTCGTAATAAGTACTTTGCAACTACTACGTAGTGTATGCGTCACCGCGTGGTAGAGTTGAAAAGCGTCTTTTTCAGCTGTCAAAATCTGCGCTGAGCTCAACCCACCGCTCGGAATCTAGGGTAATGCCGCTGTCGCTTGCCCTAGTCTCATCTGGACTGGGTGGGCGGCACTCAGCCCTGGCTCATACTATTGACAGCCTGGTATCTGCCTTAACAAGCTGCCTTAACACAATGCGCTGATAGGAATTGAACCCATTTCATTTTCATCCCCTCACTACTTCAGCCTTCTTGGTCCATTAAGCCTCAACCTTATAGGCGCTAAGTGGCCTGATTTTTGGAAAGTCTAACTCAGACAGGTAGAGGCTCCGCAAGACGGAGCAAATCTCAAACTAGTTACTCCCTACTTGGACAGCAATGAATCCATGCTCTCAGGATGTCAATTCTGTCAGAGAAACACTAATGGGAAAATCGTACGTTCATCGAAGTTTATAGCAATGACAGTCTCCATGCCCAGTATAGAAGTTCTGTGAAAAAGTGTCGTCTTGACATCTCCTTCCACTCTGGCCTCAAGCGCCTCCAGAATCAAAGACAGCCTTACCCGCGGTTCATCGAATTGTCCAGCCTCCATTGCCCGAATTATTGGAGGCTAGAAGGGACGAGCGGCGAACTCATTTTCCCTTAAGGACGATCAAATCGTCGACCGCTGATCAAAACCGCTCTGCAAGTGGGAATTCGTCAAGCTTCGATAGGCATGGAGATGGTGTCTCCCGAGCCTGGACGGGTTCCATGTGCCATTTCCAAGCAACTCACAGGATATATACTCACCTGTGAGGAAATGGAGGCATACCTCAAAAAAGAATTTTCCAGCTATGAGAACTACGACTTCGATATCAAGGTAACCTCAAATTTTCTAATTTACCCTTCCTTCGCCATGTTCTAATGGACTTTGCAGACAAGGTCTAACCGACTGTGTTTCTACGCTCCACGGAAAGTGACACAGGTAGGCTTGCTTAGACCATTGTTTCTACCGCTTGGCAGCTAACAATATCCTGGTAGCCAGAAATTAGGTGAATTCCATGCAGACTTAGTCAAATACATTTGTGACTGTCTAACCATACTTCTAGCCGATACGCTAGTAAGCTGCAGCGGGCAAGAAACGCTACAGAGCAAGCGGCTGCTGATGACGGTGGAGTTACAGTCTGATCGTTGTGAGCTACACACAGGCTGCAGGCGGCAGAGTCGAGAATCTTGGGGGTGAGAGGCAGCATTTAGGAAGGATATTGTGATCACCTTACAAGTGGGATTATGCTAGCAATTAGTATGACTGTATAGCACTAATCCTGAGAGGAACTAGTCAAAATTAGTCTCGTTTCAAAACTACTACGTAGCAGGGATTGTAAGGAGGCTGCAATAACGCCATCTACCAATCAGCACAGGAATAAAGCATTCGTGGCTTGGAAAGTAATGTACTAGTACGTAGTATGCATTGTTCCAGCATAGCCCCGAGGTCCACATTGTACGTAGTAGTACTACTACGGTGTCGGGCAGAAGTAATGTTAGCACAGTGCTAGCAACGCCATGTAAAGATACAGCGCCACGTACTTGCCTCTTGCCGTAGTGAGTATAGGGTGCCCAGAAATCGCTGAATTAGGACTAGTTTCCTTGAATGTCTCAATATCGAGTGTGCATTCCTTTGGTATCTATAACTGTTCGACGTCTTGTGTGTAGAAACAGAGAGAAACTCTGCGCATCTCATAGAACTGCGCAGAATAGCAGTAGGGGTATGGTACAAGGGCGGCAGGAGTATCTGTATCAAGAGCGTTAGAAGTGGCGAATACTAGCGCACGAGCTAACATTACTTCTGCCCGACCCCGTAGTAGTATACGATCTACTAAGAGTGGGGTGCGGCTCGGTCTTCTGATCCACGTCCCTTTCCTGCAGCTGAAGATCACGCCGGAAGAAATCAGCCTAGCTAAATCGCCGCGGCCTAGGGAGGCGAAAGATCGTTACATCTCCGAAGAGGAGCAGAGGATAAGATCTATACCAAGTCATGTTAAAAGACATTCGATCAGAGCATTTTTCCACCGGAAAAATGTGACCTCTCAATGGCAGCATCCCGGCCTTATCAACCTCCGACTCCTGACCCTGCAGTCTTCGCCGGCTGGGAGCAGTACCCAGCTAACCTACAGAACTACGATCCAGTACAAACCCGAGGTATCCAATTGAATCGCCAAATCACGAACGTTGCTAGCGACTTATTTGACCAATATATCAGAGTGCGAGTCATCGACATAGTTGAACAAGGAGGTGCGCTCAACCTTGGGGATAAGTTGGGCAAGGAATGGGGTTTGCTAACACAGCTACCTGATGGCTAGGTGCTTTGACTTGCAGGCGAGATGTTTATACCGATGCAGCTGCATTGAGGGGCGTCATCTCACCGAAAGCGAACCCACGAATCAGAATTATGTGGGTTGTCACAATGTGAACCCATTTTACTAAGCTACAAACTGATGATATTCGTAGATCTATAAACCAGAGTGGTTCCATCACTCCCCTGCAAATCACGAAAGAGTTGATGCTCCAAATATTGACACGATATCAAGTGTTGCCGGAGTTCCTAGAGGTCCTACTCTCGTTTGGGTCCATCCCTCATGTTGCAGAAGCTGGCAACAGCAACTTAGCAGTTGTTGAATCTGACGGCGGAACGAAACGTAGGCTGAATCTGATCTATATGATGCCGCGAGACTGACAGTTCATTAGATACCTCATACCAGTTTAGATACGCTGAAGAGAATCACACTCCGCTAAAGCCACCTTGGTCGATCCGCCAAACGGGCGTCTACCACCAGCACAATACTCAATTCGACCTCTGGATTTTGCTGAATCCAGTCGGAGGCAGTTCTCTTGAAAGGCAGCTGGAAGCACTCGAGAGATTTCAGAGTTCCGAAACATTGAAAAAGATCACTCGTAACCCATTCCGACTGCATCATCTAGTGTTTGATGCATATATCCGTAATTGGCGTTGGCATATTCGATATCTTGGGGAGAAGTTTGAAGAGAAGGTGAGTCAAAAGAAGTGAATAGGGTGGGCTCCGCTTACCTAATAAAGAGTGATCTGGCATTCGTCTTCGATCCGAACCTAGCATCATATGCTGTCGTGAGTTTTGACGCGGTCCAAGTGCTGAGAGACCTACACGATGACGTTATGGCCTTAAGCGCACATTGCAACGGAGATTTGAAAGTTATTAGGGTTTTGAGGAGGCAACAGATGATCAAAGCAGATATCCTGTCGCTAGAAACATTCTCGACATTACTTGAAGGATACAATGAAAGCTTGAAGGTTTTGCAGAACCGAGTTCAGAATACTGTTGAACTGGTATGTGTTGCCGACATACAAACCCGTACCAGGACCCACGTAATACAATATTAACCACCTTTCAGATTGCGTACGCGCTTGACACCAAAAAGCAAGATGCAGCAGCCAAACTCAATGAGCATATAGCAGGTTTGACAACAGAGACAATGGACGATAATGCCACGGTGAAATTAATAACAGTATTCTCGTTGATCTACCTGCCCGGCAGCTTTGTAGGAGTAAGCGCAATATTTTCTCTTTTTATGAATCGAGGGCTGACCTTCGTCATAGACATTTTATGGAATGAATTTCTTTGGATATAACAGCAAAACCCGAAGAATCGAGATTGGGAAAAACTTCTGGATTTATGTTATGACATGGATTGGACTAACACTGGTTACGATAATCTTTTATCGATTACTCCGGATGAGGCACGATGCCCAGAAGAGGAAGACCCATCGTTTGCCATTGGTGTCCACGAAATGGGCATCTGAACCATAAGAAGCTTGGCAATTTTACGTCTCAAATATATCATCACGAGGATCAAAAGGCTTCGGTTTGAGACTCTCTCAAGTTATCACGAAGGTCAGAGCCTTGCAGAGGCCCAATTAATGATATTCTTGGGAGGTTCTGCTGATGTGTTGAATTTCAACTTCTCTCTCTTTCAAAGAGCAAAGAACAATCGTGTCTTCATGTTCCAGCGCGGCGATCAAAGTTTTCTCCTGGAAATCGCTCAGTAGCTTCCCGAAAGGAATTGACTCGGATCGTATCCTGCGGTAGTTCCCAGGATTCCCTCTCAGGGGATACTCTAATGCTTGGGGTTCTACATTTTTAGATAGCATCACTCTTTCGGACATCTTGGTCCTGGTTCGAACAAGACAAACCAGACTCTCATCATGGAGTATAACGGCTTGCTTTCCCTGCTGTATTTTTATTTTTTCGCACTTTTCCGGCTCCACAGTCTCTCGGACAATGAAAAACGTGTTGTCGTTGATCTTTCGGATGATACATGCTGGTTCTGAGCGGAAAGGAAATAAGTCGAACTTCGCTATGGAGAGGTCTCCCTAAGTAGGTGTTAGTAAAGCTCTTCGACCCCAGTTCTGGGTTTTGTGTACATGTCTGTATGTGCCGCGCTTAACATGTAGAACGAGGCGTCCATCCAGTGAAGACACCATTTGCCCAAAGTAACAGAGGTGAGGCTTATCCTTGGTCCGTGGGGTTGCCCATACAGACAACCATTCCCCGTCAGAACCGAAATTTGCGTTGTCCTTCATAATGGAGTAGTTGCTCTCCACCGTCAAGATCGGTGTCGCTCGAGTCCTTCAAATTGACCTATCAGCTGAGAGACCAAATTCTGGCTAAAATACTATCATACTGCACGTGAAGGAGATGTACAGAATTGGCTGCTACAAATCCAAAGAGACCCTTCTTTGAGACCAGTACACCAGAAATGTCCTTCGCGCATATCGTACTTGGGAGATCGACCTCTCGTGAGGAGCTGAGATCGTACAAGAAGATCTGCCTACGTATTCAGCGATCTTCTCCATAGACACGTTCCACGTTGCAGGCCAGAGAATATTGGAAAGAGGTGGTTTTATACATACTGACTTCTCCGTTGTCCCTTTTTTTATGCCGTACATCGCCAAGTAAAAGCCTGAAATTCGCACACCCTTCCAACGAACGTCAGAGGGAATCACGAACGAAGCCCATTCTAATCCATCAGCAACATAGCAGACGCGAACGCAATGATGATATATGAAACAAGCAAATTTTCCATCCGGAGACAAAGAATATAATTCGATTCCTAGCCGAGGAACGTAACACACATGCTTTGACGGAGACGATGTGCTTCTCGGGAGCCAGTTCACAGAAGAGTGTCGAGAAGAGGGACTCGGGAATGGAGGGTAATACCGCGGTGTTCCGATCTCTGAAGAATGGCGATCTTGACTTGCTTCCGAAGTACGATCGGAGAGACTTGGTGGGCTCTGATGAATGTGATCCTGCTCGTTTGAAGTTCTTGGCTCGTCTACCCGGATTCCTGCCACGTTGGAAAGGGTGACGACCCCATTACTCTCTATTGAAGAAGTGTGACTGTGTATCATTCGACCAAGACGGGTTGGGATGGGCGTAGTTGGCTCCAAGGAGCGAGGTAGTGTTAACGTAGGGGCGGATGGGAATGGCTTCGAAAGCTCCTCAGTTGATATAGACATGTCCGGAGAGTCGTCCAATTCCCGTATACGTACACCTATTTCGAGGTTTGACGTGCAATTGGTGAATGACGAGGGAGCTGCTCGCTCTCCCTCACTCATGGGTAGAGGGAGTGGGTTTTCGACCTTGTGGTATATGGACCGCAGTTTAGCATTAGCCTGCTTGGCGGAGAGTCGTTCTTTTGGTTCAATCCGAAGCATCTGTGCAACGAGGTCGGCACATTGTCTTAGCCAATGAGCCTCTGTCTGGTGCTTCTCAGCTTGCCTATATAACCATGTTTCCACCTCTTTGTTGGCAGATAAATACAAAGTGATTTCCGAGGGTTTCAGATCATTCTCAATTCCTTTCTTCACTCCCTTTTTCTCGAGGTAGAAATAATCGTTCTTCTGCCCTCGAGCTCTTTCTTCCCGGAACTCATCGCACAACTTAGCTCCGCCCAGAGCAAACGTCAGGACTACCATCAGAACGCATGCAAAGGACCACATGTCACTTTTACGACCAACATGCCTTGATCCCGATCGGTGAGCTTCTGGTGGTTGATAAGTTCCCTCCTGCTTAACCTGGGCGTTTATAGTTTGAGTCTTGGGGGTCGTGAGTTTGATGCCTAGGTCTCCCACTGTTCTCACCCCGGGATCCACCTCTTTCTCGGCATCATCATCCTCTAGGTTGAGCTTTTTGAATACAGATATGCCGAAGTCAGTTATCATCCATCTTCCAACCTGGCTATTAGTATCTTCGTCAATGAGGATATTCTCTGGCTTGAAATCCATGTGAGCACAGCAAAGCCCTGGTCGATCCTTGACTGTCAGCTGCTCGTGAAGCCAGAGCAAGGCGTCGACAAGTTTCCACATCTCCCAAAGAACGCTTGCAAAACGGTCTTTGCCAGTGTATCTGGGAAAAACTTGCTCAAAGTCGTAGACCTTCTCTTCATTAGCTGTACCATTGCCTCTGTCATAACCCTCGTTAAGGAAGATCTCAAGGTTGTGATGTTTAGCAACCGGGAAAAGGATGCTGAAAGATTTCCCATGAATGATCGTCGCCAGATGTAACATTACGGTCTTACTTCTCTGTGAGAGGCTTTCCTTGAGTACTTGAAGGTTGTCGACCTCCTTTTTGAAATTCTCCTCGCTCTGATTGAACTCAAAGCGTTTGCAGGCAAGCTCTTTCTCCTACGGACTTGTTAGGACAGTCCAGAATTCACAACAAGAGCTCACCTGTTGATTGGTATAGCCGCCAACATCTTCGAGATGGAACCGGGAGACTTTGACCTTATGCACCTTCCCAAACCCGCCGCAGCCTAGAATGACTTCGTCTTCTATAAAAGGCAACCGCGCTAAGGCATCCACCGTCTGATGGTAGGTCTCCTTGCGGAGTTTGATAACGAAAGGCTTGAATTGCCACTGCGTATCGTAGAATATCTGTTGAGAGGCTCCAAGGAACGCCAAGGCGTTACTGGTTGGGTAGGGGATTCGGTCGTCCGTCCGTCGGCCTCCTTCTCCATTGAAATCGAAAAACACGGACCGGAAGTCTTCCGTATGGGACCAGTCAATAAGCACCAAAATCGAGATGGTGAGGATATAGTATTCTCGGATTTCCCCAAGTTCTTCATGGGTCCAGGGTGAGGACGAGGGGAAAATGGCTCTTATGTCGTCCGCTTCCCAAACGTTCTTCACATCATCTTTGCAAATAAATTCCTTGCCAGGCTTCTGGTTCTTCTTAGCTTTCTTTATCCTATTCTGTATCCTGATCTTTGCTTTCTCCATTGAGTCCTCCGGCACCTGAATGTGAGATGCAGGTCGCGCCATAGTACCAAGACGCCGCCTTCATGGAGAATCGTGCTTCTGCACCCAGCGGTTAGTGAACTCTGCCTACTACAATGATGGAATACTGTATGGAGACTTACCTCCTTGAGACGTTACCTCAAGCCCTCACCCCGCATATTCAGTCAAGGGAAAGGAGCGCCACAGCTGCCCTATTACTCCCAAGGTGTCGCAGACCGCGATGCTGATGGAGCTCAATTGCCAACCTCGATCTCAGTGCGCCCCGTCATAGACTAAAAGATGCTGAAGCTTCTCGGAGCAAAGTTGCTCTTAGCATGAAATCCTGAGAAGGCTGTACTAGTGATGCCAAAGAGGAGGAAAGTCACTCATCAGGTTGGCAGGAGTGTTGATGGGATGATATGATCGGAGACGGCCCGAAGGCTCTCAGGCCACGACTCTCAGCTTATTCGCTTGCTCCACCTTGCCTGAGAACCCGGACAATCGCCCGAAGGAATTGGCATCTCAAGGTGCTGTTGCTAGGGTTAAGATAGCCTCTTACAGAAAGACTAAGGCAGGCTTTCCTAGCATCCCTTGAATTACAGAGATCTAAACTCTGATACAGTACTACATCCTAGTCATCGATACATTAAATACCTACTCTCTCATCTTTACTTGGCATCACTCTGGGGGCATGTGCAGGCCGGCCGCCATGAATACTAGCACACATTGAAGAGGTTGTAGAATGTACATCGATCTAGAGGAATTATGTTCGCGATGTCACAGCATTTGAGACAGATGTCCCGTCTTGACTGTAGTAGCTGCAAGACGATCTCCATTGATTAGAACCACATCCTTCGGGGAGCTCAACCGTGGGCTGCCTCCTTCAAGGACGCCCGAAGAACCTAGAAAACCATTGATGTGATGTGTCAGTTTGAGAACCCAACTTTGTGAATTCGAGGCGCCTAAATGTTTCAGAGAGCTCGGTAAAATCGTCGTCAAGCTTAACGAACCACCTACGCTGGTGCTCGTGTTTGCCCCCGAAAACTATTTTGCGGATGATCCAAAGCGCGAGCAAAATTATTGGCTATCAGGATCGGCACTTCAGTCAAGGTCTGCGATATCAGGATGACGGGTTAATAAACAGCTTACCGATGCATAGGCGCTTGCGACCTTTCGGAATCTTATTACTCCATTCCACCACATTGCAGAGCTGAAAACAAACACCACGAGGAGGCAGCCCGCTAGGCCAGCCCAAGCCACAACTGGTTGGAAGTATCCTAAGAAGGTAGAGGACTCTCTGACGGTACGATCCCACCGATTATATCTCCCGTAATGTGCACCATGGAGCGAGTCTTTATGCATTCTCAACCTGACGCCTCTTTAGAATAGACAACGAGTTTCTGCTGGACTACCACTCACCAGTATTCATAACGAATAAATGCCAGACACAATGATGCCCAAACTATCAGGCCGCTGACACTCCCTGAGACGGCCATGATTTCCACGAGCTATTGTTTCACGTTAGTGGGCGCTTAAAGTTGTCTTGTTGAGTGCTCAGTCAACAATTCCGGCACTTACCTCCTGAGCAGCATATCCTGACTTTAATTGAAGAAAAGGAAGCCAGAAAAAGGCTATCGCGGACACGAGCAGTGCCCATCCAGGAACCCCTGTTCTAGGTACTACAGTACCCAAGTGTCTAAGCCAAGATAGAGGCCAAGTGTCCGGTTGCATTTCCCTGGTCATTCCGTAGAGTACCCTTGAGGCAACGTACAAAGAAGTGTTTGCGGCGCTCATGGCAGAGAAAATCATACACCCGGTAAGAAAGCCTGGGGCATGCTTATACCCAGCACGCTCGGCCGCAATGACAACAACGGCTCTGGAGCGGGCCTTGATTTTGACGGTTGCCGCCCCGTTTACATTTGACGCGCCGTAAATCACTGGGAGATCTGGATCATTCCATTCAACATCTAAAGCCTCGCCAAGTGCACAAAAAAGGTATGAAAAACAAATGATGTACGCCACCAATTGAGATGGGCGACGAAGATCTTTCATGTCACGAGCCTCATACGCCGTCATTGCTACTATCTCAATAGCTAAGAACCCGTATGAGATAATGAATATTGCGTATCTGTCAATGTCAATCCTACCACACAGAAATGGGTTACGACGACTTACGCGACAGCTTGTGAGTGGTTCGATGCATATCTAGGGTTGTTCTGTAAGCCGGCTTCAAAGTCTGGATGTCTAAGTCAACCTGAAATCGTTTAAAGGATCTGTTCAAGAAGCGCACATTTGCTACCGAAATTTTCTGCCACAGGTTGAGTCATCCGCTTTGTTAGAGAAACCTTTGAGGCTTACCTTGGTCAGCAGTGACATATAAGAAGACACCGCAACCCAGAACCATACACAGTTTCAATGAGCCTCCAAAGGCCTCCACATAGCCATACCACTAGCTATTTTTCAGCGTCGTTTTGGCAACGTGTCCGTGTTAAGAAGACAATACCTTGACTCCAGCGAAGTTAATCACTAGGATAACTATAGGTGAAAGAATGTAGAAGACGATAGTCTGCCAGCTTTGAGGGAAATTCCAGTATGATGAAAACCCGGCCGCCGCAATAATTTGTGTGGCAAAGATCGCTGAGTAAGTGTACCTGTACCAATGAAGGATCAGATTAGAGGTCTTTACCAAATGCGGAGTAAGAGTCTACCAGTATGCAACCCCGACAACCCAAGCCAGATCAGCATCTACAAAGGCTTTCACGTATTCAACGATAGCATTCGGAGCCGGGAAAAGCTGGACCATTTCACTGACTCCTTCCATCACGGCGATCGCGATGAGACCGACAATGCAGTAGGCACACAACATCCCACCAGGTCCTGCAATCTCGAGGGCTTGTCCACCATTAGAGAATATAGTGACACCGATCACACCGCTCATCGTAATGAGCTACAAGTGTTAGGAGTCGGTCCAGAGTAATAAAAGGGTGCAGCGACTTACCAAAATCTGCCAGCCTCGTAACTCCTGTCTTTTACGTGGGTGAGCTCACCACATCTTACCAGGACAAGAAGAAAAGAAAGAACAATCGTGCAAAACTTACCTTAGACCAACTTCTGCCATATTTTGAGAAGGGGGACAGTTAAACAATCTGAGTCGAGGAATACAACAATGAAGAGCAGCAGATTTTCCGCAAAGCTGTGGCATCGACCGCCTGGCATGTCGCTGCATGATATAGGCCTTGGTCGTAAGGCGCAGACTTGGCCAGGGGACGAAATGGATCTTCTAATTGGGCTTTCAGACGAGCATGAGAAGATAATTCCCAGCGCCTCCTCAAAATTCGTCACGCTATCTTACCACATGAGTCCGGCCCAATGCAGCGGTGCGGGCTTCAGCCCATATGGGGCAGAGGCAGGGGGTTTGGAACGGCCATTCGCGAGGCTGCCAATAGGAAGATGGCCTGGAAGTACTATGTAGTTTTCAGCTTTTGGGGCAGATCGTTGCCTCGTATTGAGCATGAGAAGCCCACTACGTAAGCTGGTGATTCAGTGGTGATGGAATCGAAACAGACCACTGGGAGAAGAGGGGCACATCAACCACTCCACCAAAAGGACAGCGCTTTTGGGTTTCGAACCACACATAGTTGATGTATCCTTACTGACTCTTGGTGCTCGCGGGACTGAGAAAAGGTCATTTTGTCAATTTCAAAACGCAGAAAGTATCTTTCAGGATGATGATGACTGTCATAGGCAGGAGTGATCTGGCCACTAGGGCTAGTCCTGATTGGGCATAGAGCTGTTACCCTGCTACTTCTACTTCTCTTTCTTTCTTCGAGGCCTATCCTCTACCAAGTACTACCAGCAGATAGACCATCAATACGAACAGTTGCAGCTAGGCATTACGTCCTTGAGCCCTCAGTCCTATTGCAGGCCTGACAATGACGAAGCCTTTCTTTGGTCTTGTACTTACTGTAAGTATCTTTGCTTTGATATGATTCTTCTGCCTCACCTGCGTTCCAAGACACAAGCTTGAGACTTGGTTTGGCACATATGCCCTGATTACTACCTATACAGCACACTTTCATGCTTTAGAACCTAACATCTGACTTACCTATCATGAATTTAGCCATCATACATCACACTGATTGCAGCCTGACGAACACTACTGAGGGGGTCAAAGCCAACATGGCGAGGGTGGAAGTAGTTCTAATATTAACGTCTATTCTCTTATCTCGGAACTGTACTCTAATTAAGTTAAACAGGACTATAAAGTGTCAGTAAGAACACATCAATCAAGATCAAGTGTGGTTTGGAACCCATTAGCGCTGTCATCTTGATTAGATTTGTAGTGTTGTCCTGCCAAGATTTCCCATCCAAATAATGTCAGCCTGCAGGGAGGTCTGGAGTAAAGTATGAGCACCTTTAGGCACAAGCGGAGCGTCTACCAGATCCTGTCCCTCTCTTCTTGCATTTTTCTCTTGGTTGGTCATGCGACAGCATGCTTCTCCTCGACTATCAAAATGTCCTAATTCAGTCTATCCTCACAGAACGATTCGCACCGGGAGCGTCTCCTACCTCGATTGACCAAATAGTCTCCGATTTTGACGGAGTTACCTTTCATATTTCGACGCCGACAGCGAAGACACAGATACTGGTCTCACTCTCCGTGAAGTGCTATCGCGATCTTCTACAGTATGGCGCTGAGTCCGTGTTGCAACGAGAGTATGGCAACTACATCACAAATCCAGAAGCTGGCTACGATTTCAGCATCCTCATAGATCTTGATCAGCTACCAGACAGCGCGGAAGAAAGGGAAGAGCTTGTCAGAAGGATCAGTCTACTCAAGAGAAATGCCATGGCCGCTCCATTCGAAAAAGCATTTGACGAGTTCTCTTCCCTGTCGGAGGAAGCTAGCCACTTCACATCAGAGTCAGCACCCCAAGGAATCCAGGAGGGTGGACAAGTCATGGCTATATACTACCGCGAGGAAGAGGCCATCTACATCAAGGCATCGCATGACCGAGTCACAGTCATCTTCAGCACCATCTTCCGGGACGAAACAGATCGAATATTTGGTAAAGTGTTCTTACAAGAGTTTGTGGATGCCAGACGAAGAGCAATTCAAAATGCCCCACAGGTGTTGTTCCGAAGTGATCCACCGCTGGAGCTGCAAGGCATGCAGGGTGTAGGAAAGACAGGAGAGAAGGGGGAGATTGGCTTTATCACATTCGTGCTTTTCCCGAGGCATTTGTCACCACAAAGAAGAGCAGAGAATATCTCACACATCCAAACATTCAGAGATTACTTCCACTATCATATCAAGGCTTCGAAGGTTGCTCAGATCGGTTCGCTCTTCTTATCCAAACTAACACGGACAGGCATACATTCATTCTCGCATGCGAAGAAGGACTGCCGACTTTCTACAAGGTGAGACCTGTTGGAGAATTCCATTTGAGCAATTACTGACCCCCAAAAGTCCTCAACCGTGCTCGGCCGGAAAACGAGGAGAAAGAGAGGAAGACAGCAAGCGGGAGAACTTTCCGAGTTCAAGGATGATGTGATCTATCTTCAAGTACTCCGTAGTGGCCCTTGCTCCAAGTCCACTGCAAACACCAAACAACAAGTCTCAATGCAGCAGTGAACTCTTTCAATGGTAAACCTGGTGCTGGTCCAACATAAGGCGAAAGATGTCCCTAGATCATCGGGTTCAGCTACTGTTGATTTCCTTGTCAAGCGCCAAGCATTATAGTAAGATTAGCGCTCCTTGCCGGGTGATACCTAACGTAGTACGTCGTAAGTCTATTCTTTTGAAGAATTCAGTTTGGGCTCCATGGCAGGGATTGTGAGGTGCTACGTAACATAGATCTTGGTGGGAGAAAAGGGCGAAAAATGTCTCAAAAATCCGTTCACCGTACTTCAACTTGTGTTGTTAGTCTTGGCATAACAAGGGGGCCTAGTACGACTAGTACCTTGTTCGTATTAAGGAGTAGTAATCACAGCGTTTAATACCACCAATACGGTACGAGTGGAAGATCTATCTGCCTGCTCTCTTCACATTGAACATGAGAGACATTCTTTGAGAATTCGTTACTGGGGGCGTTCTGCCCTATGCTTCAATGATCTTATCATCCTTCATGTCTGGTAATATCAGGCGTATCAGGTGGGCGATTCTTCCTGCGCTGACCATCGCTGCCCTCCTTCTCTACTTTTCACTACCTCCTCTACCCGATTCATTCCCCAAATCCCCCCCCGAAAAGCATTCAGAAACCTGGTCGTCTCCTTCCTCACATCGACCGACTACACATCCAATCACGAGCCTCATACATGATGCGGAAGATGCCTTTTCGCACCTCCTTTCGAAGGAAACCCACGACCTAGCTTCTGCGGCGGAAGCATACAGAAAGGCTAGAGGACGACATCCGCCTCCCGGATTTGATTCGTGGTACGATTTAGCGAAAAGCCACGATGTGATCATGGTGGAAGAGTTCTGGGACCAGATCTATGACGACCTTCGTCCATTTTGGGCTCTTCCAGCCAACCAAATCCGCGCCGATGCTCGTGCTAATAATATGGTGGTCAACATCAAAGGTGGGGAGTCGGAAGCCAACACTGGCTGGTTTTGGCACACTATATGGGCAAAGATGATCGGCACTGTCTCGAAGTACCTTCCAGACATGGTTGTTCCTTGCAACGCCATGGACGAGCCCCGTCTCCTTGTTCCTTGGGAGACCATCAATGACTATATGCAGAAAGAACAACAGTCACGCCGCCTGACAGCCACAGCGGACGCCACTGATGTCTATCATAATTGGCACAAAGACGATGAAGACGAATCAGTGGAAGCAACGAATGCTGACTGGAAAGAGAGCTCCTCAATGTCACTCGTACCTGAGGCCTGTCACCCGGATAGCAATGCTCGGACGTCCGTTGGAGTCAGCGATGGATTTGAGAACGGCACAGTACCCGAACACATGCGCGATGGTTTTGTGGCCAATTACACCCTCTCTACCAGTCTTTGTCATCAACCAGACCTTGCAATGTATCACGGCGCGATCAATCAGCCTCTAACTGCAAGTTGGAGCCAGAAGCTGATTCCCTTATTCGGCGGCTCCAAAATGGGAGTCAACAATGAGATCCTGCTTCCGGCGCCCATGCCATGGAGTGAGGACGAAAGGTTCAACGCAGACGAAGGCACCGGCATCAGTTGGGACACCAAGGAGAAACAGGCGGTATGGCGTGGCACAGCGACAGGAGGTCGCCACCATCCAACGAACTGGCATCAGTTTCACCGACATCGATTTGTTTACCTGACCAACGGAACCAAGCTACGCATCACCGCAGGGGACCCTCATGACAAAATCCTGACTTCCAATTTCATGCACGCCGCCACGTCCCCGCTCGCACGAGCTACCCAAGATCACCTAGCGGAGTATGTATCATACACCAATGATGTCGGCTTCACCGATCTCTTCTGCGACGAGCTTAGCGAGAACGGTTCGTGCTGGTACCTGGACAATGACTATGCTGTCGTCCCCGGGATTCCCATGTCACAGCAATTCAACTACGCATATCTCCCCGATATTGACGGCAACAGCTTTAGCGGCCGATACCGCGCATTCCTCCTGTCGACGAGCTTGCCCATCAAAGCCACAATCTATCGTGAATGGCACGATTCCCGATTGATGGCTTGGAAACATTTCGTACCTATGGATAACCGATTTACGGATTATTATGGAATTCTGGAATACTTCCGTGGCTTTGAAGGGTTAGGTGACAGTGAAGCGGTACCTGGGCACGACGAGGCGGCCAAGAAGATCGCCTCTGATGGAAAGGATTGGGCGGAAAAGGTGCTTCGAAAGGAAGACATGCAAATTTATGTTTTTCGGCTGTTGCTCGAGTATGCCAGGGTGTGTGATGACAATCGGAACAATCTGGGATTCGTGCGAGACCTCAAAAGGGATTGATGAATTATAGAGTGGAGTACTATGGGGGGCGTGATGGCGGACTACTCTTAGTTTCGGAACATGTCTGGTAACAACCCGCTTTGTGCCTCCCTTTTCTTAAGGTGGCCCCGAAGAACAAAGGGAGATCGAGCCTTTTCTCAATATTTGCGTCGTGGGTCCATGTAGAGATGTTCACTCATGCTCCAAACCACCCCTTGCGGAACTCCTGCTGTGCTCAAATAGATGCCGTCCATGACGGCAGGCTCAAATGCGAATATGTCCCCAGCCTCTTCGTTCCCAACGCCGACTCAGCAGTGCACCATGCATCCACATTCTCATCAACGAATCACACCCCCGACCCCGGCCCAGCCCAACACGAACCCGCTCAACCCCTCCGTCAACACACCACCACCAAACCACAAATCCCTCCAGGCCCCACTGGCGCCCTTCTCACTTCCACCTCCTCCCCGCTTCCCATGTAGATCCAACCCTCTATCCCCGTTGCCGGGGAAGTATTTCCCGGGCTGGCCCTCCGCGAGGAGGAAATGGATGAGCAGGGAGACGAGGGAGCTGCCGAGGATGTAGTATGCGAAGCCGTAGAGAGATTCGAGGTTTAGGATTGCGGCGGAGATGCCGAGGAGGAAGGAGGTGAGGGAGCGGAGGTTCGATAGGACCTGGAGTCGAAGGTTGAGTGTTAGGTTGGAATCAGGGGAAGGGGAGAGCGTGGTGGAGATAATGTATTGGGGAAAGGTCAGATAGGGGGAGGGGATGAGAAGAATGGGAGCTTACGCGGGTGTTATGGGCAAGGGAGTCGGGGACGATGGGGTGGAGGAGGAGGGATAACTCTTGTGATGTTGGAGGCATGTCGGACGATAAGGTGTATAGTGTGTTTCAATTAGTAAAGTCGATGCGACGCCAGTGACATGTCTTGGAAGGATGAGAAAGATCCTGCGTCGGATGATGCGCCTCTCTCTCTCGAGATAAGGAATTGCGATGGCTTGACTGTAGACGAAGCGGGCAAAGGTCGGGGAAGCAGAATTACGTGGGAAGCTACGGTACTGTACTACGTATGTACTTAGGTACTACATAGCTTCGTCCAGCCCTACAGCTTTCCCAGACAGTTCGTTCCGCATTTTCTCTGCGCCTGACAATCTGCATACCATTCGTTCTACGGCGCGCACGAGACCAAGTATGGCTCTCTTTTTCGGCCTCGGAGCGTTTGTTAAGCTCTTCTATGGTCAGCCTTATTGGACACCCTCGCATCTACCTGGCTGACAGTGCTCTGGCAGTTATTGTGCTTCTACTGAACGCAGTTTCTATTCTCTCTGAGGACAGATTTCTTGCCAGAAGTGTGTCACGCCTGTCCTTCCGTTTGTGAAGGATACTTGCTCACTCTGCAAAGTTGGCTGGGGTAGGACACAAGCAGATGCCGGCTTCGGTGGACGAGACGATTCGGGGACGAAGGCGAGAACTGTGGATTTGATTGCGAGTGTTAGAACGGTGATGAGGAGTATGGCCTACGACTATGAAGGATTGAAGTGGCAGACCTTGCTAACCCAAGTCGAACGCAGTACCATTGATAGCGATAAATACGATCATCATTTTATACGAACTCGTTCTGGGCTAAGGGAAGACAGGAACTGGCACTATGGATGTTTCACAGCATCTGAGAGGATAGACAAGTGCTCCATCATGTTGCGAAGAGCATCCAAGATCCCAGCAGTGTCGGTCACTGTGAGCCCGATATTATACATGGTGCAGGTGCTCCAGATGGTACTATCTACCCGAAAGAGCTGGGTGGCCTGAAATCGATTTCAAGGTGCCACGCTTCCCGCTCGACCAAGCCATGTTGGCTGTTCTTTGCGATCCAAAAAGTGATGCTTGGATCTATTACAAGTCTCTCCAACGCCCTCGCAATGAATCAACAAGCAAACCCCGATGGCAGCTGCGTTAGGTCTGCTGATTTCGTGATGATGGAGGATATGTGCAATGAAAGCGTGTTTGTTGGGGAGCCTTATGATAACAGGCCGAACGACTTTTTGCGTATACTGAAGCGGTTCTTCTTTTCTTTATCCGGGGCGTGTGGTGAATCAAGCTCGTCTTCTACCACCACGGGCTTGTCCTTCTTACCTAGCGACCCAAACTTGAGACTTTTACTCGTTCGCTTGAACCGGTCAAGGCCACCAAGACTAGCAGATGTATTCTCCTTGCCAGCTGTGTGCGCAGACGGGGGATCATCGGGAGCTGAGATCTGAGGGATTGTTGAAGGAGAGCCATGGTCGGCAGCTTCTGCAGGCTGCATCTCCTTAGGCTTGCTTTCAAGCTCTTTCCGCTTATGCTTCTCAGCCTTTTCTTTCTCTTTTTCTGCCAATTTTTTTTCATCCTTCCCCCTGTCCTTCCGCCAGAGAAAGTCAGCTCTTCTCGGGCTCAGAGGCGATGAAATTGGTGAGGTGAGAGAATTGGCACTGGCTTTCAATGGGGGTAGTTGTGGAAGCGTCAATGCATGCTCAAGGGTCGTGAACTTGCCAGGATCTTCTGATGTAGTCGGCGGACTTATGCTGTGTATTCGTGGTACATCGGCCGTACCGTTCAACTTGACGACGGTCTGTTCTTCCACAGACGCCCGTGGTTTGCCCTCTCTCTCTTGTTCCCTCTGCACTGCTTCCAATGTCGTTTCTTGATAGAATAGAACGTAGGCGCATGCGAGCCCAGGCCGATCGCCAAAGAAATTTCTAACGTAACTCTTGTCCACTGGCTCCACCATTTCATCGTCAAACAACAGCCAGCCTCTATCTTGTGTCTTGATGATGGCGACGTAATGACCGTGATATGGACCACCACCGATGTGTACGACAACGGCATACAGCTCGTATAATTTGTCCGGATCCTCCGCATCATCGGTTGTATTGAATAACCTCAGGTGATATGGGTACACCACCTTGTGAAAAAGCTTCTGTAATCGTTGTAAATCCTCCGTGTACTTGAATCGCTTTAGATGCAGAGCGAGAATCTTTGGTAGTCTCTTCACCTTCATGCGCTTCTCTGCTTCCTGCAAGCCTCCGCAGTTGTCGCAGTGGAATTTGTTCCGTTCACATAGCATTTCCTCTTCTGAGAATCTTCGGAGACATGCCGTCACGGAAGAATGCTGGTCCAAATCAACTGAAAGATCTAAAAAGGCTTCATCTCGCTGGGATATGTTCTCACAGGTCAGACATCGCGTTTCCGAGGTCAGGGTGCCTTCGAAAAGATCGTGTATCCAGTGTTGTGGAGTATGCTCGGTTTTGGGAGGCCAGAACTGAGAAGGCAACGACCCCGAGGATGCATCTTTCTTGAAGACATCACCATTCGCTTCTCCCTTGGTTTCATGTGCCTCTTTCTCGGCTTCGACCTTTTTGGCATTGGCCCCGACACTTTCCATCGCTTGATTAAGTACCCAATTCAAGAATTCGTGCGCGTCCTGATGCATTGCTGTTCGAAACATCTCGTTGTCCCGCCTGAGCACCTCCAAGAATTTAGTTGGGCTAACCACTCCTCTTCGTGATTGAGTGGCAACAATAGCTTCGAAAACGTCCTTCAGCGCAGTATACAGTGTTTCTGGCATATCATACCCGGACGTGTTTTCATAGCTCATGTTCAGTATTGGCCCATTCAGTAAAGCCTGCTTCTTCTTAAATTCGGGAGAGTCCTTGTCCTCCGGCTTTTGTGAGCCCATCGGCGCACCGGGGTTCCGTGCTGAGCCATTCGCTGTTGGTTTGCCGGCGGCGGCGTTTGCTGGTTTGATTGCATTGGATCGAGGTGGAGCGGCTCGTTTCGGATAATTAAGGACCTGCTCTCGAAATGGTACGGAATAGTATAAACACTGTAATATCGAGTTGCAATAACTGAGATGGTCAGCCGCATTCGTACTCCTTTATGATGTGTCTAACCAAGTATTGCCAAACTGCAGGCGCCAGATATTAGCATGGACCATGGTCAGGTGCCTGGATACCATACATTTTCCATCCCGAAGAATTTGTCACTTCCATCGCTTCGTATCGGGCCGGCGTTCATCAACAACTTCTCCAGAGATGTTTGGTTCGAGGCGGCATCTTTCTTGCTGGACACACCGGACGGACTGGATGGGCCCTGCTGGAGAGGTAAGTTGCTATCTCCATTAACGGACTATACTATGTCAAGGCAACACAAATGCGCTGCGAGAGAAGGCAGGATATGTCGAAAGAGACCTGGTACTAACCGACGCGCTCTTTAATTTCCCGATCCAGGAAGCCATGTTGTCAACGAGAGCGGTACGCAAAGAGGACTGAACCACATGAGTGGCGGAAATTTGAGCGAGAAGGTAAGGGTCTGGGTTTTAACACGAAGGATCAAGCCAGGGCGTATCACGGCGGAACTGCGGCCGGTGGATGTATGAATCAAGGTCTAAACTCAAACTCATGAATATAAAAGAACAACGTCCGACAGGGAAAGGTGAAGGCTTCGGCCGTCTAAGGTGGGGTTTCATTTTTGGGGGTTGTGCCTCGTCGGTAGATCGCATAGTACAGCAATTAAGGACGAGGTTAGGTTAGGCTAAACGAAGCGTCAGAGGAATACGGCGCAACACTACGTGGTACGGAGTACGTCTTCAAGTTAAGAGGTATATGGAAGCACAGGGTGATGCAACTACTGCTTTGACCTGTCTCATGGCCCCGTGGCCCCCGGGGGTGCCCTGCCAGCTCCACTCGGTTCCTGACATTTTACAAGTCTCGAATGCTGCACTGCTAAAATTAGTATTTAATTTAGTGGCCTCTCTCATTAGGCAATCAATTAGTGCATATCTGCATTCCGGGTATCACCCACGAGGAAGTGAGGGATACACAATGGACAGCCAGGGTGCATGGTAGGTGTCAACAGCACATGTTTCTCCAGCGGTGCTCATACTGTGCGACTCTGCAATCGCCTCAGCTATGTTCATCTCCTTCAATTATTGGGTAGCTGAGTCCGCTCAGCTACTTGCCAAGTCACAGCGGATCTTTTGCATCATGCAGTGTTTCTCAACCGAGGCTCTGCCAGATATCCATTCTGAAACCAATACCACTCACCTCAACAAAAGTCTTTACAACCCGCTCTCCATTTCTTCCAATCGATGTCAGCACAGACAGCAGAAAGCTGGTTCTCTCCAGATTCCAGCACTCGTCTTTATACGAAGACCTGGACGGTAAGTGCTCTTCCTTGTGCATGACTACGTGTTTCCGGAACTGCTATGTCTGCTAGAGATTTTACTCCGAGGTCTTTTTCTAACTCTCCCCTTAGCCTCCATCTGGAACCGATAGCCGAGCTCGTCTTGCTTTCGTACATGGCTTCTCTGATCACTGCAATGCATATTACAACCTGTTTCCATCTCTAGCCAGCCGCGGCATTATAGTGCATGCCTTCGACCAGCGAGGATGGGGTCGGTCTGTGTTACACAAGTCGCAACGTGGGGATACGGGCCCCACCCGCACAGTGCTTAGTGATATTAGAAGTTTCCTCAACCATATCGCCTCTCTTTCGGAGGCATCCGTCAACGGCCAGAGTTTCGGATCTACACCTCTCTTCCTGATGGGTCATTCTATGGGTGGCGGCGAGGTCCTGCTTTTATCACTCCTTCAATCACAGCAAGATCAAGTACCCCCCATATCTGGGATACTGCTTGAATCTCCTTACATTGCTCTGCACCCATCTGCGCAGCCTAACACCTTCACCATCCAGGCTGGTAAACTTGCTGCGAAGGTTCTGCCAAAACATCAGCGTCTCGAGAAATTGGACGCAAAGAAAGTTTGTCGTGATCCACAGGTGTGTCGAGACTGGGAAGAAGACGAGTTATGTCACGACACTGGCACTTTAGAGGGTCTGACTGAGATGGTACAGCGGGCGGCTGATTTGACAAGCCTAGCTAACGGTCAGGCGGTGCGAGGTCTTGGTCTAAAGACAATGCTCGGCATTCAGCAACCAGGATCGGAGTCCCTCCCGATCTGGATAGGCCATGGCACTGGAGATCTGGTCACCAGCTGCTCATATAGTCAAACTATGTTTGAGAAACTGGACGTCAAAGATAAGACCATCAAGCTTTACGAAGGTGCTTACCACAAGCTGCATGCGGAACCGTACGGTGTGGCGGAAGAATTTGCGAATGATGTTGCAAAGTGGATTCTGGAAAGGACGGATCTTGGAAGACACGAGGCAGGAGACGAAAATGACATCAGACCGAAGCTTTGAGCGAGTGACCTGATCATATGGATGGATTGTGGATTGTGTGAGAGCTGTCCACCTAATTCGATGCAGGGTTGGGACAGAAAATCGAAAAGACATTCAATGGAGGTGGATTCATTAGGAAGCTGTTCGCCGCCAGAGTGCAACAAACCCGCCACCGATGAGTCTCTCCCCCACTCTCGGTCTACAAATCATGACCGGTTCTTTACTTGTTCCGCCCTCTTCAGGGCCAGCTTCTAATAAAGGCAGGCTTGAATCCTCCTCTTGTGGTGTAGTGGTAGACGATATTTCACTCTGTGTATCCGTCTCTTCTTGGAGTGCTTTGTCCTCATCACCTAATCTGCGGTGGATCATACTCGATTCTTCGATTGGATCCCTCGCTCTTTTGGACGCAAGCCTAACATTCCATATTCTTCCATTACTGATCCCTTCTCCCAGCTCTAAAGTCTTCTCCATCCTTAGTGGTAAAGAATTGGCATTGATCTCTTGAACACAGTCACAGATTTGTGTTATGCTCGGCACAAAAACTGCTATAAGCGCATTCTCTTTCATTGCGTCGACCACTTTTCGTAGATATCGGTGGCTGCTCGGCATGTCCAAGAAGACGTAGTTGAGAAAAGACTCCAGTTTCCGCTGACCCAACTGACCGTCAATCCAGTCATCTACGTTGGCGATATAGAAGTCAATATGTGGCGAGTATAATCCGCGACGAAAGCCTGCCACGACCTTGTGCTCTGCGTGCTTCGAATAGACAGGCGAGATCTCAACACTGTGAACAACCGCGCGGCGAGATTGCCGCCAATCATGCCAGACTTGAGCACGCTCTTCGTCGACGGAGGAGCTGCGCTCCAAGAATCCATCGGATGCGCTCTTCCTTGAAGAACCCGGTGCCTGGAGTTCAAGATCAGGGAGCGGTGGATTGGCGGCTTGAATGGCCCGTGCAAGGTGTAAGGTTACGGACCCGTGGCCTGTTCCAGCATCGAGTATCTCCAATGGTTCGTGGCTGTCCTCCACCGAAGTTGGAGGTGCAACGTGTATATCAAAGAGTGATACGATGGAATTAGCGTAACTGCCATAGACCTACTATCATCCAGTCAACGCATGCACTCAGCTAGTACCTTCGAATCCATACCGGCGTCACCTTCCTCCGCACCTTGGAGATGTACGTATCCAGATCAGGGTATTCAATCCGATATTGATATCCCTTGTTGGTCTTGAAAGTCTGGCCTGGGCGTGCTCCAATGATATCATCATGGAGAATGAAGCCATTAGAGAAATCAAGCTTCTCGCCTTCTTGAAGTGGGTTCGAGAGCCTCGGTTTCTTTCCGTCGACGAAGACCCTATCACCAACTAGAATGATGTTTCTTCAGCTTGATTGAGGCAACTCGGACCCATAGAAGCATACCGGCAAAACGTGAGAAGTCAAATCGAGCATTTCGTGAGAGTCGTTGTAGAGGGGCAGTGCTGGTTAACCCCTGTAACGCCTTCACGATCGACTCCATTAAACTCAAGAGAATATCAATGGGGAAATTTGCCCGGAGAAAATGTTCCTACCGTACTGACTAACAGTAGATTTCTGGTACAGGGAACCCGGTTAAACTTCGGCCAACTCAGATGACCATCAATCTCCATGCCTGAGCTTTGGACTCGATATCTATCGGTAGGCAGTTCGTGTCGCGCGCTCCTTTCTGCCACACTTTGCAGTTCCTCATTTGGTTGCTGTGGCGTCAATGGGTGCAGTCTGTTGGTACTGTACCAGCATGAGATACGGTGGCAGGCCTGTCCTGGAAACACTCCTTGTTCGGGGTATTCGGCACTTATAATGACGAGAAGAATCGTCAGCGCCCTGGATCTACGTACGATCGGATTCCAGCTGACTTCAGATAGGTCCGTACAAGCCTTCAGCTTGGAAGTGTCCTTTTCATCGTTCTCTGCGTCCTGCTTCTCCTAGACAACAAAATCAGGCTCTTGCCGAGTGCGATCCATAACCGACTACCGGCCCATCATCCTGGCTTAGTTGTTACCGATGTCGCAATCACGACCTGCTCATCGCTAAATATATTCGGTAGCTGCAAGCTGGACGAAACGAAATGGCATCGCATAGAGAAGGATCTCTATCTTGGTAGTGGATTGCTCTCGAAAGCATATCTCCATATTGAGCGCAAAAAGGAAGAAGATCTAGAAGCGAACGACGCCGTCGTTATTGATCTGAAGATCAGTCGCCTCAAACCTGCCAATGCTCAAGAAGCGCAAGGGAAGGAGAGCTGGGAGTCAAGACGAGGAGGCGTCTGGATTAAGAGGTCTACAAAACGGCATGGTAGCGACTCCAGCAAGACGATCACTGGTGTGGATGTGTTGTTCGGATCTGATGCGGTGGATCCCCGGCCAGGGTGGCAGGTCCAGGAAATTGCCCTGCTGCTCGACACCCGTGCAGACGGACGAGAAGCACGTCTGACAGTACGACGGGGTCCTGCCGCCAAAATCGACAAACCCACCCCTCGCATCAATCAGAATGGGAAATTCAAGATTATGCAGATCGCCGACCTCCATCTGAGTACTGGATTGGGAAAATGCAGAGATGCATTACCGGTTGATCACAACGGAGGGAAATGCGATGCTGATCCGCGCACATTGGAATTCGTAGAGAAAATGCTTGACGAAGAAAAGCCAGATTTCTGCGTTCTGAGCGGTGACCAAGTCAACGGCGAGACTGCGCCAGATTCTCAATCTGCCATTTTCAAAATTGCTGAAATCCTCAAGCGACGAAAAATACCCTATGCTGCGATTTTCGGAAACCATGACGACGAAGGCGACCTTGACCGAGCCGGCACAATGGCCGTGATGCAAGACTTGCCCTACTCATTGTCTGAAGCAGGACCAACCGACATCGATGGCGTTGGGAATTACTTCGTGGAGATCTTGGGTCGAGGTTCCACAGCGCATTCCGCCCTCACATTGTACCTTCTCGACACGCATTCGTATTCGCCAGACGAGCGACAGTTCAGGGGCTACGACTGGTTGAAACCAAATCAAATCGACTGGTTCAAAAAGGCTTCTCAGGGTTTGAAGAATAAGCACAAGGAGTATACACATATTCATATGGATCTAGCTTTTATCCACATTCCGCTGCCCGAATATCGCAACCCGAGTGGACTTAGAGTTGTCGGAAATTGGTCAGAACCACCGACGGCACCTGGTTTCAATTCGGGCTTCAAGGACGCTCTAGTTGAGGAAGGTGTCGTCCTTGTAAGCTGTGGACAGTATGTATATATCCTCTTCGTCATTCTTTCTACTGATATATCAAAGTGACCACGTCAACGACTACTGCGTTCCAGGCACCAACGACAAAGGCAAGCCTGCGTTATGGATGTGCTATGGCGGCGCGGTGGGGTTTGGAGGATACGGCGGGTATTATGGCTATCATCGCCGGATACGATTCTTCGATATCGACATGAACGAAGCAAGGATCCACACTTATAAGCGGCTGGAATGGGGCGTCACAGAGTCGAGGGTTGACGACCAAATGATCATCGACCAGGGCAAGGTTGTGGTCTAGTCGTTTCCGCTTCTTTATATCCAACACAATTGAACGCATGGCGTAGGGCGTTGCAGCAGCCTGGCTTGATAGCCAGTGCAGGTGGTGGAATATCGGATTCTCACCACCATTTTTCACAAAGTACTCGTCTTGAGTCCATTCCCTCTGCTCTGGTCAATATCTCTACAAACTCGTCCGTCATCTTGGGTGGGCCGCAAATGTAGGCCACTGTATGCTTCCGCCCCGTGTGTGGTCCCAGAGCCTCTACCAAATCTGTATGACTTATGCGTCGGGACTTGTGTTCGACGTGATCAGTGTCCATCCTCGCCAACCCAGAGACGCCGTTCGGTGACCAACTTGACCCACCAGTAAGGTACATGATCATTCTGTAGTCACCGTCAGCAACCGGCGCATCAGGCTCCGTCGTCCTGTAATTGCTCAAGATGCTAGCAATCCGATCGTAGAACAGTATCGCCTCGCCCTCTCTAGCTCGCACCCCATAAAGCAGCCTCAGCTCACGAATCCCCGATTGCTTGAGCAGTGACTCCAAATGCAGATGCTCCAACATCGACATGATAGGATTAATTCCCACGCCGCCCGTAACAAACACGACGCGCTTGATCTCGTGTGCTTCCTTATCGCTTAGGTCGGGGGGCGGGTAAACGAAGCGACCACCGACCCGAATCAGTAGAGGTGTGCCTAAGATGTCATGGGGGTCTCGCCAGAAGAAGGCGGCGGGAGGGTTGTTGGGGGATTTCTGGATGGCTAGCTCGAGGTGTGGTGGGGAGCTGTTATGGGTGTTGTTGAGGTTGTAGGCTTTTGAGGTGTGTTGAGGCGCGGATGTGATGGTAAAGCCGCCGGCTTGGGGGATGGAAGGGATGTGGACGTCGAGCCATTGGCCGGGGAGGTGGGTGAATGTAAACTGTGGGAGGAGGATGGTAAGTATGGTAGGATGGGATAGTGCTATTGTTCGCTAGACGTTCGTGGTCAAGTATAGAAAAGATGACCGTACGGCGTGATAAGATGGGAGCCACAGTAAAGACGGAACGATCATAAACATGCAATGAAGCCGTCTTGCTTGAGATCTGTAACTATAGAGGAAGGCGAGCAACACAATGTGTGGGAATTTGCTTGGACCTACACCAGTATTGGGAAATTGTAGCTGTATAAGCCGGACAGAGGAGTTTACTTGATCGACCTTGGAAACCATAACTCGGTGGAGATCATGCTGGCGAGGGTCTTTCGCTGTGCGGACGATGTGGGGGATGGAATTGGACACACTGGCCATACTTCGTCCTGCTGCACGTAACGACTTTAATCTGCGGCAGCATATCGAGGAAGTCGGTAATGGCGTCGAGATAATTGGTCGCTGGACACGGATAACCATTCTGTTGGCAGAAGTTGTTCTCGCAAAGAGAAAGTTATGATCAATTAGCACGCAGCAATAACTCCACATAGCTGATTTAATCTACTAGAGAGTAAATAACATTATCGACCACCATTTCGTGGTACGCTAGCCTCCAACCAGATGGATTGAGCTCGACCTCGCTCCATATTACGCACTGACTGGTGCGGATCTTGTCCAATCCCACGATCGACGGAGCGCAGCAGGCTAAGGACGAGAATGTTCTCTTGCCTCCTCTGGCATTTCATGCCTTCCAGCAAGGCCTTCTTTGCTCCGCATTCGCAAGCGAGCAAGCAATCCGTTCAACGCCTTTCAGAATGATCTCGACGCTGACTGGATCCATGACCATGCTCGCGCCACCAGGAAGGCTGTGCAGACATTTTGCGGATATCCTCTTGATATTGGTTGGCTGCACATATTGTCCATGTATACGAGTGAGCGAGCCACACCGAGGGGATGAATTAACGCGAGCCTCTTCCACAACGTAGAGAGTCGGCTTTCCGAGGCTGTGGAGGAATGTGATATTCGCTGAGTGAACAAGATGGACTTGACGAACCGGGCCCAGCTCAGGGTCGGGTAGTTTGGTAACCTGCCACTATCAGCGCATTGATAATAGGCCGCCAAAAGAGAAACACCTGCTCACCACGGCGCAGTGATAGAAGTCGTCGATGTTGGCAATGTTCGAGTGGGGCGGTATTGGCAGTCTAAGAACGACAACCAACTCCTCCACCATATCCTGTTGCGTGATATTGGCCAGGCAGCTGGGACTGAATTGCAGGATCGAGCCTGGTTTCATGCTCTTCCTGTCAATGCAGCCAGTAGGGCAGGTATAGCCGTGATAGTTGTCCATACTTGTGGGTATCGAGTGGAATGAAGAATGGTCGCTATCGTGTACGTGGTTCAGGAAAGCATCCCGATGGACGGGACACAACCCCAATTATATATCTCTCTTGCCGCGATGGGAATCCGTCTATCATTGTAGTTGTGAGACATCTGGTATCGTTGTTTAGCAGGGAAGGCTGAACGTTTCAAGGTCTGTGCTCAGATTCAAAGGACAAAATAAATCAAACCCGAGACAGGAGAGAAGAGGCTGGATCAATGCGATGTTTACGTAGCATCCCAACTGCCTGCACGAAGGGTATGGCTTGTAGCGAGATTTTCTTGTACAGCTTCACTCCGGAGCCAGGAAACCATGCCCAACATATCGAACACAATATGCGTGTCTTTCCCACAATGGACAGTTAAATCGTCTTTCCGACATCTCCCTCTCTGGTTATGCAAGTATTACTTCATGTTGTGTCAGGCATGCGAGTCCGTAATCTGGCATGGTTTTGCCTTGATAGCGCCGATAGGTGAACACGAACGGACATCGAGCGTTTCTCAGACCACAACCCGGAAGCACAAGATTTCCATCTCATGACTGGAGATCGGCTCGAGGGTCAAGAGACTTTTGTGATTTTGGGATAGATGAGCGATGATACTGCAGCAGATGCAGATATGTTCCGAGATAAACCAGAAGAGGTTGAAGTTTGGAAGTGAGGTGGGCAGGACGTTTTAGGCCAGAATGGATTAGCCTAATGCTGTATTCTACCATTACCATATCCTCCTTTTCTGCTCCTGGATACTACCTATATCCAGAGATACTTCAACAGCGAGATTGAAGTTGTATTGAAACAACCGTCCTCACGTGGCATCAATCCATGATTCGATCATTCGTTGAAAATATCTAATTGACGTGGTTGTCGACTTTTTTCCACCATCCGACCAACTTTTGACGTGATATTCTCAGGCCCCTCGTACCAAGGGTATGTTCTCCTCCTCTGATATATACACCTCTTTTCATAAGAACACCAGATCCATCGCTTACGCCGCTACAGCTACGATTTGCATCAGCTCGTGTTGTCGATCAGCCTTGAGGCGAGCATACCATATTGGCTCGCCTCACCTAACTATCTCCTCTGCTCCCGACATATGGTCCAGATACAGCAAGGCTATTGCTCGTGGCCTCAGTGAAGTCGGCCTTATCGACTGATCGAGCACGTTGGTCTCTGTCGCTCGATTACTTAATATGATGGATACAGAGATGGATACGTCCGTAGGCTCTTCTATCACGGTTGACAACGTGCTTATGGGAGACCCCAAAAACCATGCATCCCCACCCACCAATGCGGAATTCAAGCATGAGGATGCCGATGACGACTCGGAGAGTGCTCATGACATGCTACGGATTTTTCGAAGTGAAGACAACGATCGTGACTCAACCAACAGTTCCATGACTTCTGCCTCCTTGATATCTGGCTTGCCTGAAAGCAAATCATCTGGTGCAAATCAAGCTTCTCGAAAGAAATTCTCGATACCGAATGCGGAATCTCCTTTACAGCGTTCGAAAATGGTAGCCAAATTTCGAGCCAAGTCTTCGATTCCCACGAAATTGCCGCCTACTGAATACGGCCGTCAGTGTGTTGCAGCAGCTTACGCGTCTAGACTAAATCCATACGCACTTCACGAAGATGAACACCATCTGCTCCAGGACCGCTTATGTCACCTCCATGTCACAGTATATCTGAACATCCGAAACGGAATTCTTCGCCTTTGGGCACGCAATCCCAATGTCAGCGTCAACCTTGAAGAAGCCATCGGATGTGCAAAAGATGAACGATGGACTCAGCTTGCCTGTTTTGCTTATGAATGGCTCGTTCGAGGTGGTTACATCAATTTCGGCTGCGTTGAAGTTCCCTTGGGTATCAAGACGACAAGAGGTCGAAGAAACGAGAGCAGTGGACAAACAATTGTCGTCATTGGTGGCGGAATGGCTGGTCTGGGTTGTGCCCGACAACTGACAAGTGTTTTCAATCATTTTCCGGACCACACCCCTCCTCAAGTTGTGGTCCTCGAAGGGCGTGGAAGAATTGGTGGTCGGATCTATTCCCATCCTCTCACGAGTAGGGTGTCCGAGGACTTGGCACTACATCAGAGGCCGACTGCCGAAATGGGCGCACATATCATAGTTGGATTTGAGCATGGCAATCCATTAGATACAATCGTGCGCGGCCAATTGGCTTTGGACTGCCATTCCCTCCGCGATCTTTCGACCTTGTACGATACCGACGGTTCAGCTGTCGATGAGCACCAAGATACTATGGTAGAGAGACTCTACAACGACGTTTTGGATCGCTCGGGGCAATATAGGTACAAGCGGCAAAAGCCAAGAACTGCGATGGGCGAAAAAGAAATGATCGACTCTGGTAGAGATGCAAGTGAAGATGATGGACTGACTATCAGCCAGTATGAAGAAGCAACCGCTTCTGGGACAATTGATCTGTTGCTGCCCGCTAAATCAAGACGACGAGGAGTGGGGCATAAGGCGGCCAAGCAGGACAAACCAAGCGAACAAGTGGACACGGATATGGACACCCAGACTCAGCTTCCTGCGGCGACCGCTGCTAAGGAGATCGGGTTTCACCTCAAGTCTACAACCCGGCTGGACGAGTCATTAGATCTCGACCGGCTTGCTGCAAGTCCTAATGCTTCATTAGGCGACGTACTTGACGAAGGTGTGAGACAGTACACCCGATTTCTTGAACTCCGGCCGAAAGCAATGCGACTATTGAATTGGCATTTCGCAAACCTCGAGTATGCGAATGCAGCCAACGTGGAAAGGCTTAGCTTAAGTGGCTGGGACCAGGATTCTGGGAACGAGTTTGAAGGCGAGCACGCACAGATCATTGGTGGATACCAACAGGTTCCCCGAGCTTTGTGGAGATTTCCAGACAAGCTAGATGTACGGACCAACAAACCCGTTTCGCAGATTCGTTATGATCCTCGTGATCCTGGTGGCAGAGCGACAGTGACGTGCGAGGACGGCGAGGTGATTGAGGCTGACAAGGTCGTCATCACCGCGCCGTTGGGGGTTCTTAAGCAGCAGTCTATCCAGTTTCACCCACCTTTGCCGCAGTGGAAACAGGCAGCGATCTCCAGACTTGGATTCGGCTTGCTGAACAAGATCGTTCTCGTGTTCGATAGGCCATTCTGGGACGTCGATCGTGACATGTTTGGACTACTTCGAGAGCCACGATCTGGCAGCGGGTTCGCTCAAGATGATTACCGGGCTGGTCGTGGCCAATTTTACCTCTTTTGGAATTGCATCGAAACAAGCGGCTTACCGGTCCTCATCGCTCTGATGGCTGGGGACTCTGCCCACGAAGCCGAGACCAAGAGCGATCACGACCTCGTCTCCTCCTGTCTGGCTCAATTACGGAAAGTCTTTGGCGAATCAAGCGTACCCACGCCATCAGAGACCATTGTAACACGATGGGGTTCGGATCGCTTTGCGCGGGGCACTTACTCCTTTGTGGCGGCAGAAGCCCAGCCGCAAGATTATGATACTCTTGCTAGAAGCCTGGGCAATCTCTACTTTGCTGGTGAAGCGACATGCGGCAGCCATCCTGCAACGGTTCATGGCGCCTATCTCTCTGGTCTTCGCGCTGCTTCAGACATTCTCGAAGCGATAATCGGACCGATCAGCCTACCAAATCCGTTAGTGGTGGAGACGAAATCCAGCAATGGTAATCCGGTCGATCTGACCGCGGTCGTGACACCAGTTACAGCCCCGAAGCGAAAAGGCGACCCTGTCATTCCGGCGGGCACATTTACGCGCCCCGTCAAGGAGCCCACTTCCTCCCTACAGCAAGACTGGGACGCAGCGATGTGGGATTATATATACGCGGCCATTGGCTTCGCACCTCCACAGCCGTCCAAGTCGGGTACCAATCCATTTCTACTATATCAAAAAGACCACTGGAACGCCTGCAAAGAACGGTGTGACTCAAAGAAGCGGACGTCGACTGGCAAGGCCAACGTAAAGACTGGAAGAGACGAGGTTCGGATCGAGCTGGGTAGAATGTGGAAGTTGTTGAGTGATGAGGAGAAAGCGCCGTATGTCGAGAGGACCAGGACACATAAGGATGCCAACGATGACGCGATCATGGCGTGGAAGGCGGCATGTGTGGAATGGGACAAACGTACATGGGAGGTCAAGGACGAATGGATCAAGCAAGGCAATGCTTTTGAGGAGTGGGTGAGGAAGAGGAACGGTGGCGGAGTCGATTGCGGGACACTGCAGGGTGGTAAGCGACATCGAGCAGCGTTGTAGCCAGACTTGACACCTTGTACGAGAGAATGTCTATCATTTTCAATTAGCATTGGCATCAGCATTGGCATTAGCATTAGCACGAGCATTAAGTATCAGTCAAGGAAGAGGCAGTACATGTGCTACTGTAAGAGATGGACAGTCTCACGGAGACCCGACAGACTCACCGTATCAGACAAGATTTCCCCATCTGGAGTCCCCATGCGGAGTTACATAGGCGCCAATTGGACGCCCACTTCTGTAAATGTACCATATGCACATGAATGAATGTATGGCATACCTCGACCATTGATATGAAGGCGCTTCGGACGCCTCGAGCGAAAAGTTCCACACTACTATGTAATGCATGTCGATACAGACTCTCTCACCCGCAAAGAGGGATTGCCTCGTCTGCCAAGTGTTCACCTGAGATCTATGATGTGGTTACGGTGGGAGGCGGACCGGTAGGTCTTGCGTTGATCACGGCGTTGAGTAAGACACCTTCAGCATAGAAGGAATCCTGATCTGACCGCTTCTGCAGAGTCATCCCCCCTGACGAGGCATCTCAAGATAGCCCTGATCGAGTCACAACCACTCTCCAAGCTCCGGGGCTGGAATCCCAGAGCAGACGAGTACTCGAATCGAGCAAGCAGCTTGACCCCTGCCTCGGTCTCCTTTCTGGAAGCAATCGGTGCTTGGAAGCATGTCGAGCAATCACGCGTGCAGCCGTACAATGAAATGCAAGTTTGGGACGGTTCTAATGGATCGAAGATGCGGTTCGACTGGAGCTCCGACCCAGACAAGAGTCACAGCCCGTTGCGGACGGTGGCGACTATGACGGAGAATGCGAACCTGAGCAAAGGCTTGTCGTCAAGAGTGATAGAGGTGGAAGAGAGCGAGTCGGGGGACGGGCAGAACGGGGGTCGAGGGAGTCTGATGTTCGGCTCCACAGTCTCGTCGATTGAAAATGGTCTCGATGACCCGCACGGTCTCAACCTTTCTTCCTGGCCCATCGTCTCCGTATCGTCCGCCGAACGCAAAGCCCCAACCAGCATGGCCGCCCGGCTCCTGGTAGGTGCTGATGGAGCGAACAGTCCGGTACGGGCTTTCGCTGGCATTCCCTCGAACGGATGGGACTACAGTCGACACGGAGTGGTAGCAACGGTGAACCTTGACTCCCAGCCAGGAAACGACATCGATTCTCTCTTCACCTCGCACCCACAGAGAATCACCGCATACCAGCGATTTCTCCCTGCACTCGGCGGTCCGATCGCACTGCTGCCGCTCCCCAACGGGAAAGCATCTCTCGTGTGGTCCACAACCGCGTCTAACGCTACATATCTCAAATCGCTCCCCCTGGAGACCTTCACAACAATGATCAACGCCGCCTTCCGCCTCTCCATGACCGATCTAGCATACATGTTCACCCTCCCCACCTCAGCCAACCACTCCACCACCAGCAAATCCTACACCCACGCCCAAGAGCTGACCTGGCGCCTCTCCCACACCCCTCTCCCCCCCCCCCGCCCCCCGCTCGTTACCTCGACCCAAGCCGACAGCATCGCCTCCTTCCCCCTCCGCTTCCGCCAATCGAGAGGTGGGGGAGGGGCGTGCTTGTCGGGGGCACTTGTGACCTTTTGGAGAGGGTTTATGGCGTCAATGGCGGTGTTGTGGGGTGGGGGAGGGGGGTTGGGATGGGGTTGCTGGATAGGTGGGAGGGAGCCAAGGGGTTCATTATGGGGAGGGCGGAGGGGAAGTGAGCTAGATCTTTGAGTATGGTGGTGGTGGTGGTGGTGGTGGTTTGGATGTGAGAGGGCTCTTGTACTGTTGTCGTTATGTCTGTTGGGACAATTCGTTGCGCATAGCCGTGGCGTTGACAGGCATGGAACGAGCGTACAGCAAGCTTGGGATCGTTTCTACGCTTCGGTAGAGCAGTGCTTCCCTTAAAAGCAGGTCAAGCACTCAGGAAACGATTCCTGATCCTGCCTGTGCTTTACACATTTTTAATCCCCTGTTCTCATCCCGCTGTCCGCGTTAGTTGTACCAAATATGGGTGTGATCATAGCATGGCATTGTGAGGTGAAAGATACTGGTATGCGTGCAGCAAGTTTGCGAAGATATTGTGACGATAGAATATATATGCATGCATGCATTCTTGCTCTGGGCAGGTCTCAGCTCCCTGAGCCCGACGAGCGATCTATTGAACGATCTATTGAGCTCCGACTCCTCACACACCATCATCTCCCGTCCTCACCTCCCCTTTTCGCGGCTGCTCCTCCTGCTGCTGCCCCTGCTGCCGCGGTGGCTGAGAACTCCCGCTCCCACCACTGTCCTTCACGTTCAGCGTCTCCGTCTTCCCAATAATCTCCGCCAACTGCGCCATAGTGCCCGCCCTCTTCGCCAGCCGCTTCTTCACCTCCACGGGCAATTCGCTGATACTAACCAAGACGCCATCCTTCTCCGGATGCTCACTCGGCAGCCCCATCTCCTTGATCTTGACCTTGCCTGCCGCTTGTTCTTCTTCTCCCAGGATAACAGCATAGGGAATTGCATCGCTCTCCGCGGCCTTGAATTGAGCCTGGAGTTTCGATTTGACTTTGTAGGAGAACTCGGCCTTGATCCCGGCGTCCCAGAGGGATTTGCAGATGGCCATGCGTTGGGGGAGCATGCCGTCGAAGCCTTTGCCGCCAAAGGCCATGACGTAGACGTCGGTTTCTGTGGCGCGGCGCACGGAGGAGGAATCGAGTTGATTTTCCGCTTCCATACGGGCTTTGGTGATGCTGAAGATGCGGTCGACGCCGAAGGAGATGCCGACGCAGGGCATTTGCGCCTTGGGGAGGAAACGCTCGACCAGGTGGTCGTAGCGGCCTCCTGCCGCAACGCTGCCCACGCCGATGGAGGGGTCGTCGGAGCGGTCGTCGTCGTCGATCGCGTCTGCTTTCTTTGCTTTCTTCGAGGAGCGTTGGAGCTGTTTGGCTGTTTCGCCACCGTTTTGGGTGGCTGATAGGCTGGCGGGCGCGGAACCTTCGGTGATGACTTCGTAGATAACGCCAGTGTAGTAGTCGAGTCCCCGGGCGAGGGAGAGGTCGAACCACATTTTGTCCAGGACGTCGAAGGCTTGGAGATAGTCCAGCAGAAGAGACATGTCTTCGATTCCAGCTTTGGCCTTTGCATTGCCCATCAGTCTCTCGTTGGCTTTCAGCTTGTCTAACAGGTCTCGGCCACCTTTTAATGTGACATACTCCTCGATCTTGTCTGCTACTTCTCCATCCAATCCCTTCTCCTCCACCATCTCTCTCCTGACCTCACTCCATGGCAGCTTGTCCAGCTTGTCCACCGCCGAACTGATACTCCTGATCTTCTCCGCCGGTACCCCACATACTTCGAACAGTCCATCGAGAATCTTCCGGTGGTTGATCTTGACGGTATATCTCCCCCGCCAACCTAGATTTTCAAACACTTCGCTGACAATCCTCAGCACCTCCGCATCTGCCACCATTGGATCACCACTCTGGCCCGCCACGTCAAAGTCGCACTGATAGAACTCCCTCATCCTCCCCTTGCCCATTGCTGGCTGATCTCGCCGATAGACCTTCGCGATCGCATATCGCTTCACACTTTTAATGTCGGTGTTCATGGCCAGCCACCTCGCGAATGGCACGGTGAGATCGTATCGTAGCGAGCATAGTTCTCCACCCTGGTCCTGCAGGTCGTAGATGAGTTTAGAATCTTCGCCGTAGTTACCGGAGAGGACATCTTTGAGTTCGAAGACGGGGGTGTCGAGCTGGATGGCGCCGTGGGCACGGAAGACGGTGGTGATGGTGCTGAAGATGCGGTCGCGGAGAAGGACATCAGGACCAGACCAGTCACGCGTTCCTTTGGGCGTTTTGAGCTGGAACGAGAGCTTTTCTTTTTTTTCTTTCGGCATTACAGCGGTGGTGAGTGGACAGTGTAGGATGGCATGGGAGGTTTGCAAATTTGGACTCTGTGAGGAGTAAGAGAAGCTGGCTACAGTTGCGCAACTGCGTAGAGGAGTTCTGAGCGGTATTGGTCTTCTGCACAGGTTGTGGAAAGAAGTGACAAGAAGCCGCATACAAGGCGTCTGCTGGGACTCAGCTGGTCACAACTGGTACGAGTGAGTCACCGAGTGGGAAAAACAATCTCACAAGAAGAAATATAGAGGAGAGCAAGGCTATGTTGCTGCATGGGTCGGCATGTCTTGTGCAATTTTCCAAGGTGAATGGAGGTAAGTAAGTAATAGTAATATCATATCACCATGTAATCGCTGAGCCACCAGCAGGAATAATATTCAGATCAACTCCTGACACAGCATGCTACCCACTTATGACCTCAATTGGTCGATTTGCTGAACACCGTCGTTGGACTTTCACCCTGTCATGCTCGGCTTACTGGCTGTCACTGTAGGATGAGTGGGGATTGGTGCCATTGAAGAGTGAAGAGTGCAGAGTGAAGGGTATCGCCCGTTCGAGGCTTGATTCTGCTGGCTAGCTAGATACAGTGAGGTGCTGAGCAAAATCAAGCTTCTCTTCTGGGCCTGAGATGGGCCAACCACCGTCCATTAGCAGCCACAATCCTAGAGGTAGTGCAGTCGTTAAGCTCTCCTGATCCACACTGCATCGATACCGCAAACTCCGTCCGCGCACACGAAAGAAAACAAAAGACACAGAAGAAAAGCGTACAAGTCTCCAACAAAGAGCATGACAAGGCCACATCCATATGAAAATGCCGCGAAGATGAGCTCGAAAGCTAGCAGCATGCAGCATGCAGCATGCAGCATGCAACATGCAACGCAACATTGCCATGCAAAACCCTACTTGCCATCTCGCTGCGAGCCAGATCCAAAATCAGCCTCTGTCACCTTCAGCTTTTTGGGCCCCGACACCACAAACTCCGCCATCAACGCCAAATGATCGCTCGGAAAATGGAAATTGGGGAAGCCCGGAACACGCTGCAAATACTCCATGTCCACATCCCCTAGCAAACCGGAAACCCGCAAAGAATTCGAAGAGTACCAGATATAATCGAGCACGTCGGTAAACCCAGGAGTGTAGTTGGTGAAGCTCAGCTCGCCCACGCTGCTGTAGGCGGATTTGAGCGTAAAAGGGTGTGATATTCCAGCTTCGCTGAACGTGCCGTAGTTTCGATCTCCCAGGTCTTCGTGTCTGCTCCCGAGGTTCCCGTTAGACAACAGATCGTAGACAGCCGAGTCCTTTCCAGAGTTGAAGTCGCCACAGATGATCACGGGCAGTTGCGGTCCACTGGAATACTCCTGAGAAGGGCCGGGCTCCGGCATGGGCTCGCCGTTATCTTCAGCATCGGAGAACTGGAAGACCTTCTTGTTCTTGCATGCTGGCATTTTCGCGTATTCTTCGGCAAGCCTGGTGAGCTCTTCCATCAGAACGGCGACTTGAATCAGCTTCACATCCTTGTAGGCCGGGTCCCAGTAAAAGTGGGCGTTAGCCACGATCATTCGCGAGCCTGTCGCACGATTTTCGAGCAAGACAACAGTCCCGATATCGTCCCTTTGCCAGACTCGATTGATCATGTCGGCCGAAGCGTGTCGGCCAGATCTCTCGACTGCTTTGCGCCCAAAATTCAAATGCTGCGAGTCAAGGAGGATGTACTTCTTCTCCTTGAAAAACGTGCCACAGCCATCAATGTGCCTTGCTTGATCACTGGGAGCGGTTTCGTGCCGACTTTTTTGCGCGAAATAGCCCTTATACCCCGATTCGGCAAGCTTGGGCCGGAAGAATTCATCATAATTGTACTTGTCGAGCTCTTGCAAGCAAACAATGTCAGGGTCTTGGGTCAGGATTTCGCCGAGGATGATCTCCTTTCGGTGCTCCCAATCCAGCACCCGAGCCGGCGCATATCCATACTGACTTTTGGTGGCATATCTGTCACAGAGGATGTTGTAGCTGAAAGCCGAAAATTTCTCAGTCGGGGATGTTGTATTCGACGTATCTTCAAGCGCGAGCCAGTCACGGCCTACAGGGGGTTCTGGGGCTAGGTGCCAAGTCAGTACTTACCCACATAGACACGAGACACGAGACAATAGAGCAACAGTAACTCACCGGGCATTCCGTCCCTGAGAAACTCGATAAATTCTTTAGTACTCATGTGCATTATTCTTTTCATGTCGTCCTCATTCAGCGGATTGCCCTCTACACCCAATGCCGAAAGTTTATACAGATGCCCAAGTTCGTATGGCAGAGTACGGAGGTGATTATCAACCAGCATAAGCCTTTCAAGATTGGTAAGCATTCCAATCTCCGCTGGCAGTTCTCGTAGCTGGTTGCCAGACACATCTAATTCCACCAAGCACTTGAGTCGTCCTATCGTCAGAGGCAGATGGTCGAGGTTGTTATGATTGAGATAGAGCTTCTGAAGAAAGTCGTAGCGGAAGAGCACGTCGGACAATGCGCGCAAACCTTGCCCACCCAGATCTATAGCTGTCCAGCCCTGCCGACCTCCCTTCGGGACTGTGACAGGACGATTTCTTTCTTCTTCCTGGACTTCCTCGTTTCCAGTCTGCGACGGTCCCAAACTTAGATGCTTAGAGACCTGCGCTACAGTTCTGGCCTGGTGGTGCGGAGAAGCATTTGCTCTCGCCTCTTCAGCCCACTGCTGCTGAGCTTGCCAATGCTCCCCACCCGGCTCGTCCATATCATCTTGTTGATTTTCAGAGACGCCATTCTGATGAGGCTGGGAGAAATGTGAAGAAGGCGCCGGCAATGATCCCCCTCCCGAGTGGTTGTACTGGTGATTGATGTGTCCTCCTTGATGGTGCTGGTTGTGGTGATGACTCGCCTGATTGTGATGTGGATGATGGTTATGTTGAAACTTGGACATCTGTTGCATACCGTAACCTCGATGATTCTGCCCGTTCATCATGACATGTTGTCCCTGATGTCCTCCATGCTGATACATATTGAAAGCGCTATGGGCTGTAGAGGGATTTGCGGGCGATCTGGAAGGAGACGGAGTATCGTTACTGAAGGGTCTTCTCCCTCCCGGAGGAGAGCCAGCACGATTGAGGCCTCTTTGAGCGTTGTGTTGGTTGTGTTGATAGTAGAACGGTCCGGCCCCCGGCTGGTGGAACCGGTATTGACCATCTGCCATCTAATGTGGTACTCGAGGCTGCGAAAGGAGAGAATCCGTGACCAAGCGACGTTTGCGATCGTAATATCGAGCTGAGTGGGCGATGGGAACGCTTTGGATCTGAAGTAAAGGTAGGTCGACACGCTGTCTTCTTTTTCTGCACATGGACACCGGGTGTGCTGGACAGCAGTATCATAAGATGCTCAATCGCTGCAGCTAACTATCTATAACGTCTCTTCTCGGTTCTTGCAGGAAGAGCGCTGCTAGAGTCGGGACGCAACGCTGGTGAATTGGAAGGAGATGGGGCGGCACAGCGGATCTACTTCGAGTAGACTGCGCACAAGCGTGAAGCAGACTTGCGTAGCCAGTGTGGTACACGATGTTTCTTGCTCCTATATCTTGTGCTTGCTTTAGTATGATGACGTTTCTGAATCGAGTTGTTTTGTGTCCTTAGGGGGTAATACTGTGTGTTTTCTGCTGCCAGTGCCAATCAGCCATTTCGAGGGTCGGGACTCTGCGAAGTTGCTGGCTGGTCACATGATGCCAAGAGATATCTGACACATTTTCGTCCACTTGAATCCGACGTTGAGCCCCAAGGTCAAACACAGCAGTGCTACTAGTACTACGGAGTACATCCTACATACTGCATTGATCTGTCGAACTCTGTACAGTAGTTGAAGTCACTCTGGACTCGTCACGGCTTGGCATGACTGAACCTCTATCTACAGTGTCTTGAACAGTCCCAACAAGCTCAAAGCCAAGGTCGAAGTCAGGGCTCCAGTGAACACAATATATTGGTGTTCTCCAAAATGTACTCCACCTAAGACGGTTTCGTTATTGTCCGCGTGTAATTGTTACCCAACATCTGTACGTAGTAGTGTCCAAACCGAAGAGGGTCTAGACGAAGGGGGTCCAGACGTGGACCATGGCCCACTTATGTAGCAAAGGGGGCCCCGAAGCATGACAGATCTGCCGACGGTTCGACTTACTAACCACGAGTACTACCTACTTTCTCAGGCACACCAATCAGCCTACGAAGGAGTGTGATGGGGGGAAGACGGCATCTTGCATCTTACAGGAGACGCGAGTCGAGAGCAGCCAGAAGGGTCTGCGCTCTGCAGTGGCTAACTCGAAGTCGAATGCTGCATCCAAGAAGCTGCCAGCGAGCAGGAAATTGCTGACTAGCTGAACATTGAAGGAGTCTTCCCAGGTTCATAACGTGGGGCACCTCGGGAACATGAGACCGTCCATTCCCCTTGCCCCTCATCATGCCCTACAAAATTCCATCTTATCTGCTATTATCTCGGAAGGGATTCTACGATATACTCTGACCAAAGATTCAATCGACTGATTTTTACAGACAACGTGAATAAACAACACCACTGAGACCACTGACAAATGCTTCTCCTCGACTGAGGTGGTATGTGTTGCCGCCTAGATGTCTGTACGACAACTTCAGACCCATGTACCCAACGTTAGTGTGCGGTCCTCTCCATCATCAGCCGTCTTCTATCTTCGCCGCCCATGAGCTCCATCTGATTCATCTTCGCCTCCACCCCCCTTCCATAATACCACTTCAACCACCGACCGGAATGCAACATCTAAAGTTGTGCCATCGAGTGCGATGTCCGGTCCATCCATTCCAAAGAACAAGTCGCCCAGCGCCTCCTCCGTCTCTCTTTCTCAGATCCTCGTCAGACGATCAGGCCGTCTCTTTTTCCGCGACTCAACCATTCCGTATCCCTTACCCTGTGACCTCGCAGAGATCCATCGTCAGACCCTGAGGTCCATGGTCCTGATGCAAGTTTTCGACGCTCCATTTTGTGCACCGTATTTCGAGGTCAACCCACCAAGAAGGGTCCTTGAGGTGGCATGCGGATCGGGGACTTGGTCAACGGCCTGTCATGATTATATCGGACGTGGTTCCTCAACGTCGTTCACTGGCTTGGATATCCTGCCACTTGCCCCGGACTTGTCAAAGGCTGGACTGAAATGGCAATTTGTTCAACACGACCTACGCAAACAGCCTCTCCCTTTCGCTGATGGCTCCTTCGATTTCGTCTTCGTCAAGGACACAAGTCTCTGCACATCTGCCGCCAGCCTGCAAGCCGAGCCATTGGCCGAGATGCTAAGGGTGTTAAAATCGGGCGGAACACTTGAAGTCTGGGATTCTGACTATATCGTTAGAACTCTTCTGCCAAACCCGCCCATCGCGCCCGGCTTGTCAGAGGAACAGCTGGAGCAAGCTGAGGAAACTGCCACTTACACAATATCAGCAGCAACGCCTTTCGCTCAAGCGCAGAATCAATATCTCCAGGACTATAATGCATGGGCAACGAGAGCTTTTGAGAAGAGGAAATTGACAGGGGTGCCTTGTGCCTTCATTGGAATGGCTTTCTCGGCAGAGAACGAGTCTTTCCGTGATTATGGTAGCCGCCGGATAGCCATACCTTTGAGCGAGGTCCGGTGGGAGAAAGACCCTCATGTTCGGAAAGGCTCGATAGGTCGAGTCGAATCGTCTGAAGATTCTCGTCCTCGAGCAAGAATTTTGAATCCTGATCAACTTGCCTTGCGCAGGACGGCGCTAAATACCATCGTCCAGATGATCGAGGGTCTGGAGCCAATGCTCATGGACGCAAGCGGAAAGAGCAAGGATGAATGGGATCGGTGGTGGGCGGCCATGATCACCGACCTTCTTCATGACGAAGGAACAGCAAATGGAGAATGTTTGGAGGTGGGTGCTTGGTGGGGACAGAAGATATAATAATCATCTTTCGGTAAACCATGACATGACACCTATGAGGGCATGGGGTTTGGGGTCATGCTAGGGGTAGCGTTGGCGTAAGGACCGATATCGCTTGAGATAGTATCTACGAGAGGCTAATTCAGCATGTTCTGCGGTACATAATGTATGAGACACTCACAGCGCTCCAATTTCTGTGGTTTCAAGCTTTAGCAAATCGTGGTCGAAAAGCGTTGGACAGACCTTCAAGCAGCCCACCTTTCTTAACATACTCTGCCCTTTTAATGGCCTCCTGAATCTTGATTTCATCTGTCAAGTGAGCTTGACTTGCAAAGGCTTTGTGCAAGCGATCACGGAAATAGGTATACCCAAGTGGATAGTGACGCCCCATCTCAAGAAGCTCTGCTCAGATCCTTTCAGCCCGCTGTACGTCATGATATGACGAAGTACCAACCTTTATATGTCGCGATGACTTGATGCCTGAGCTTTCCACTCATCGTGAACCGACCTCTTAAGTTATATGAAGTCAGTATGAAGCCGATTGAATTCCTTAATGATACATCAAAGAGACGATGTGGGAGGCTGCAGGTCACGCCACGCGATGCACAACCTCGGCAGATCGGCAGTGGGAGGAGCACAGCAGCTCCAATTCTCCATGCATTCTTGAGACAGCAATGTCATTCTGGACGGCCGAATGCTCACATTATGTATGCCCAAGCAGTCGCAAGACGCAGTCCACAATGTCTGAATATCAAAGATTCGCTCGTGGGCCTTGTCTACAAATACTCAACTGCCGTGCCTTCTAGAAACGCAAACCCCGTGTCTACTTCAAGACCAATTGACCCACGATGGCTTTCGGATACGAAGCAGAGGGTCGGAAAGTGTATCACTTTTGGTCTTCCCTCGAAACAGCTTGTTGAGGCTAGCAGCATCTTACAACAACTTGCTTCGGATTGGACGGAGCTGCTGATGGGTAGCGAGGGATACTTGACTGCTCCAGGCAGAGTTGGACTTGAGAAACAAGCAGTCGTATGGGGTGAAATGGTAAGGTTTTCGCGCTTTATGTATCTTGAGTCTGTCGATTAAATGGTTTACCTGCAGGATACAATGGTATGCATTCTACTAAAGCATCAGTCCATCGTCCCAAGGCTCAGATCTATCAGGGTACCACGACTACATCTCAATTATCAAAGCAACTGACATCTTCAAGGGCATGTAAACAACGTCCAATATTTGCGATATGCAGAAAGTGGACGCTGCAACTGGATGCGCAACTTTGGTACCTATTTTGACACTACCAACAAGCGACTATGGACAGAAATGGCCTCATCAAGAGGCACTGGGTTAATATTGAGAAGCATCAAGGTCGACTACAAATTTGTAAGCTATGTCCGTCAATCTACTGTTGGAGTAAGCAGACAGACGGTCTCTCTTATTGACTCGAGGATATAGCCAATGACTTGGCCAGATCGAATATCAGTCTTTCACAAACTGAGATTCAGACCAGACGAAAGTACGGAGTCAATCATTCTCGACGTGGTGATACTTTCGGAGAGTAAACAACGGCCGGCAGCGCGATGTTTAGAAGACGTTGTTGTGTACGATTACCGCACGAGCAGAAGAACCACGCTGCCGCCCTTCATGCTTGATCAATTCCAACGGACATTTGAGTTGCAGGAGACGGCAAGATTTGAGAATGAGAGCAAGATCCATCATTTACTCAACAGAGTACGAGATATAGAACGCAACACTTGGGATAGACCAGACGCGCGGGAAGACTTGGGAAGTGCGAGATCATGATCTTGTCGAATGTCACACATCACGCAAGGATCCCCACAGTCTGAGACGCAAACTCCATTATCTCATCGCTTTAACCATAGAGCCAGCTCTGTCAACAGCCTGTACAGTTGCGGGGGTGTTTCAGCAAATGTACGATAGTGGTCTGCAAGCTCCTAGTGACAAAGAAAAACGTAGAGGAAAGAGGTCACACAAAAAGCGGTGTACCTTGGAGCTCCACATCAAACGACCACGATTAATGGCCAGAAGAGTCTTCAATGCAAGTTTCCCATGATCCGATTTGTAAGCCAACCACTCATGCCTGATTTTCTGTCTCGCTGCTTTTGTGTTTTGAGACCATCCTCTCCAATTTGTGATGACCTTCGACGATGGTCATGAAGAATTGGAAATTCACCTGAGATCGGGTTGAAGATTAATATACTCCGTACAGATCAGCAAGTTGCACCTCCGAGGTATTTGGTGTGCCACCCATCGGCACCATCCCTACCAGCATTCAACGGTGAGCTAGCCCGGAAGGAGCCTACATATTGTGCAGGAAATGCTCGAAACACTGGGCTCCTCTTCAAAATCTTCTAGGTTCTTTGTTCCGAATTTTCGCCTTAGTAGTTGCTTTTTGACATGACTCTGGGAATTGTGGTGTTTCTCCTCAATGATCCGTCCATTACTGAATTTGGGTGACACGGCATACTCTTCAGGCATAAGAATGGTGCGTCGATGAGCAAGGGCAATGGAGGCATAGTGCCACTAGAGGTGGGCTCCGTGTAAAGAAGTCTTGGTCACATCTACGAAGCATCTGAAGCTTCTGGTTAACTTGCTGCTCGTCCTGTCAGGCGGACTGACCCAAGGGAAGTTTGTTGTGCGATGCCCTGTCTCCTTGACGTTAGCTGTAGTTGTCATTGGTAGATCAATCATAAATGCCCTCCGAAGGGTCCAGACCGTATACATAGCGAACGGGGTCCAAAGTCCTTTGACTAAGTTACTACTTACTTAGCCAACGCCCTCCCGCCGCCTACAGTTTTAGTTAAATGGTAGTCCTGAAGCCTAGCCCAAGCGCCCGATCCAGTTGCCCACACCTCCACCTTAGCATTTCACCATTTGCTACTACTGTATTCCAAGCCTACAAAAGCTTGACACGCATGCCATACCACTACCACCAACCCACATTTTAGATTCCCCGATAATCCCGTCTCTGAATCACTATCCTTACTCTTACCACTTTCTCAGGCAGTCTCTCAAAGTAACGTCTCACTTGTCTTGGTTGGCTTCCCTGACTGACTCTTGTCAAGGTGACTGCTTCGGGAGATCAAGCAGGCACATTGGCAGCTTCATGCCCCGATCTGGCGCAGGCAAGAAGAATCAACACAACCATCGCCATGAGAATGGTCTGGTAGGCCCAGGCAAGAGAATCACAAAGCAAAGGTCGGATGGTCAGCTCAATGGCACCGCAAAGGGTGCTGTCCCTGACACACCTCCTCTCACTCCCACCACTTCCGCAGACTCGCTTATGAAAAGCCAAATTGCCAATGATTCGACCGCTTCTCTCTCAGATGCAAAACAGGATCTTCCAGGAAGCTCAGGTGTGCAGCAACTAAGAAAGAGGAGTTTGGAATCATCTGGTGATGGACAAAACACCGTTCCTGAGGGCAGCGTACATGGCAGAGAACCTGAACAGGGTGCAGGTCGCCGCTACGATGTGATAAAGGCCAAGCAGACCTCCGTCAGCGAGATAGGCACTCTTCAACTGGCATCAACGATCCTCAAGTCTTGCCCAGCATATGACACAGTCGCGATGCTTATCCTATTGCTCCAGCTGCCGCCTATCTTTCTTACCCTGGTCCAGGCCCTATTTGCCTCGCTTACTTTTATGCCGCCAAGTGGATTATCCATGACGTCCGTCTTCTCTCTCTTCGATGTTTTCCAGGGTTCTGCCGGGACTCCTTCGCTTGGGACAATGATTGCGGTAGATGCTTTATGCCTGGGAGGATGGTTTTGTCTATGGAACTGGGCCCGAAACTTCGCTCTTGATCTTGCGCAGGTCCAGATCGCAATAACGCTCGGTGGAGGTAATGCTGGCAAATCTGGTAGCGTAAACAGCCTCTATATCATTATCATACTATCGCTGCATCTAGTAAGGAGCAAGTCCGTACGCCAATTCTTCTTTGAGCACATCATTTCCGCCGAACTTCTCGGGAACGAGCACATTGCATACCTCGCTCAATTTATGCCTCAAGAGTTCGATTTCGGAAGCACCCCACAATCCCCGTCGTGGTATCGAAGTCTTTTTGCGATCCATATCATCACGCAGGCAGGAATAGCAATAATACGGCGCAATGTTGCTAGCACCCAAGCAAGCTCAGCCTCCAAATCAACCAAAAAAGCTGATACTGAAGCTTGTGCTGGCTCTCAGAGCAACCAAGACGTAGCGGCCCTTGAATCCGGCTCAAACATAATTTCCCCGGTCGTCAGCGATTTCCAGAGCCCGGCAAGCCCTGGTCTCAAAGATGGCAAAGACCGAGCCGTAAGCGCTAAGAAGAAGAGAAGACAAGCAAATCAGGTGCGAACTCGTCAACCATTCTGGGCAGCTCTGGCAAGCACCAAAGTCAATGCGCTGCGTGAGATTGAGATTTCTCGGCCCTCTTCCAAGTCGCCTGATCATGCGGGAGATGTGGTTTTGGATACACTTTTGGTTGATGAAGGGCATATTCGTATTGTTCATGTTGACTCTTCCAGCATAAAATTCGAAGCGATCAACTTAATGTCAGCAATAGATAATCAGGAAGCTGCACGACATCCCCTTCACGAGTCCCTATACGTTCGGATCAACGGAGCCTACTGGACCTCTACAAGCATATCGGCCTCTCAAGGAGAGCAACAAGGAACGATCTTGACTGGAGAGATATCAGGTCTTGCTCCTAACTGCACCTACACCTGTTCTTTTGTTCGAGTTGACGGTCATGAGTACGTTATCACTATCAAGACTCCAGCGCTTCAGGACAAAGATCAAACGTCTTCGCTGTCTTCTTTGTCATCGCCTCCGTTTCGTCATTCTCAGCGGCCGTCGTCACCCATGTCCACAATTCGACGATCTATAGCAACCGCGGAGGCTAAGCTGAGTGACACAAAGGCTCGAGCAAGTCGAACCCGCAGGTCACATAAAGCTGCTCTGTCCAAGGTTGAAAAAGAAGTCGACTTCTTCACCAGCCGCTTGAAGTCCAGCAGCGACGATACGAAACAACGGCAAAAACTTTTGCAAGCCGAGCGAACCATGAAGCAGAATGAAGATGCAGCACAAATGATTTCCGCAGCTCTTGACGATCTTTCCTCCATTCCCAAAGAAGAGGCTGACGATTATTCTTCCAAGAAAGCTGCTTTCGAGAAACAATGTGCTCTTCTTGCTGCAGCGAACGAGTCGCTCTGCTCTGCCAAATCGTCTGCAGACTCTGAGCTTGCCACTTTCAATGAAGAAGTGAAGGCAGCCAATCGTCAGCATGAGCGTCTTGTCGCCCGTCAAGCACGACTCAACGAACAACATGAAAGAATCACGCAGGCAAATCTACAAGGACTGAATGAGAAAGAACGTAAAGTTGAAGAAACCCTTGCTAAAGAGCGGGATCACGCACGTGTCGAAGCGGAGTATACGAATCAATTCAGTATCTTCCAGCGCGAGCTTGCAAATATCTCTATGCGTCTTCAGCAAGCCAAGCAAGAGTCTCAGGCACTTGAGAGTCAGATGATGCAGCAGCAACAACAGAGCACCATAATTGGTAGTGGACCTTTGACTCCCGAGGGCAATTTGCCAGGGACCAATCCAGTCGCCCGAGCACTTCCGTCAGCCTTCGGTCATGGCTTCCCTTCCAACCACACCCTATCAGCTGTCTCTGGCCCTGTCTCCGGCCCTGTCTCCCCTGAATCCGCCCATGTCTCGCCTTTCCTAGCCTACAGCAAACCACTATCCTTTCAGAATGAGCACAATCCGAACTTCAGCACCAATCGAGCACGATCCGCATCAAACCGCTCTGGTGGCGCAGCTAGCAGTTACAGCGCCGACTTTGAAGATGCCGATCCTATTCCTCCAATGCCGGGTGTGAAGAAGTTTGGTTCTGATCCTAGGAGAAAGGGCAGTTGTGGCAGTCCTGGCGCCGGGGTGGGCAGTCCATTGAGAGCGAATTCCAGTCTGAATGTGTCTCGAAGGGGAAGCCCTGGCCAAGGCATTTGGTAAGTTTTCCTGACCAGAAACTTGAGAGACCAGATAAAAGGTGGCTGCTGGAGATCCAAAGTGGAGGGGAAGGGGTAGGAAGGAGACAGGAAAGGAGACCCACGGTCGAGCCAGTAGACGAGAATGATACCAAAGAGTCTTATGCAAGAGCTGATATCCGTTCTTCCGGTTTCATCCTTGATCCTTTCCCTATCTTCAATGCGGAAGGTGGAAGACCCACATCTACTGTCAGTACTCGTCTACCGCAGTATCAGATCTGACTAGTTCTTTGTCATCCGTAGTACCATTATATCCAATCCCGTCCGTGATTCCGGAAGTTTTCAAGCCACCGATCCATCGAATACATCTAAACCAAAAACATTAGAAGAGAACAGGTACCACTGCACATCTTGCGACAGGATCGAGATGGATGGCTATAGTAGTAGCTTAGAGTGTAATGATCTCATTCTGACTTAGACAGAGCAAGTTCGAGTAGACAGCTGAGTACTTTACAAGTTGGATACAATCAGATGTGATGTCTCACTAGCTAGGTGACTTGTGCGTATATACATGTCTATAAATTCATGTATCATACTTGAATCTAGACATACCGCCCTGCCAGGAAGGGGAGGTACAACCTGACTAGCTATATTTACACATCTCGCATTGTATTGTCTGTCTTTCATGTGCCGGCCTCTGCTTTACCCACGAAAGGCGCTCGACCAATTGGCATTGTTTCTATGACGAAAGTTCGAATGGATTCCCACTCACGCATGGATGATTTCTGTTCTACCTCCAGAACTTCTTTCAAGCGACGTCGATCTCTCTCGGCCCGTGTCGTCTTAATCAATGTCTTATGGTAGCTAAGTAGTCCCTCCCAGCTGAGCTTGGCAATGTACCACCAATCCTTCGAAAATGGGGCTGGGTCTTGGATTTCGGTGGTCTCTTAGATTAGGGTCGACCTTCTAGTCAGCCTCTACTTCCGAGTGCTCGTTTGCAACAGAACACTTCCTTTGGCGTCCTAGTGGTTGTGGTGTGGTTGATTTTGTCTTCCCGGGATTTCTGACGGTCACTTTTTTGACCGGAGTTTGCTATGATATGCTCATTTGCGGACAAACTGGTGGCTGCGTCGCCCTCTTCATGATCAAATTCCGAGAATAGTCATACTATCAAGCTTAACCCTTTGGAAGCAAATCCGCTTCGCAGGGTCGACAGGTATTGCTCGAGAGGTTATACACGTAGCCCAGCTCGTTGGTTGGCACCGTACAGCCTCTGAATGCTCGGCTTTCTTCTCCCTCACGTCGCGGCCGTTCCAGACCTCCGTTGAAAATAGTCCTGAATTTGGGCCATCACATCTTTGATATCGCGCTCCATGGCCTTGTTTCTAGCCAGCTTTTGCATCGTTTTTTGCTGTCTGAGAGCTATCTTCTCTGTCAGCACTTGATCCGACGTTTGTTGACCAGGTGGATTTTCTTGCATGGCTGATTCAATGTTCTCGCGAAGTACCGCTGCCGTTCCAAATTCCCGTTGAAAATAGTCCTGAATCTGGCCCATCACACCCTCGATATCGCGTTCCATGTTCTGGTTTCTACCCGGCTCCTGTATCTTTCTGTGCTGTCTGAAGGCTATATCCTCTAGCACCGCTTGACCCGGCGTCTGTTGGCCAACAAGTGCCTCTTGCATGGCTGATTCAATGTTCTCGCGCTGTTCCTGGTCAAATTCCTCCGACATGTGCGAAGGAAAAGGGACGTCTGATTGGTCGTCCCATTTGTTGGTGGTAAGTTGTTTTCTGATGCGGAGGGCGGATCGATAAAGATGGACTTTGATGGGGGCTTCGATGTCTTTGGCATGCTCGGTGGTAGTGCCGCTGCTGCTTCGTGCTTGAATGGGAGAAGCCAATAAGGGCAGAAAGCGATTGTCATAAACCAAGTGCTTCCTGATGAATACCCTTTTGATCGGTGTACTGATCTCATCCCGGTCTCCGTTGCTAATCCTATCACGTTTTTTCTTTCGACTTCTCAAGCAAACTTGCTGATGCCCAGCAAGCGGCTCAGTCCTGTGAGTAGCTAATTCATTGGTGAAGATCTTCCTGAAAGGCGGATAGTCTACAAAACCAGGTCTGATGAGGGGATAGATCTTTATTCCTCCAACTCTCTTTACCCTAGGTAGTTTGACGCTGACATGGTTCTTAACAGTGTCAGTCGGATTTGTGTTCACGACACTTTGGTCTAGGTTACCGCTGTTGGCAGACGCTGTAACAGAAACGCTCTCCATATATTGAGTAACAACTGTCTTCATGCTTTTTGGAGCAGGCAAGCGCAAGGTGCCACGCACCATCGGCTTCATGGACACTTCTATGGAATTGCTGGACTTAGAAGATCTTCCCCTGTGGTTGATATTCTTAACCCTCTGGCTGACCGTCCTTGTGCTAGAGAACTCCCGAAATGGCGTGATTAGGGGTGATGGAGATGGCATCATGGGCGTTGGAACAGAACTGACGGCTAGTTTCGACTTTCCTGTTTTGAACCTCGTGCGATCCAGTGGCCCATTTGCGCTCGGGCAAGATCCTCTAGTCAGCATATTAGATTTGTCATTTTCAGACAAAATTGGAGGGCACTCATTGGCTGAGGTCGAAGGATCCAACACCAAATCTTCAATGCCATCCTTGGGTACTGCCTTTGAGAGGCGTAAGATTGCGTTGTGCACTTCTGCACTATGGAGTCGAACTTCACGAACCAACAGGAGCGTCCTGCGGTTTATGCAGCCTAAATGCACCACGTCGGAAAAGAAGCTTCCCTTGAAGCAACTTGCGCATTCTTGAGCATGGTTTACAAAAGCTAGAAAATCCTTCCTCGATATCGGAGACTGTTTGGCGACCCGAATTGGAGCATCGCGATTCTTGTTGGAGCTGAGTCCTGTGGATTCCCTTTTGGGTTGCTTTGAGAGTGGCACCACATAGCCATAGCAGCCGTCAATATAAGCAAGACATGTGGTGGTTTCTCCCGCACGCGAATCGTAGCTCTTCCTTTCAATTGCCTCCGCCTTTCCAAAAATGACCACATGGTCGCCTATCTGCACTGTTTTTTCAGGCATATAGCAGCACGGAATACGGAATGCGACTGGGTTTTTCGCACCGTGACTTCGAGAGAATAGAGGATGGAACGTTAACGAACTCGATCGTGGTCTTTCCTCTACTGCGAAGGCCTTTCTTCTCGCTTCCTCAAGAGGAGATGCAAAACGAGATGCTAGTTCTGCACCCTTATCATCTGCCTTTAACATGTTGATATCAAAACGATTGGAAGATAGAATTGCATCATAGGTGGTCGAGGGAAGCTTTAGGTTCAAGGAAACAATCACTTCTGGTTCAAAGGTAACTGTTGTAAAACTGGACACCGTTGCTCCCCGCCAGGCATTTTGAGGGTCATTTATGTCCCTAGCAGTAATTATTGCCACTGATTGTGGCACTCGTCGCATACAGTGTCGCAACTTCTCCCTAGTAACGAACTGCGATGACTCCCCTGCTGGATATGGAGGGAATCCTGAATTCGTGTTTTCATCTTGCTGATCGAAGTCCCTGGCCTGCCCTTCTGAGGACAACGGTGCATTCTTTTGCGGAAAGGACTGTTTGCCCTTTCCTTTCGGTACTGCGCTGTCCATGAGACTCGACAGAGATCTCCTCTGCACTGACAAGGCGCAAGAAACATGCTGCTTTTGACCGAGCGCGCCAATATACTCGAGGCCCAGTCGCGGATTACGTTGCAACGGCTCAGAAAACTTATGTCTATTAGGACCGGGGGAGTCGGAGGTTCTGCCACTCAAGGAGTGATAGCCATGGCTTGATGTGTGTCTCTCATTAATGTGACTATCATTCCCGAAGCGAATGGGGACCTTCCTCAAGGTCTTTTCCTGCGAAGCTATTTTTCTTCTGGCTTTCGTATGTGTCTCAAGGTCGTGACGTCTCTTAAAGTGTACGGCGCTTACGAGCCTTGCAGGATCATGTGCAAAGAGTTCTGGGGAGACTCTCTCTGGTCTCGTAGACAAGCCATGGTTCGGGGTTGATTGAAAGGACTGTCCCTTACTTGGTGGGTCTAGGGCTTCTGCTGTTACTGCTGTTACCTGAGCGGGTACATCAGGTATTTGTTGTGTGGACAAGCATCTTGTAGTTGCTTCTCTTGTAATGACAACTGCTTTCCGGTTTTGATAGACATTAACTCTACCATACTGAGGGCGCCGTTCTCTGCCTTGACTTGCGCGCAGCTGAAACGTCCGAGCTTTCAATGATCAGCATATGGTTTGTACAGGAGAGCCTAAAGCTTACGATGAAGGACCACGCGGCGCACCTCTGTCCAGGAGGTACACGATGGTGCGGCCGCTGGGATGCATGCGGACAGCATCGCCGCCGCTATAGGACGTTACCGTGCTGAAACAGTGTCTGCTCATAGTATATGGAATGGTATAGATGCCACTTAGAGGCAGTTCGAGTGGCAGCAAACCGTGTTTTTGGCAGATATCTAAACAGCTACAATATGGATTGACAGCGGCCAAAAATTTTGGGGAGGCCCGTGACTTAATCAGTCCCTTTCCTCCACCTGTTCCCCTTTACTCCTTTGCCGTCTTTCTTCCCACACCTCCCACTTCTCAGTCGCAAAGACCGTTCTACAAGCTCTTCGACGAGCCTCCTGGTACGCAGAATCCTCGGGAGAACCGCATCTCCATCTAAAGCCGACCTGAACCATTTCCCCTTGCATCATGTCCGTCACATTACGGCCTATCCTTCGAATATCTTCACCCCCTTCCATCTTTCAATCCGGCATTTCTAGACCTTTTGTTTGTCAATCATGTAGAAATGCGCGCCTTCTTAGACGTCCCAAACGGCCTTACACCTTTACGCAATTGGTCACGCTATCTGACGGCAGCGCGTTTACCATGCGAACAACCTCTCCACTACCAGTCTACCGATCTACCCGGGATACGCGAAACACACTTCTTTGGAATCCTAGCTCGAGAGAGTTGATGAATGTGGAAGACGACGAAGCTGGACGGCTGGCGGGATTTAGGGCAAGGTTTGGGAGAGGCTACGACAGCGGCAAGGACACTACAGCAAATAGCGACCCCCAGAGACCTGCCCCAGACGAAGCCACAACCAGACCTTCAAGTGGAAAGGATGTTGAACTAGAGGATGATGGATTTGGGGAGGAAGAGGATGCAAATCTCCTCGATCTAATCAGTTCTTACGGCCAAGCAGAGGATGCACGAGATCGCAAAAAGGGTGGAGGGAAATGAATGAGTGTGCACTATTTGTTGGGGCTGCATGATATCAAGGTCAGCAGTTACGCTTTTCGCTAGACAAGATTTATCGACACGGGACAGCACAAACCCGAGGAGAGTATCCTTTCCGTGCCCTTGCGCTTCATCTTTGGAACTGCAGCCAGAAGCAACAGGGACGGGTTAAGTAAGGTCATGGACGACGAAGAAGAAGCTTCATTTCATTGAGATGCACTGACAGTGAGTGAGGGCAGGACCTTAGCTTCAGGGTACCAGTAATCTGGAAGTGGTGCCAAAGTACGGCAAATCTGCAGCGAGCTCATTATTGAGATGACCTTCCAACATCCTCTACTCTTGATCGCCGGTTCTGATGCCAGTACCCTGTACTATAGTGAGGATGCCATCAAGCACGCAAGGAAGCCGAAGGAGCTGCTCGTTGTTCCAAGCAAATCACACGGTGACTTGCACGGCTTGACTGAAGGTCAGGATCCGAAGCTCACTAAAATCCTTCCAACTATTGTCTCCAAGCTTGAAATGCAGATTTACAGAGTACATACCATTCAATTACAGTATTAGTATTATGTACTGTACTGTATATTAGTTGCTTGTGTCGCCAAGCCCCATGAGCGAAGTTGTGGCAGCAACATGTACATCCCCACCGCCAAATGTGAACTGCTCCCAGCTGTACGTAGTCGTTTATATAAGTATCATGCCTTCACATACACCATGATACATTCTTCTTAATGGACCTTGACGCTGGAGATTCCCCTTGGGGTGGTGCGTCAACCCTTGCCCTCCCTTTAGTCGTCAACTGATAGGCCATGCTGCAGATGTCCCTTCACAATCAGATGCCACCAAAAGTCCTGCCAGAGAAGACAAACCCTCTAGTAAGATTAGGCGTATTTTTCCGTTGCAGCAGTTCTGACTATTGTCTAGATGCACCTTCGCCTGCCAACCCTTCCCAACCCGACTCCCAAACCAGCAACCCACCAAGATCTCCTACCTCCCGGAAACTGCCCGCTCGCAAGATTGGAGCGCAGCCGACCCGGCTAGAGACTGTTGATGGCTCACATGATCCACTGGGACCCCTAGGGGTCGACGAGCCAGCATTTCCTTCCGCATCCTCGTCGTCAGAGCAGGCTCCCACTCCACCACGAAAAGAGTCAAGCCAGACACGCAATACAAGACTGTCAGGAGGTGCTCAGCAAGCGTCCTCCAGCCGTAGTGCTGCCGAAGCCGCCGAACGTGATGACTCAAGCAATCTACCAAGGAGGACAAGAGGCCCGCCGCCAGTTCAGCCGGCAGGAGTCGGCAGCCTTCGGCAGACACAGCCAAGTGTAAGCATTGAGCAAGCTGCCAAACCGTCCTTCGATATCACAGTGGGCGATCCACATAAAGTTGGCGACATCACCAGTAGCCACATCGTTTATCAAGTCCGGACGAAGGTTAGAGCATTGCCATTATGACACGAGACAGTCAATTGACAGGACTTAGACTACGTCGAAAGCATACCGCCAACCAGACTTCGCTGTTTCACGCAGGTACCGCGACTTTCTATGGCTTTACAACTCTTTGCACAACAACAACCCTGGCATTGTAGTACCGCCTCCACCAGAAAAGCAGGCTGTTGGTCGATTTGATTCCAATTTCGTCGAATCGAGACGGCAAGCGCTAGAGCGAATGCTGAACAAAATAGCACATCATTCTGTCCTCCAGCACGATGCCGATCTCAAAATCTTCCTCGAAAGCGATGCTTTTAGTCTGGATGTGAAGAACAAGGAGAATAGGGAACCTGATCTGGGTCAGAATAAAGGTATGTTTAGCTCGCTCGGCATCAATGTAGGCGGAGGTGGCGGGAAGTTCGTTGAACATGACGACTGGTTTCATGATCGGAGGATTTATCTTGATGCTCTCGAAAATCAATTGAAAGCTTTACTCAAAGCGATCGACACGGTGGTATCCCAGCGCAAAGGTCTGGCCGAAGCTGCAGGTGACTTTGCCGCTTCCTTGAGCTCTCTAGCCGCCGTGGAGCTCTCGCCGTCTCTTTCCGGGCCACTGGCTGGACTATCGGATATTCAGTTACGAATACGAGAATTGTACGAACGACAGGCGCAGCAAGATGTCTTGACTCTAGGCATCACCATTGATGAGTATATCCGCCTGATATCGTCAATCAAGCAAGCATTCCAACAACGTCAGAAAGCATATCACTCATGGCACAATGCGGAAAGTGAGCTGCAGAAACGCAGAAATACACACGAAAAATTGCTACGACAAGGGAAAAGCCAACAGGATAAGTTGAATGAAGTGGGAGCTGGCGTTGCAGATGCTGAGAGGAGAGCTCATTCAGCAAGATTGTTGTTCGACGACATGGGAAGACTAATGCGTGGGGAGCTGGAACGATTTGAAAGGGAGAAGGTGGAGGATTTCAAGAGCGGAGTGGAAACATTCCTCGAGGGTGCTGTGGAGGCACAGAAGGAGGTACGTCCGATTTACACACTTCGTCACAAAGAAGAGTGACTGGAATCGTTGAAAGAGAAATGCTGACCAACGCCTAGCTGATTGAACTTTGGGAAACCTTCTTGATGCAACTTAACGCAGAGGAAGGCGGGGATCCCTTCCACAAACCACCTGCCCAGCCTTCAACTGGAGAGATATCGAAACCGGACGAGGCCGCCCAAAAGCCGGCTTCAAGTCAAGACAATGATGTCGAAGCCGCTGCGACCGCCACTATCGAGCAGGAAGCTTAAAGAAGTTGTTGAAAAGCTCCTAAAGAATGCCCATGTGAGGAGTAGTATACGTTCGACAGCAAGAAGTATATGACTTGAGGCTACCACCAAATCGAAGTAACCTAATCAAGCCGACTTACTCCAAGATAAGGTGCAACGTGCAAGTGCAGCAGAGTCTATCAATATAACTCCCTTAGCCTTACTCTTTACCTGTGTTCCCCTTCTTTTCAGCTTTCTTCTCACTCTCCGTCCCTCTCGCTTTTTGTATCATCCTCGTCTTCGACCTGACACATGCACTCGACGCTTACCCAAAGGATCCCCCCATATCCTTCCCTGATTTTTTGATCGCGACACACCCGAATGCATGCCCATGACTACCTGATAGATCAACAAGCGAAGGTCTCACCACTGATCAAACAAACTACACAATGCTTGGCCGCCGCAACAAAGGCTTTGGTATGGTATTTTCCAAAGTTTTCGGGAGGAATGCTCGAGATCCCGTCGCTCGGGCAGGGGCAGGGTAAGGAGTGTATCTGAGGCATGATGTCCTACGATATCCCAGTGGAATAGGTAGATGCGGCCAGTGATTTGCGTGTTTACTTTACAAGGGAAGTAGTCGCTGGGTCGTAGCCATACTCCACATGGCCTGAGACGGCGAGATAGCCATGATATTCGACGTCTAGTCAGCCGACAATAGAGGGCATCCGATCCATTGTGCGTCAATGTAGAATTAAAGCAGGCAGCTGACACAAAAACATCGACCAAGTGCTGCACACGCAGAGGGAAGCCTCGAGATTATACATTTAAATTCATACGTCTGCTTGGTTCAAAAGGTTGTTACGCTCAAATTTGAATTGCTTGTTTGACTTGACTTGACTTTGACGCCAATTGAAGGTATGGAGCTTAGGACTCCGCTCGCGGGCACTTTTTCACATCATCAGACGAGATGAGATTTCTCCTTGCGCCTTGGTGATCAATTCTCCGCCTCTCTCTCCTACCAACCCCCATCAGCCAGCTATTACAATCGCATTTCTACTCTGCGGCGCCACTGGACCGTGTCGTCCTCTTATTGATTTCAGCCTTAGCAGTTTCCACGCCAGAGCTGGCTGCATCAACGGCTTGGTCCTTTGCCTCCACAACTTTCTCCTTGACCTTTTCAGCCGTCTTCTTCATGTCATCTTTCGATGGAGCGGCCGACGAGCTGCCAAGTCCAATTGCACCGATCAGAAGAGCCAGAACCGTAACCACTGCCACGCCAATGCCACCAGCGACTTCAGGCAAGAAGCGAATGGCTTCCAGGGGATCCTTCTTGGCGATTGTGATAAATAGCTCAAGTTTCTCTTTGACATATTTGACGGGGTCATCCTTGAAAACGAGATCCATCGGAGATTTCGGCTTGTCCTCTAGCTTCGGCTTCGATGCGGCTTCTTCGGCATCCTCGGCCGGACGTTTGACATCCCATGTCTCCTTTCGGAAAGCCGCAGCATCTTCAACTGAATGACCAATGTAGATGTTGTCAAAAAGGATATCCTTTTGCATGGTCCAGATTTCGAAACCAATCTATATCAAATTAGCATATTCTCTTGCCCCTTCTTAAATGTAGGACTCACTGCTCCCATGGGCTCAAAGTTGGCAGGTGTTTTGTCTTCAAAGTAGTCCGGATTGGGGATCTTTCGTGGAGCCCAAACGCCCTTGTAGGCTGGGTTGTCAATATACTCGGGCGTCCATTTGCCTTTGTACTTCGGATTCTTCTTCATTGGTGGCTCCCATTTGCCGCAGCCAGAAGCTTCTTCACATTTGGGGTTGGGAACGGTAGGTGGAATCCAGTCACCATCCTCCTCGTCATCCCAATCTTCTGGCTTCTCAGCTTCGGGATCAGGAATACTGGTTGGTTCGTCCTCAAGCCAATCGTCAGGTTTTGTAGCCTCCTCGTCGAGAATCTCAAAAGGCTCATCTTCATCCCAGTCGTCAGGCTTCTTGGCATCCGGATCGGGAATTCGAGCTTGGTCAACCCAGTCTTCTGGTTTCTTGTCGTCCTTGTCATCGATTTCCTTCTCAGGGTTGACGGATGGTGAGAAGTCTTCTAGGAGGCTTCCATTCTTCATCGAAGCATTGTCCACAAGCATTTCGAAGGTGTTGTCGGGCTTCACGATCAAAGTGTAAAGGGTAGATACTTTGGCGGTTTTGGCTACAGGAGGACTCTTGAGATGCTTCTCTTCATATTCACCAGTCTTGGGGTTCTTGTGCTTGAAAATGAAGTGGACCTAGCGATCATTAGAGTTGTGCAGTTTCCAATCATGCTGAATGGCTCACCTTGTTTGTCGCACCGCACTTGTCGGGCCCGAACATGATCACGTAAGGAGACGCGTTTGAAAATTCCTCAGCATGTAAAGCCTTGTTGTCCTTGAGCAGCTTCATATATGCACCTCCACACTCTAGTCCGTCTGCAAGAAGATTAGCAACAGCTGCATGGATGTCAATCTCTCCGTGCTTACTTTGAAGCTTAACCTCGTACTGCACAACTAGCGTCTTCCCTTTATTATCTATCGTCTTGGGAAATTTGGCAGAGATAGCATGGTGCGCAGCTGGATTCTTCACCACGAGCCCCTTGTCACCGATCATACCCGGCAGCACTGATGGCTCTTCGACTGCCCATTCTCCCACGTATGCCCAATCCTCAGCGGTCTTCGAGTCTTCCTTTTTGGCATGCGACGGTGTCCATCTCGAGTCCCAATCATCAGTGAACTGTTCAAGAAAGGGGGCTTTAAGGGTGGTAGGCTGTAGAGCACCGAGAATTAGTCTTTGCCCAGAATGCCGCCAAGTCAAGTGCAACATACGGTGAAAGTAGGCTTCGCAACAGTAGTGGAGGACTCGGCCGCAGGCTCATCCTGAGCACATGCGGAACCAGCAAGAAGGGTGGAGGAGAAGATGGCCGAAGCCACAGCTTTGTTAAGCCGCATGACGACGTGAAGCCGCAGGCGAGGGGGAGTAGAGTAGGGAGTTGTTATTCAGAAGGGTAGACAAGAACGGAAGCTGGTTGGAAGCTTCGTAGCGTTAATTTGAAGGGGTTTTAAACAATTGTCGAGGTGGAAATCTGTCAACTTCTCCGTTTCCCTGCGCTATTCCTATTTGGGCCCCGTTGGTGTCCTCGGCACGATGCTTCCACAGCTGCAGATGGAAACCAATCTACCGTCAATCACCGTAGCAGACCCTTTCTTCATAGGAATCACAATAAATCAAAGGATCCCCATCCCGCTTGTGCTTACTGCAATACAGCTCTGCAGATATACAAGCTCGCCCAAAGCTACCCTATCCTCTCACAAGCTCATACTCGGACAGTATGCAGCGTGAGAACAATGACCACCTGGTGATATCTTCCGACTCTGACCATCCAGCAAACCTGATTCCAGAGCTATGTAGAAAGTTCTACCAATTGGGCTGGGTGACTGGTAGGTGGTTCGCATTGATGCTTCATCCCGCTAACAAGGTAAGGCACTGGCGGTGGAACATCGATCAAGCAGGATAATCTCATCTATATTGCTCCATCTGGCGTGCAGAAAGAGCTCATCAAGTCCGAAAATATCTTCGTGCTCTCCTTCCCTACACCAAAATACCCTCCCTCGGATCGCAAGTATATCCGTAAGCCAATGGAACTGAAGCCTTCAGCTTGTACGCCATTATTTCTTGCTGCTTTCGAAAGGGGCGCTGGTTGCTCAATCCACACTCACAGCCAGTGGGCTGTCCTTGTCACTCTTCTCGTCGAGAAAGTTCATGGCAAGGGCGCCTGTTTCGAGATCAGCAACATTGAGCAAATCAAAGGTATTCCCCGCGGACGAACCAAAACTGGGATGCTAGGCTTTCATGACACATTGAGAGTCCCCATCATAGAGAACACGCCATTCGAAGAGGATCTAACGGGGAGTCTCGAAAAGGCGATGGAAGAATACCCAGATACGTACGCCGTGCTCGTGAGACGGCATGGAATGTAAGTCAGAGATGCTCAAAGTGTATCTCTGGCATTGCTAATCTTAGTAGCTATGTGTGGGGAGATAATCCTGCCAAAGCAAAGACACAATGTGAAAGCCTTGATTATCTCTTTCAACTTGCTGTCGAAATGCACAAATTAGGTCTTCCATGGATATGACAGACAAGTCCATGTCTGCCTTCACCGTCCGCTACTTGAGACTCCACATGACCGTGTAAATCTCTTTTTTTAGAAGCGAATCAATACTCTTCCTGCCTGGATGTGGGCCATCTCCGTCATCTAACGAGGCCCAACCTTAGATCTTTGAGAGACTCGCAGCTTTATCTTTGAAGGACTTTTATTCGTCTTGTCAATCCCTGGCGCTCAAAGCAGCAGCTGATCAGTTCATGGTCATTGCCTCCTGTTGTGCGCCTTCTAGATTCAGGCTCTAACATGCAAGGTGTGCTCTTACAACTTTCCCTGTATCTTCGTCTCTGCAAGACCGTGCGTAAAAGATCATTCGCAAGGAAGGGATGCCGTGCTTCAAGAAAATCGTCGCATGCAACTTCGCCGCCTAAAGGCCTCTGCTTGGAAATTATCATGGATACAGGAAGATATGGGCACAGGGGGCCTTTGTGTTGTTAGAATGGAATTTTCTTCCAAAAATTCACTACCAATTGGACCCTTAGATAATTCAAATGGTTGTGATTTTATTGAACGGAGTCAAATGTGGCTGAAGAAATTCAACCACAAAAGTCTCCTTCTCTGAACTTCCCCAAAGATCAGAAATAAGCGAGCTCTTTCATGATCGCTGGTCCCAGATCCAAGCCGAAACTTGCCGGGCTACCCTCCAAGAAGCCGCCTTCGAAGGCAGAATAGTCACCAAGATTGGATGCTCTACGAGCTCCAAAATAAGCGACTCCCTAGCCCACGACGACTTCGGCGATGGCAGCTTCTACATTCTCCACGTTCCCGGCCACGCCGTCAGGCACATATCTGGCCTCGTTCGAACCACACCAGACGGCACCTTCGTCTCCCTCGCCGGAGATGTCTGCCATTTCGGAGTCTCTTTTTGGCTCACAAAGTATATTCCCTTGTCATCAATGTTCCTACCAGTGACGAAGTTCAACGCTAGGATCAAAACACCCTGTCAATGCACCGCATTCACCATGTGTCATCCCGACCAGGAGAAGGGTCGCCCGTCACCCTTCCACCGTGCCAGAATTGCTGGAGAATCATGGTACATGGATACGCCTACCGCGCAGAACCCAATCAACAGCTTCGAGACCTTCGATGCACATGAGGACGTCTTGGTTGTGATGGCACATGGCCAGGCCGCTATGAATAATTAGAAGGTCGTTATTAGCGGATGGATCACACCGTGATGGGAAACTGATCAAAGCGATTGGTCCGGCGACAGGGACGAGACATCAAGGTTTGGGAGGGGAAGTAGCTTTGGTAGATAGAGATGGGAGAGCTATATAAGCATAAAAGGTCCCAAAGATATTTCAGAAATTTTTGAATCACAAATTCGGCGGAGAAATCAGGCGTTAAAAAGTAGAAGAGAGAAAGGAAATATGAGTTTTAGGATGTAAAGGTGTGAAATATCAGGCAAGCTGTCAAATCATATAGAGAGATAATAACAAGAATCTAGACGAACACATGCATCAGTAACTGTATTAGAAAAACTGTGACACAATGCAGATGGCAAGAACCAGCCAAGATGCAGTAAGAAAGATGGCGTCAGACTTGGACATATACAGCCAAGGCAGGTCTTTCTCCCGCGTTGGAGGGCATCCATCCGGCGGTGCTGTAGGACTCTTCTTGGCATGGGCAACTGCACGTTTGTAGAGGTTTTCTATAACCATGACTGGTGAAGCTGTTGCCTTCTTCTCCGGTGAGCTGCCAGTAATCAACTTGGCTGGTCTGATCTGAGCTTGAGTGACTGCTTCGTGCAAGGGGTTCGCGTGTGAGGACACTTCCACGTCGTTGAGTGCTTGCATGTCATTGGAGGCTTCCGTAGAGAAGCCGGCGGTGCCGGAAAGAGTAACTGTCTCGCAACGGGTCTCTGTTTGGCTCAGTCTCTCCGCTTCATTTTGTGCTTCAGCTTTGGCGAGCCTCTCCTTCTCTTCTTTGGTCAAGCTATGTAATTTGGCCAGCATCTCGACTTCATTCTCTGCAATAGCTTCGTCCCGGTCGTCATCTTCAACCTCGGTCAGGTCATCCGCTTCGCTCCGGATCTCTGCTTCGTAACGTAAGTTAACTTCAATCAGGTCGATTGCTTTCCGCAGCGCAGCTACCTCCTCGTCGTCGTCTACTTCTTCGTCTGTCAAGGAGCCTGATCGGCCTTGCTGTGGATGTGTAGCCTTCAGGAATACTTTAGCGATAGGCACCTTGAACGGATCCGTCTTTCTCCTCTTAGGAGCAGATGACACGCCGCTAGTTTCCAATTGATGCTTGCGAGCGTAGCACGTCTTTATTGGTCTTCCTCCGGGGTGACTCTCAGCTTTGTTCTGGTCCGTATCTTCCTTCCCAGAGACCATGAAGGTTGTCTCCCCGCATTCACCGTTCAATTTCACCCCAGTGGGAGGGAAGTTTAATCGGCCAGCATCGAAGCGGTAGACCAGGCTGAGGTCAGCCGGTCTGGTGGAGGATTTGTGGAAAGAGAAGAAATCTCGCTCTCCCTTCCGTACGGCTTTTTGGAGTCCTTGAATTGAGAGCTTGCCAGAATCGTCTGGACACTGCTGAACATAGAAGATTTTCCAATCTTTTACTAAGCTTTCCAATTTCTCTGGCCAGGTTGTGGCGTAGTCGCCCTGGGAGTTGGTAGGCAAACAACTCAGATGGCGGCGGACGGTGCCTTTGCAGCGAAGTTGACCAATTCTATGTTCTGCAAAGGGCAGAAGGGTGTTCATCAAGAAATTCAGCCCAAGGACATCGTCTTCTGCCGAGATGATGAGGTGATTTAGAATCACGCGCAGACCTACAGAGAGGTGGGATGACTTGAGGACGTCGCATGTTCTTCCATCCCAGGGGTAACCCAGGCACATCTCCCAAAGGCGACAGCAGAAAAGGGCCATATCCTCTGTTCGATTTGCCTCGGTCAGGGGCACCGCCCAGCCAAAATCTCCAAGAACAAAATCAGGTAGGCAATCGTCGAGATTCTTCTCGGGATACCGAAGAAAGATGTTCTGTGGCCAGATGTCCTTGTGTTCGACTTTGTTCTCGCTGAGGAAATTAAGGATCTTGCAAAAGTCAGCGATGAATTTCCAGATCAAAAGCTCGGGCATTGCAGAGCTTCCTTTTCCGCAATAAACATTTAACAGACCTCTGAGATCCCCGCCGTTACAAAACTCGGTACAGATTGCCCGGTAGTGATAACCCCTTGGTGAATCTACATACTTTGTGATATCCTTGACACGCGGGATCAGGTCAAAGGATAGGTTGAACTCAACCTCGTTGGGGATTCCTGTTGTAGAACATTCGGTTACCTCCACAGTTTTGCGAACGTAGAGCTTGTTGTCGTCAAGAGATTTGACAAGCACGACGTTGCTCTCAATCTCAGGGCTGTCACACCTTGTTTGGAGCACTTTGACCAGGAGGTAACCGGCACCATCTGGGAAGTAGATTGCGTTTGAAGGCTGAACGTTAGACATGATTAGAAGGAAATTTGTTGAACTGTTGGGAATAACGGTCTGCAAAGTGTGGACTGCTGTATGCCCACCGAGGTTTGCAATATCGTGAGGGGATAGTAGATAGATGACGGAATTTTGTGGTGCAACATATTCCCCGATTCCATAAAGTATACAAGTGTCCGAAGACCTCGAGAACTAGAAACAATGATCAACGACTATCCAAAGAAAGGACTACTCCAAAGGACAAAGACACGGTTCTGATGACGTACAGAACAACAAAAGCAAATGAAAGCATTGCCAATGAGAATGTTCTTGGACAAAGGATTCATCCAGCAAACATGTTATGTCTTTACCGGAAAGCGATTGCAAGGGCAGTATTGCCGTCTAGCAAAGGTTTCAGACTGTGCGATTCAAAAAAGAGCCTCGAGTGCGGTTTCAATAGTTGGTTTGAGATCCAGCTAAGGGCCAAGTCCTTTTAGAGGAATTGCCCAGCCGTAGCCCAATTCAGTATCTGTATGTAGTTTTCACACTCGCTTGTTAATACCACAACTCAAGGGCGTCAGGTTGTGAATATGGCACGCCCACGCCCTCGCTTTTAGTAATACAAGCCGTACCACGGAGCAGGTCAGTATGGCACAAAGCGCATACTTGTCAACAGCGTTCGATGGCAGATGTTTCCGACAATGCCGGTGAGCCGGGGATAGAAGGAAGCCCGAATCCGAACATGCCGTCGAGCTCCTGTCAGGTGTTTCATATCAGTCCTGGTTTCTTTTTATTTGACTGGTGGTATGCAAGAGCAGGTTTGGCAGATAGTGTGCTACGCCGTAGGGACTGCAATTGGCTCGCCTACGCCACAAGCAATCCAAGGGGATAACCGTGCAGTTCTCCCTCGTCCAAATTATACTGGTTCGCCCAACTGCTCACATTTCCCCACACTGAGCAATAGAGACGTCTTGCACAGGCTTTTCTCTAACGGTCCTAACCAACTCCACTTTCTTTACCACATCTACCCCATCAATCACCTTTCCAAAGACGACATGCTTGCCATCTAAGAAAGGAGTGGGTACAGTGGTAATGAAGAATTGACAGCCGTTTGTGTTTGGCCCGGAGTTCGCCATGGACAAGAGGAATGGAGACGAATGTTTATGCTGGAATGACTCATCAGGAAAAGTCAGATGGGTCGGTGGATGGATCGTGAAGGTTCCGGTGCCATCGGAGTTGAGAAAGTCACCACCTTGAATCATGAAGTCTTTGATCTGTTGTGATAGGCTCAGTACAATTAGCCAGGAAGGACGTGCAAGTTGACCGCTGCCTGACATGGGTCTCGAAAGCTTGAAAGGAAGGCTTGACTCACTACACGGTGAAACTTCGATGCTTTGTAGCCCATTGGTCTGCCCTGAGCATTCTTGTATTCGCCGGTACAAAGCTGGCGGAAGTTCTCGGCTGTTTTTGGGACAGTGTGACTGAAAATTTGCATCTTTATGCGTCCGAGGGGCTCTCCTAGAATAGAGCAAGAGACTCAGCATGGTTATACGTACACAGCTGCCATCCAAGTTTCGACGACTAAGGGTTAGGAGAGCAAAGACGGTTAAGCTTCCAGCTATCATTGAACAGAGTGACATATACAGAACAGAGGAAATCCCAGCACAATAATTGAATCTCAAGAATATAGAATGGAATAAGTGCCACGAAGAAATGCCACAATAGACTGCAGGAGAATTCAAGAGGAGATGAAGTTGTATACCTCCAAGGGTCAAATCGAAAAAGACGATAGGCTCGGGCTCTTGCGCTGCGAAGGTTTCTGCCATGAGAGGCCGTTATGGTTGCTCTAACTGCCCTACTCGGAATTAAGATGAAAGAGAGGCACGTCTAAGATCTTCGGTATGCACTCCGGTCAAAGATCGAGTGGGTTTGTAGGTATTGCGAAAGTGTAGGCCCTGGATGGTCGCTGACTATTACTACTAACTTAGTACTAACTAGTAGGTCGACTGCCGTCCTCCCAACCCGAATTTCTTGGCATCATTTTGGTTGATCACTGCATTCACCCCTGAAAACCGAACGGTGTATAACAACTTCCAATCTTCTCTCTACTTGCTTCCTTAGTAATGAAGCTCCATTTCTTCCCACTTTCTGAAGTAATGGTCATTCTTTTCAATTGTCGGGTTAGCAAGAATCTACACAGACAACATGGCGGCCTACATACATGATTTTGGCCGCAGAACCACATTTCAGGTCCCTAGGTTACAGGAATAACGTCCTGTTGACTAATAAAGCAAGAACGGATACTGCACATTAGTCTCTTTGAAGAGAGAGAGAGATGAGAAGGCAGCATGTTTGGCAACGCCTTGCTGGATCGGCATCAATTGGTCACCGTCCTTATGGGATGCTACGCAGAAGCCGCACTGCCTTTGTCGTATTGTCCTCTCATCAGGTGCAGCCTGTACAATTTCCAGAACGCAATCGGTCCTATTTGAGTACGTTTACCAAGACGTTGGGTGACCGTAAAGTCCGCCTTCGTCCTCTCAGATGTTCTCACCAAAATCGACGAGTATCATCAACTAACAGCAGTATTGCCACCACAGTCAGCATCACTCGACCCGCTCAAGACGAAGACCCTGCTGCAGCCCATATCGGTATATCTGACGTGGAAGACATAGCGTCCTATAATTGGCTGGAGAAACCCACGCCCACCATCCTAGTCCCGGGTATACCTCCAGTCTGGTCCGTCCCGAAAATCACTCCTCGATTGCTGCCAGATGTCGGCAAGCGCGTTCGCTACATCGACGAGAACGCTGATCGCTATCCATGGTCACAGCTCGAGCCTCTAGTTCAGGCGGTCACAGCTACACATCCAGATTTCGATTTCAATGGCCTAGATGTTGTGACCGACAGGCGGCCAATCCGACAGGTTCTGGAGTGGGCGACAGGAAAGTCCAAAGAGTTCCAGTTCGGGGTTGAGGTCGTTCGGAATACTGCTTTCTTTATAAGAACCGAGAAACACGCACGTGAGACAGTTCGTTCTGGGATGTTTCGAGGGTATCGGCGCGCCTTCGAGCAGTCATATTTCAAGATACCATTTTACGCCCAAGACACTACGGCTCATTATGCTATGATTCGTTACCGGCTTGGTACATTGAAGGCCCTTATCTGCTCGACTTTTGATGGCTATCTGCCGGAAGAGGTCTCAGGTCACGACACTTCGGCAAGCAGAAGTACTCATGGTCAAGCGGATATGGCCAATTTCAGGAGCTCTATCTCTCACCTTCCGAGGGCTCCATCGATCAAAGACACACCAGAGGCGCCAAGTTTGACTGTGCTCCGAGGCAAAAAGGAGGTTCCTCATTCGGCCCTCTTCGAACTCTCAACGCGTTCAAAGTCTAGAAAGACACCAATTAATATAGAGGCCAAATTTCCAGATATGTGGCTATCCCAGACGCCATACTTTGTCACCGCGCTCCATGAGAACGTTAAATCGAGACAATCTCGTGATAATAAGGAATTACCCCCTTTCGCCGAGTTCAAGGATATTCAAATCACGCATATCAAGGAAAAACTGCAACAATGGGAAGAGGCTAACCAGTCGAGCATCAGAAAATTTGTGGTCGTGCTGCAGCAAATCCTTGAGCAGGCAGCGGCTATGGAAGCACCTTGTATGGTTACCCATGTGAAGACCGGGGAAGGTCTGAGGTTGTCAAGGGTGCACCCTGGCTCGTTCGCGGGGTCGCCAGAGAGCTTGAAAGCCAGACTGCGTGACAGTAGTTGATGTTTCAGCTATTATTTTGGGCATGGTTGGACAGTGAGATTCGCTAAAAATGGTCTTGTGATGCGGCATTGTTCCCGTTCTCATCACTGCATCCAGTATGGGCTTGAATGCAGAGATATGCAGCTAACAACCCGTCTTGCAGTTGTGATACCTCGTCATGCTGCTCTGACCCCTTCCACTGCGCTTTGAGCCTGGGCGCTCCCACCACCTGTCAAATTGCCAACGAATTCTTGATATCTGAATACATCACCTGTCTTCTTGGCGCCACCTAATATATTCAGACTCCTTTGGCCCACTGTTCCAACAGCATTCTTTGCGAAGACTCTGCGACCCGTGAACCCACTATTAGCGCCAAGGACTGCTTCAACATCGCGTTCGGTCAAGGGTCTATCGCCGGGATTGGGTGTGGTATGTAATAAGGCGTCCTTCAGCTCAGCAACATCGACTTGGCCGCTATCATCATCGTCAAAAGCAGAGAAGGCGTTCAACAATTCCTGTTGTGGTGAGAGTTCAACGAGAATGTTGGCCAGCTGGTTGAGAAATTGCGGCAAAGAGAGCTGCTGGGAAGAGCCAGGTGGGAAGAACTGTGAGGGATCAGAGATCCCAAGCGAGGAAAGTGTCTCGTTGACATCTGCTTGCGAGATGCTGCCCGTATTATTACGGTCGAGGACTGAACAGGCTTCGCGCATCGAGTGAAGAAGTTGAGGTGGCAGCCTTGAAAGGTTGTCGGAAGACGATGCAGCAGGACTCTTAAACGATCGGTGATCTCGGGCAGGGCTTGTGGACAATGCAAACGTGTTAACAGCTGAAGATGGGCCGGCAAAACCACGACCTGTAGGTGATGGAGGCGGTTCGGTGTGTGATCTCATTATTTGAGGAGCTGTTTGTTCCTCCTCGTCTGCAGCAGTAAAGGTTTGCTTCAGCTTGGAAGGCGATGTCATTGGGGACTGTGCATTCTTGCCAGGGGAGGAATGTGGCGAGGTCGATGGTCTACCAACTACGGTGGTTGGTGTGGAGGGAGTAGATGGTCTTCGGAAAGGTGATGCGCGTGTAGAATTAAAGGATAGTGTCGACGATTTGTATGTGGAAGCCTACTCAGTCAATTAGCATGATAAAGGGATAGGAGGCGCAAATCGATACCATTTCAGGTCGACAATGCTAGACTTGCTGTAGGCCGTAAGAGGCGAATGGTAGCCTCACGAGACGCCGAAGCTGGATTACTCAAGGTGTACAATATTAAGTACTTTGGCTAGAGGGGTTGAAGCACGTACTACTTCTAGTAACTTAGTACAAAATGTAAACAATCGGCAGGTCGGACATCTTGGCAGGAACACGAGAGTTAGTAGTACGGAGTACTGCTGCTGCTGCTGCTGCTAGTACTTAGTACAGTGGTACCCACAGTACGGAGTACATAGTAACATAGTACATACGTAGTAGTATTTTGCACACAGACCCCTGTGGTGAACCCTTGTTGCTGGCATAAATTGGGCTGATTGACATGTGGTCTGCGTAGTACTCCGCACGAATTGTCAATTGGGACAGATCCACAATGTTTTCCCCGTCCTCTGGAAATCCCGCGCGTTGACCTTGCCAAATCAGTTAAGGCTTGGAGGAACGCTTTGCAGTCAGCCCGTGAAGACCTGGACTCTATGGTAGCAGCCAGTAGAGGGCAATCCAGCCTTGAGACAACTGAGGCCTCCATGCAGGACATACTGTGGATCGCACAACATATCTACCACCCACTACCTCCTGACATTTCTCAACTATGACGACAACGCTACCTTCTCATTCTTCCGTACCTAATTCCTCTCTCATTGAGAGAAGAACGTCTTTCTCCTCCTTTCCCGCGTCTCAAAGTTCCTCGACCAGCCTCACGCGACACAAGCAGACCTCGCAGACTTCGCTCATACCTAGATCTCCAGCAGCCAGCTCAAGGAAATCGTTGCATCTAGACTCGTCATATCCCCATGGTGTTACGCAACCTGTACCGAGGCGGCTCAAATCGCAATATCCATTGGACTCTCCAGAACGTCATGTGGAATATATTCTGGTTGCATCTTTTGACATTGATAGGGGGCCAATCATGGAACATCAGTATCCGGGCGCCATCAGTCCTAACGAGAATATGCTGGCAGAATTAATGTTGCCTGATCAGACCCATGTTCGGACACAAGACTGGACAATGTTCTTCCTACACAAAGATTCGGGCGCTGCTGAGGAAGAAGAGGCTCCTAAGAAGACCAGGCGGAAAAAGGGAGAAGACGAAAGGAGCAATCCAGAACAGACAGATATGGGCGATGAAGGCGCGACATCAGACGACAGCAGTGATGAAGGCAATGAGAGTGAAGAGGGAGATGCGGGCGAGGGACCGCCGTTGATGTATGTTTTGAACCTGGTGAACACCAAACAGGACAATTCAGTGAAGAGGTAGGTTTGTACAACTTGCGTTGACATGGTGGAGCTGATGGCATATATCAGAGGAGCAGTAGTGAAAGCGATGGCAATCTGTACCAGGCACTCCTTTCTCCACATCTACAAGGTGTGTGTTGGCGATCAAATCACGCCTAGGGATCAGAAACTGACTCAGACAGCCACTTCTGCTACTCGCCCTTGAGGATTACTTCAAGTCTCCTTACCCAGAGACCCTAGCTGGTTTATATAATGCTGTGAATGAAATGGATCTCTCGTTGATGCCGCGATTGTCAACATTAGAACGACATATACTCCAAGCAAGTGATGTGAAAGACATGTTCGTTGAGAAATTCGAGCATATGATAAAGCAGAGACTGGCTGAAGAGGCCGCTTTGGCTGTATCGGGTGAATCAGACTCGCCTACCAGACCAGGCACCAAGTACAACATTCCGAGAGATACTCACGAATTTGAATCGAAAGTTGTCTACAACGACATCCCCATTCCTATAAAAGTCCCAACGGCTCCCTCGTCCGAGACTGTCGGTGACTTCTCTTTTGTCAAGCTTATACAGACTTTTGGTGGTCCACATGCAGCATCACCACAGCCTTTTGCCCTTCACCCGCACCTGACTACATCTGGCGCTTACACGCATCCCATTATAGTACTTATAAATGCAATGCTCACACAAAAGAGGATCATTTTTCTAGGCCATAATCGACCTTCTGGCGAAGTAGCTGAGGCGGTTCTTGCTGCTTGTGCCCTCGCCTCTGGTGGTGTTCTCAAGGGTTTTACCAGATATGCGTTTCCTTATACAGACCTGACAAAAGTGGATGAGTTGCTTCAAGTACCAGGCTTTATCGCTGGGGTGACCAATCCGGCGTTCGCCAACCATCACGAATGGTGGGATTTGCTTTGTGATCTTCCGGCCGGAAGAATGAAGATCTCGTCCAAAATCGAGGTGGCTCCCGTTACCGAAGGTCTACTATATTTCCAGCAGCAACATCCAAGTTTTACCACGATGATGAGTAACAGCAATACCAGCACCGATGCAACCGGCGACACAGCTTTCATGGAAGATATCATGCGGAGCATTGCTGCGCGACACGGTGAATCTGCTATTCGAAGTAAGTTTGCTGCTTACACTACGAAGTTCACGCGGATAGCTGCTGCTTTCGAGGAGTCGGTCTATGGCGCCAGTGCGTTGTATGTTGTGTCGCTCGGCGAAGCGGTGCTAGACATCAACTCTCCTGCCGTTGACCAGACCGTAGGTCCTAAGAACGAGCCTTTGACCTCACAGGAAGCCATGGCTGGCTTGAAAGGGCATGGTTATGTTTGGCCGAACGACGAGATGAAGAACCGAGAACTGGCTGCATCGGTGTCTCGGATAGAGGGCTGGAGAAATACCCGAAGCTACAAGACTTTCATATCTGACCTTGCCTCGTCTCATTCTGGGGCAGGCCGTTCATCGCATTCCCCATCACCAACCAAAGGCAATTTGCCACGGCCGAACATTGATCTTCATCATGTTCTCTCGCGGTTACGTACTCTTCGACTCCCACCTGCCGAGGCGGGAGCAATCTACCTAGTTCTATCGTCCTTCTGCACCGACTATGACAGTATCCTTGAGCTGCTCGAGTTGACACCGATGTCTGAAGCTGGACTATTCTATATCACATTAGGACTGTTTCACGAAGAAAGAATCGTTCGGGAAGCGGTCGTAGTTCTCCTCGAGAGAATCCGAAAGCACGAATGTGGGCGTCACTTTTGGAATCGGGTTGGTGGGTGGATTAGTATGGGCTTCCAACGCGCATGGAAAGAGAGGGAGTCCCGTTCGGTGGACAGAGACTATGAACGCTCTGGGGATGCCCCACCTCCTCTTGGACTAGGGGTTAGTAGGACAATTTAGGGACGCAAGTTTCATTTAAACCAGAAGGGGGCGTTGATGCCCCGTAATGCACGAAACGAATGGTAATGGTGATTGCCACTTCGTGCCTCTGAGCTGTTGGTGGCTGTACACTACTAGTAGGTTAGCGAACAGCTCAGCAATGGGAGCAAATGATGTGTCTGCATACTCCGTACACTTCCCACCGCTGCACATTCCATCTTGTCGGCTATGTACACAGAGTAAATCTGTTTTCGTGATGCGTAGTCCAAGAACCACTTTCCAATTGCAAATAGAGAAAATCCTGGATGATTGCAGATTGATAGGCGTTATGCATACTCCGTACGTAGTGGATCGCTATGATAACCTATCAAAGTCTATTTACAGGTCGAAGGTAGAAAGATCTGGGGCTTGACCAATTGTGAAGAGTCGGGGTCTGGACGAGGCGCTTGCGGGAAATTCAATGAGTACTGACGAGAAGGCTGTATTTCAGCATCCTCAATGGGCAAGAAGAGCACGCGATAGGTGAGACTTGTTCCTGATACCTTTGGCCATGTTGCTAATCATAACAGTGTGCATGGGTGGGCTGTGCCAACGTTCAGTCACTACGGGGTACACATCTCAAGCATGCATCCAAAGTACGCAACTGCTCGATCCTCCCAATCACATGCATAGTTCGCACACCTCCAACGATGTCAATGATACATCATGGATACTAACTAGTCATAATGGGATAGTAAGCGTGTGCCACAGCCCATCCTTCGCAGTCCAACCAAGACAGGACCCAACCTTGCTTCAGCAGCAGCAGCCGCAGCCGCATCTTCTTGCAGCTGCATCTGACGCCGGCCTGCTTCGGGCAGGCAACCTTCCGCTTCTGGCAGCATGGCCCCCCTTGTTACTCTCGTGGATTCCTTCCTTCTAGGAGTTATGGCCAAGAATACACAGCATTTGAAGATACCAAGTTTGAAAATTACACAAGGATGGCAGAGTCACACGATCAGGGACGGAAGCCTCTGCGCAATGTCGTTTACTACGTAGTCTCGGAAGTCATCACGGTGGCTTTGGACTGTCCTCCTCCTATTTATCCAATTTCTACTTTTCCGGTCTTTGATCTCAAAGATCTTTCAAACATGTGCAAGACCGATCGATTGATCGAATTTGCTCCCAACGGCCCCCAAGTGGGCACGGTTTCTGGGGAGGGGCCTGTCAAGTGGAGTCGTTGCAGGGCGCGGTTCCGGGAGTCAATAATGGTCCAGTCCAGGTCTTTCATTTCAAAAACAGAGTTTGCACTATTGATCGGCCTAGATAGGGCGACAGGGATCGTGCTTACTACATACTATGTAGTAGGCACAATTGAGATTGTGCAAATACGTAGTAATATCAGCGCGACACACTAGTGGAGAGATTGAGGAGATGAAGCACTTCTCCAGAGCAACCTTTTCCACCCTTCTCTCACTCAACATTACGTTCTTCTATTTCATTATTGTCACCTGTTGGATTCGTCCTTCGTCCATTCGTTTGCAACTGGGAATACGCAATAGCACTTATCCTGATCCGGAGTTCTCTCCACGTGGTTCTGAAACCGGAGATCAGCAAACAGTACGGGAGATCAGCAAGATCAACAAGAATCTCCACAGGTACCTGACATCGCTGGACATCGCCGGAGATCACTCTCGACCACTTCTTCTTACTTTCTACACTCAATTGGCTTTCTGAGCAAAATTGTTAACGCTGTCGCTGGTCATTGGCGTGGATCCTGACACTTCTTGGTGCAGCTGCTGGAACATTCCCACTCTTTGATGTTTCGACACAGCCTCTTTGTTGGGTATTTGTGGTCCCATTCCAGCGAAGAATTTTTAGCAACGCACTCTTGTGTCAACACAACTGCAAGGAGACGTCAAAACTTCGTCCTACCCGCCGATCTTCCAGGCTCTCGATGGGCAGAGACCACCTTGCGGCTATGTCTTCACTTCCTGACCGGCCACGACCTGGTCGCAGACGGGTATCTTACAACCGCCGTGCTGGCGTTGCCAGCCCTGGAGGATACCGCCTATTGGCAATCCCTACAACTTTTCTTTCAATTCTTATCCTTATCACCACAGTCTTACCACCCTCGGTGGCCCGCGACATCCAAGTACCATACCAAGAGTATGATTCTCTTCAACTCAGACGGCTTGCACGACGGGGCGAAATAGCAATTGACAGAGGAGCTCCCCCACCCAGACCAACCCTTCGTCAAAGGCAGGAAAATGCGGATCCTTTTGGCTCCACAGTCGCGCCGTTGGCGACACCAACCTCTGAACAAGAAGGTTCAACCGCGGCTTCCTCAACTACGACACCAGCCTCTGAATCAGAAGTTTCCGCTATGGCTTCCGCAACCGACATCGATTCGGCCATCTCAATCCAGAGCACCCTCGTCGTGACACCAACAAACACGATGTCGGCGAATGCCACCTCCACTGGCAATGCCACATCAAGCATTGAGACGGCATCTGCCACCGCTGGGCCCCCGTCAGCTCTTCCCAGCCCCTTCGACACTTCGCTCGGCGACAATTTCACTGCTCAGGGTTGCCCCAACTTCTTCAACGCTTTCCTCAACAATGCAACCTTCAGAGACTGCCATCCAACTTCGCTATTACTACAAAACAGCCACTCGTTCTTCAGAATCTCTCGGTCTCTTGTTTCCTTGTCCCAAGCGCTGGATGCATCCTGCAAGCCATCACTCGCTCAATGCAGCCCACTGATGGCCTCTCTTGCGTCCCAACTGATGCAGGATTCGAATTGCGGCCAAGACTACCGCAATCAGAATTCTCTCGTCGTCCAGGCTCATGCCGGTCTTGTTTCTTACGAGCCTCTCTACCGCGCAACATGTCTCAGGGACAGAGCGACAGGAAACTACTGCTTCGCTGATGCAATCACCAATACCAGCAATCTCTCCGACTCGTATCCATACTACACTGCACTTGGCACCATTCTGCCTGCTGCAGCACGACCCACCTGCGATGAATGTCTGCAAGGGACAATGGAAATCTTTGCCGGTTATGCCACCAACAGAGACCAGCCCGTGTCCAAAACCTACATCAGCACCGCCCAGCAGATTAACATGGGGTGTGGTCCCGAATTTGTTAACACCACGGTGCCAGTAGGCACGGTCTCAAACTCGGCCGTGAAGCAAGGGACGGTCACCGAAGCGTCGGCTCTGTTAGCATTCGTCCTTGGTTTGATTGTGGCCTGTGTGGCTTTTTGAACAGACCATTGCCACTTTGGGTACCATCTTTGCTGAATCTCCCAATAATGTTCTTGTACAGTCGGGAGCAGTGCTAGCCCACCTTTTTTGGGATTTACTTGTTACACATTAGCGCGGCGCTCTCGATAGATTACTTGAAGAATGACCTTTCTGTGCCAGCACTGGCAATATGTACGTCTTAGGGAAAAGTGGCATGTACAATACTAATGAAACCAACATTAATCCTGAATCTCTGAGAAGTAGATTTGCATGGTTGTTCGTAACATTAATGGCATCAAGCAGAAGGCACATCGCGAGCCCTGGTGACATATAGAACGGGATACGTATCTGATTGAAGCTCCATAGACTTGTCTCATTGTTTTTGGCCACCGGTTAAATGAGCTTGGCATCGGCAAAGTGCCACTGCTTTGCCCTCGAAAGGACTTGCAACCAAGTTCCATCTCTCTTTCTTATTTTGTCAAACCAACCGAGGACTGCCTCGACCCTGTTGACTTCGGCTCATACTTCGTGATCATGCTTGCTGACGGTGACTTGTGAAGCCCCTTGCTGATTTTGGTTTTGATGTACATGAAGAGCTTTTTCATAGTGTCTGTGAGGGTTGTTCTAGCTATTTTTTCTCCGTGTAGCAGTTGGTGACTAGAGCGTATGGTCCATGTCATGAATACTGAGAGTTTTCCTAACTTGGGGCTGTGAAGAGGTCGCAAAAACACCGATGCACTTTTTTAGTGGCTGGCTTACGATTTATCTTAAGTGTTTCCTCTTTTATGCTGACACGAATCCACCTCTACTCATTTGCTTTGGAGTGGAGCTTCTTTGCCAACCAGTTCCCATCACAGCTTCTATACGGAACAGCTTTTTCTTTTGAATCCCGCCACTCACGTACTCCAAGATGACGACGATGCCGCATTATGTTGAATTTGACCCCGATGGCGAGGTTGTTTTGATTCTATACAACATGGCTGAAGACCGAGATCAAGATACGCGGAAGACTCCTTCAGAGAGTACGACCAAAGCTGAAACTTCGGCTGATGTAGTTGACGGCACTCAGCCTGATGAGATTTGAATGCGCGTTTCCTCAAGGCACTTGACCCTCGCTTCTCTTGTATTCAAGAGTCTCTTGAAGGGCGAGTTTGCGGAAAGCCGCTCACTGAAGTCAGCAGGCACAGCAGAGGTTCGGCTTCCTGAGGATAATCCACAAGCACTGCAAATTCTCCTCAACATTATCCACAGTCACTCAAACAAGGTTCCTCGCGAGGTCAACATTGACACGCTGACCCAAATGTCGATTCTAATCGACAAATACTGCCTCCATGAAGCCACACAAATATTCACCGACATGTGGTTCGACAAGCTGAAGAGAGACATACCAGAAAATTTCACAAATGAACTGATGTCTTGGCTCTGTGTTTCGTGGGTTTTAGGCAAGCCAGAGTCCTTCAAAGCTATCACAAAGATCGCCACCATGATATCGTGAGGATGGAACACTAGCACCGCACTGACACACAATTACCTGTTGAGAGAAAATGAAGAGGTCACCTTCGATCAGTCGGAGGATATCATAGCGGTTGATTATGAGGACCTCATCTTGCGCACACTAAAACCTCATACCAGAACAGAACTTGCTAATTGAAAGTGGAGATTATCACCCGTGTCATTCTCCAGATGAAGCTAAGATGCGTTCACAGCAATGTTCCTGGAAATGCTAGGTGCTTTTCAAGATGACCCGTTCCTCCTCGAACCTGAAGGTTAAACCCTTGTTGATCCTGCTCCATTATGAACATTGCTACAAAGGTAAAGAAGAGCCCAAATGAATAGCACGCAGATAACCATCAGAAGATCTGGGGTATGGGTCTCAAAGCTTCTGTGATATGGCAGGTGTGGGTATATCCTTGATGTCCCGAATGCATTTCCTCCAGTCTTTCGAATGCAACAAGACTAAACGATTGAACCACCGATTAATCCGTTCCTCCAGCACATATCGTTGGGGATCAGTTGTGGTTATGTTCGTCCAACCGTCGGAAATCTTTTTTCGAGATCACTTCTTCATCGACTTCCCATGCCCATCTGGCCTCATCAGAGAGCTTGTTAGCCAAATCCTTGATCCTCTCTAGATTTGTTTCATTGTCCTGCAGGAATAGCAGGTTTCGCTTGCGTTTCTTGTCTAGATCAGTTATCTCCAACGTGAGCGGTCGCGCACCGACTCGCCGGCGCTTCCTGCCACCCCTGAGTACATGACCTTCTTCGCTAGTAGCAAGATCTCTCTCGGCACGTCGCTGATTGAGGTATTCATCCAACTCCAACTCGCAGCAAGCGTGATATGTCTTGTAAAAGCTAAAATAGCCTGGTGCGTTATCGATTCCGAAGGTGGTGATACTGTTGCACAACTCTGCTAACTTATTGTGAAATTCACTCTCTCGAACGCTGTCAAGGGTTTCGCGAGCGACCATATCTGGAGAAAAGTTGCTCTGTCGTCCTCAAAGTCCTCCTTTGGCCGGTCAAGAACAAGTTTTGCAAGATATTCAAGGCTATATTTTGACATTGGATTGCTCTCCGTTATAAAAGCATGGGTATGCCGCAAAACCTTCAAAGCGTCCACCTCGATCTCTTAGATCTCGTTCCTGAGATTTGTGACACAGGCCAAAAACTCGCAGAAACGCTAGTCTTGTATGTCGGCTCGTCGACGAGACTGTTCAAACTGCGCCAGAAGATGTCTCTGTTCTGCTGTTTGTGGGGCGGGGGCCATTGTAAAAAGCACCACTCCTGCTGATCCGTTAACCTCGGTTTCATTTTCCTCTGTGCGATGAAAACAGTACGACAATATGCTGGAGATCGTAAGTCGAATCAGTCATTTATATTGCCAGTCACAAAGACAGAAAAGAAACCACAGCACGACAGCAACATGCCGCTTGAGCTCACCGCAACCCTGAACCCCGTACTCGACTTCAGCTGCAACAGTACGACGGCAGATTCTTCATACTTTGAGAAGTGTGTTCGGCTACAAGGCGGAGCACTTGACTGACGGGATCTTATCTTTATGGCAGTTGAGTCTTGAATAACACTTGCATGACCAACAAACCTGCGTTGCATCTCGTCTTTAGAGGCCTGAAGGAAGGCAAGTCGATGTGAGCACGGTGCTCAGCAGGTTCAGTGTTGGCATTCTGGTTGGTTGTAGTAGTGGACGGCTTACATCGTGAATGAGTGCGGATGTGAAAATGTTCGTCTTCCACCCTGCGAAGGAATACACATCTTGTCAACCATCCCGTCAGAACCTTGGCCTAGTACGAACTCATCGCGGGGCGAAGCGCAGCAGTAGACGGCGGCAGGGCCAGACACTACATTGCTCAGGTTGGTATTGTGGTAACAGCAAGCTCTCGCCAGCATTTAGTGCATATTTTATGTCCTGGCTGAGCATCAGAGCACGCAATGCGTCTTGTCACATACTATTCATTTGCCATAAATGATGGTTTCTAGAATTATCTCAGTATTCGAAGATATGTGACATTTCCCAACTTGATCAATGAATCAATACGCACCATCAGATATCATACTACTCTCCGCTAAATCAGGTACATAGACCCCGCACCAACCATGCATGTTAAGCAACTTGCAGACGTTCACCTCGCACCTTTCACCGCCACCTTAGGGGGCGGCGGGAAATACATGCCTGCTGACGCCGCTGCCGCCGCATCACTCCCACTCGGTCCCGCAGCCCCAGCGGCCGTCTCCTCGTCCGCCTTCCTCTCCGCATGAGCAAAGCCCGAACTCAGTGGACTCCCGGGGAAAGTCGGACTTCTCAATGCAAATCTGGATGAGAAAATTGGACTCTTGGGCGCAGCCCCTCCGTCCTTGGCCTTGGCCTTACCAAAGTGATTCCTAAGTGGAAGGTCTTTTGTGCCGCCTAGACGGTTGAATGCCAGCGTTCTTGGTGTCATAGGGTTAAGGGCCCCTGATGCGGCTGTTGAGTAATTCGTGCTGGAGGCTTGTGCCGCGTTTGCAATTTCGTTGAGGGACACGGCCGGGACTTTAGACTCAAGGGTCGGAGAGTCGAGATGGGCCCAGCGAGATTCGCGAGCTAGGCGTTTTGCTTCCCGGGAGGCACGGTGGGAGGGGGAGGGGAAGAGGGAGAATATTGCGAGCGCGAGTTGGGCGGTGAATACCACGCTGGAAAGTTGTCAGCTGGGTATCTCTGGATGGTGGAGGGGAGTGTGAGAACGTACAATATCATGACGGTACATGCAAATGCTCCTTTTGCTTGTTGGCAGTATCCAACGAGTTTTTGGTCGTGTGCGACGGAGCAAGGTCTGGAGATGTACCATGGAGCGCCTCGTTGGGGTCGCCTTGGATCACTCATATCCGAGCCGGCTTGATAGGCTATCGAGACTGCATAGAGGGCCACGAGGGCGGCGTGGCAGAGGACCGAGAGAAGAGGTGGAAAGACTTTGAGAATATACATGGCGGATTTAGCGAGCATCAGGAACATGGAGAAGACTGAGATGACGAGGTTGAAATTTGTGATGCTAGAGTACGTGAGCAGTGGCCATATGAAGAAGGTGTGACGTTCGAGACGCACAATTGACCCCACACTTTCGGCGTAGTATATGGTCTATAATTCGCTGCTGCGTATAGTCCTGTTGTTGGGCTTGAATTGAAGCCATTGGCAGCACCATCTGCCCATAATTTGGTGCGGTATAGATTCGGAGCTGCAATGCCGAAGAGAGCGAGGAGGGCGACAGTGAGAGGAAATTCAATGGCCACCAGAGCCCAGAATGGCCATTTGTTTGGACGATATCTCAATGAGATGAACATATCTGGTCGTTATGGGATGCGAGATATATTGCTGGATGTCTCCGAGGTCGTGGCAGAAGCCGTTCCTGACCAGTCCAGACTGATATTGATGGTAGGCCAACCCTTCGAAAAACTTTTCGCAGTCAGTGAGTCGCGACCGCGCAGCGTCGCAAAGAAATATGGCGCTCTCGTCGAGAATGTGGACACAGATTCAAGGTGTTGAAGAGGTGCTGGAAAGGAATCTCCCACCACACATCTCGAAGCTTGCTTCCCCAGCAGATCAGCGCAAAGGAAGCGGCACCACACGGAACAGCACCAATGAGAGTAAGGAACAGGCCAGAGACAGCCGCCGGCCCAGAAGTCGAGCCGCCCACGATTGGGGTGGCCAACTGGAACTCCAACCATTTAGCGGAGAGACTGGTGTGATAAAGCAGCAGAAGCGTCCATGCTACGGGCTGCAGGTGCCCAATCAGAAGAGGTAAGTGGAGAGCCCCCATGTGGTTAGGATGTACGGCTTAGTGTCATCTGACTTATCGTGCCATTAACTACGTAGTACTCTGTAACTCCGCTGATCCATTTTGCCCCCTAATGGTGAAACATGACAGCTCCAAAGCACAGGGGCAAAGAGATTGAGACTAATCCAGCAAGACACTTGGAGCAAAAGTGTCCCAGTGTTTCTGCTACTCTTCTCTGCCCCTCCAGCTAAGCCTCCGAGCCTTGGGCTTCCCGCGGCTTCGGATCTGCTGTCGTTGGCAGCCATTACACCAACATTTTATCGTTGTCGTGATGATCCTCTCCCGTGTGCAGCTATTTCCAGTGCTCTACAACAGCATGCTGAGCCTTCTCAAGTCAGTCTAGCTGTCTTTGTGGTGCAGCATCGTTGTTATGCTTTTGTTAGGTTCACAAAGCAGCTGCTTTATGTCTGCTAAGTGACACGGACTCGTATGAGTATGAGTATGACAGCGCCCTTCCGAACTGTCTTCGAGCCCAGAAAGACGTGAAACATGCACCCTGCTTTGTCTGACAAAAATAAAAGTCGGTCAGAATGTCCCATTGGCTAGTGCACACTAACTTTGCTTTACCTTAGCACGCACCATATAATGCAGCCGGGTATACAGACTGGGGCCGAAGACTGCGCCTTGTCCTTCAGTCCCACCTTGCAACATTTTTCACGCTTGACTTCTCCCGTTTTTGGTTTCTATTTCCCTTTCTTCTGATTTACACAAGCCTACGAAAAGAACGCATCGAGGTCGTTGCTGCTTTAAGATGTTGAATGCTCTGAAGTTGGGAAGACTATCTTAACATCGGTGGATCTACCAGCAATTGGGGGTCGGTCGACCTCAACATACATCAATTATCCTCAGGAAACATTTACACTCCCTTACAACACGGACCACCCGGACATCGGCCCTCGATAATTCGTAACGATGCGTCGAGGTAGAAAGCGACAAGACGGAGGGTCGAATTCGATGCCGGGCAAAATCTATCCTCCCACAGGCACCGAAGGCGCCTTCGGCTCAGGATATACCACAACCATCACGTTCACCAGCCTGAGCACATATTCAGATGGCGCTGGAGTGCGAAGCACAACATCACAGGAGGTAACGACGACAGCGGTGATACCTGGGCCAACCCCAGCATTCATTTCTGCTCCTCAGCCATCTACCACCTTCTCTTCCTCCACAAGCACCTCATCCCCTTCTTCTGTCCAAACGTCTCCACCAGCGCAAACATCATCGCCGCCAGCCCAGGGCATCCCACTCAACCTTATACCAGCTATCGTTGTTCCAATTGTTGTGGTCGCCTTGGCGGCACCCATTGCTTTGTATTTCTTTCTTACCCGCCATGATAGACAACGCAGAAAGTCTCGAACTGCTTCGCAAACAAGCACGAGAGCGTGTCCTGACACGAGAATTGAATCCAAAAAGCACGATTTTACACATTCTTCATTAGAGACAGGGGCTTCCAAGGCATCAGAAATCATGAATTTCGACCTTGGACCAGCAGCAGAAAAACCGTTACCGGTGGTCAACGTCAGTCAAGTCCCAGATTATGCGTTTAAACGGCCAGACTCTTTCCAGGTCGTACGTGGATTGGACCCTAGTATCGGACAAGCGGTCAGCCGTTACTCGATTGGGAACGACTCGTTTGGTAACATAGCGGATGCATCTCAACAAAGAACTAGTATACAAGAGCTTTCTGAGGAGAATATGAGGATTGCAAGGCTAGCGACTGATTCCAGGGCAACATTTGGGACACGTGGGCTGGATGAAGTATCGGATATGTCGGCTCGGGAGAGGACTTCTCGCCAGGTCGATCGAAGAAGCGTGGATGAGCTTTCGAATGTGTCGAGTTTCTACGAAGACGAGACAGCTGCCAGTTCAGATCGTGGAGGTGGTATTTTGGGGAACTATGGGGCAAGGAGAAGTGGGCCTTTGCGATGATGATACCGTGGGGGTGTTTTTCAGCGTTTGATTTGTTGCATGAAGCATGAGACAACCATGAAGTTTTCTATCTCGGCTGAGCCGAAATGTGTACGTTAAGCATGTTTCTAGCCTCCCAAATCCCTACCGATTCAAGTCTCCCCACGTGAGCATGCACAACATCTACCAGGGCTAGTATCCACAGCATATTACTGCATAGCCGTACTACGTAAATAAACTGCCAACTCGGTGCCCCTGCCAAGATTCGATCCCGCGTCAGGCGCGTTGCGGGGGGGCCTCCCACCATCTTTCGAAAACCCAGCTGCATTCTTGTTGATGGCAAGGTTGCAAGGACTGCAAGGACTGCAAACACCATCGTAATGGCACTCTCACCCCTCAAAATGACCACGCGAGGTGGCGCCTACGATACCTCCTCCATCGCCGCACCGGCCTCTCCTCAAACCACTCGGACCATACGCCGACTTCAATCCCATCAACAACTCTCATCAAACTCTCCGTCGTTGATCACACAGCAACGCCAGCAGCAGCAATTACAACAGCAGCAACATGGCTTGACAACTCGAGAGTCAAGGGAACATCTACAGCCATCCATGCAGAATGTTTCGCTTGGTCTAGGCCGCACCAGAGCAAATAGTGACGCACCAATGGCCTTCAAGAAACCGAGCTCCACCCGGAGATGGCCAGCTTCTGCAACCCACGGTCGAAAATCAAGTCTGGAGATACTCATGAGAGATGGGCCTCCTGGCGGTAACATCGAGCAGGGGCTGAGTGATCTACGATACCACATCTTGTCTTCTCGGGTGGAAGCTGGAAAAGACGGCATGTCGGATTACCGATGCTACTTATGGCTTGCGCTTCTAAACGTAGGCCCACTACAGACAGATGAGTACCTTACTCTGGTTCATCGAGGCCAATCTCCAGCATATCAGAAGATCAACGACGATACCTTTCGAACATTAGCGACCGACACCTTGTTCAAACGCCGTGTTACTGACGCAAGCATTACTCGCGTCCTAAATGCAACAGCTTGGAAACTGCACGACGCCAAAAGAATCAGCTCAGATTCGCCCCCTACTGCGTCAGGGCAACCTGCTGCCAATACTTCTGCTGTATACGTTCAAGGCATGAATGTCCTCTCCGCTCCATTCCTCTATGCTGCTCGATCCGAAACCGAAGCATTTTCCCTCTTTCATGCGTTCCTCACTCGGGAATGTCCAGGCTACATTCGAGGTGCTATGGAAGGCGTGCATAAGGGTCTTGCGTTGGTTGACAAATGTCTAGCACTTGTCAATCCTACTCTCGCACAGTTTTTGCAGAACAAGAAGATGCCTGCAGAGATCTATGCCTTCCCCAGCGTCCTGACTTTTTGTGCTTGTACTCCACCACTACCAGAGGTATTGCACCTTTGGGACTTTCTCTTTGCCTATGGTCCTCACCTGAATATCTTATGCATTGTCGCACAGCTCTTGCTATTGAAGGATACTCTGCTTGCAAGCCCTAGGTATGTTGTCCTATGTTTTTGCTGCCGATTTTGAGGCTGATTTGTACCTAACAGCCCTACGAAAGTCCTCCGTTCCTTCCCACCACTTGAAGCGGAGCAGATTATCAAACTTACGCTATTTGTTGTCCAAAAAATACCTGACGATATTTACGCCGAGCTCGTAAATCATGCGAAATGAGAGTGAGAGTTATGATGATTTATGATGATGAGAATGGCGGTGTAGAACATGAAGATCTTGGCATAGGGACAAAAAAGATGGAAAGGGCCTAGATCTTCGGATTTGAGAAGTCGGGTATTTTGGCGACACCGTTATCTTAGCACCATCAGCGAACTTCCTATTGGGTGGATTTCATGACAACATCAGACGCCGAGATTTCGGACATAAAGCCAACCATCCCTGGTATATCGGGAGAATGACCATGTCGAAAATGGTTTGGCCCTCGCTTTGAGGTGCCTTGTGCGTGAAGGCGGCGGCTGGGTTAACTCACTGTGCTGGGTGTTGTTCTTGAAGTCTGGGGCCGAGCCGATACAGTCATGAAGTCGTTCAGAAAGCAAGAGAATCAGAAACTTGATCAAATTCAGTAGCACTCGCGACCAGATCAGACTCTTAGGAGGGCGCCACACCCATTTTGGTGCTCCCGTGTATGCCTGAGACATCCTGTGGCGGCAAGCTCTGATCAGCTGTTGTGATGCCGCCGCGATCATTGTTCACATCGTCGCAAAAGTCTCTACGATGTTGAATTCCCTAGCCCTGATGTTTGCCGGTATGGTACTTGCAACGCCTTCGAGGCAACACGAAACATTCACGCTCACACTCACCCAGCAGGCATAACGGTAACAGGGAGAACGAGTGCGATGACCTCCAAAGACTTCCTTCTCTCTCTCGTGCGTGGGACTCGAGAGCTTTACCAACCAATCTCCCTCTCAATAAGCGCGAAAGGCATATATCAAGGAGGCAGAATTGTAATCTTTGTTCCAACCAGAGGACCGAGATCCTTCTGCACTGCGGCAATGAGAATAAGGGACACAGAATCCCATGGGCATGATGGTTGTAGGGCCCCCATGAAAGTTCCTGAGAAACGGAGTAATATGTTAAAACTAGTACTACCGGTCTTGAGTCTCTTTGCTTCTTTGCGGTGCTGAGGAGTCGACCGCAATGCTAGTTATATTAATTAGTGGAATATCCCCCTCTGCTTCTTTGGCTTGCCCGCACCAAGCTACTAGTACCGTCCCACTCATTACTACTACTACTGGTATCTCCCGGATAATCCACACTACCACCGGGGGAAATTGGGTGCTCTTCCAGATTCCCTAAAAGGCGGGGGGGGCGACTCGCACGCAGTAATACAAAGGACGACGAGTTATTAAAACACCACTCTGGTGGTATGGTATGGTGGGAATGTTTGCCTTTGTGGAAAGTAGAAGAGTCATGTTTCGTGGAGATCGTTGAAGGGGATTTGCATGCTGGGTAGACTGATGAGGAAGAAGAAGGGAAAGGGGGGAACGATATATAAATGGATTTTTCTGGGTTCGGGAGAGTTCCCTTCTCTTTATGAAACTGTTATCGAGTGGGGTGGAATGACAGGCATCGGATTCCCTCGTCTCCCTCTTTGACTTTCAGCTAGGAATCTCCTCCCGCTTCAGGACCTGTATCTTACCACCCACCATGGCCACTGGCCCACCAGTACTGCTGCTACCTTCATCCTTCCCACCACCACCCTCACCATTTCCCGTAGCAGTAGCAGACGTCCTCCTGCCACCACTCGTACTCTCAATGCCCAACACGCCACCCACATACCCGCCCCTCTCCCCCGGAACGCTAAACTCGCGAAACGTGTAACCCAGCTCATTCAACCAGTTCCTGACCGCCTTACCCACTTTGTCCTTCCCATTCTTACTATGATGGCCTGTACCAGTGATGGCGTAGACGATCCTACTCCTCGCCTCTCCACTCCCGCCACCTCCTCTTCCGCCACCGCGTTGGGAGTGCGACACAAGCACGTTTTCGAGATACTCGACCGCTTCTTCGGGATGGAGACCGTGGAGGTCGATGTAAAATTCTTCGTCATCATTATTACTGTTGTTTGTGGTACTGAGGTGTTGGTTTCGTTCTTCATATAGCGCTTTCGCGGCTTCGCGGTGGGCTTTGCGCATGGCGTCGTTTTCGGCTTGGCCGCGGAGGGAGAGGGCTTTGGCGGCGCGGGCATCGTTGCGGTTCCAGGCTTGTGCTGCGCTGCATCTTGTCATCAGCTTGCAAGTGTTTTTGGGGGATGGTGAAGAAGGCGGTTCTTACCTCTGTAGGAATTTGTTCCGAACGCTTCCATGCTTGATGGCTTCTTGGCGGTATTTCAGGTACTGCTGGTTGGCACGGGCACCGGTTTCAAGCCAGGGGATGTGCTGCGGTTGGGGAATTTTCTGGGCTGCTGCTGACTCGGACGATGCTGTGGAACGGACTCTTTTCATGGCTTCTAGCTTACGCTGGCTGGGCACTGGTGAGGGTGACATCCGGACAACGTCGGCCAATGAGCCTGGAACTTCTTTCTCGTTGTAGTTATTGTGCCCGTGGCGTGAACGCTGTCCATGATGCTTTGAAGCACGTTTGGAGTTGAGGGATGCGAGGGTGGGGAATGCTTCTGGGTCGTCTACCGATGGTGCAGACGACGGGGCTTCTGGTCTATGTTGGTGGCGAGACGTTGGTCTGGACTGCGGACGAGAGTTGTTGTGTTGGTATCCACTACGTGAACGCTGTTGGCTCAGTGGCGTAAACGTGGGGAATTGGCCATTTGCAGGTATGGTGAAACTTGATGAACTGCTTGACCGATTTCCACTTTGCAGGGCTGGGAATTGATCGTACTGGTCTTGCAGATGATAGATTTGTGGTGATGTACCGTAAAGGCTGGAACTGTCCGTGACACTGAGTGTACTCATCAGGGCTGATGGATCGTGGGAGAATTGACATGAGTCACCAGCCAGACAGTTCCCTGCCAGCCAATACCTACAAAATGTCAATTGTGAAATTCCGAATGGCAACCACCCAAGCTTACTTGCAGACGTGATTCGTGGCATCATGTGCAAACCGACAATCAGCACGCAGACATGAGCCTGATGCCAACCAGTACTTGCAGACGATAGGGCTTTTGCCAGTATTCGGCGTGACCGGGCGCACTTGCTCAATATTCATGGACTTGCCAACCAGAACAGCGCCGTTGTGTTGATTTGTGTCAGAATTGACCTGCTGGTCGATGATATCCCCATCGGAAAGCTGTGCTATGGTGGCGCCTAGATCATATGAATTCTTCTCTAAGGCATCTTCGATCTCCTCATTCGTCTTTCTGTCGCCTAGGACTGACCTTAGTATATCATATGGGCTCATGTCCGGCTGCGGAAGCCATTCTGGTGCTGCAGCGCTCAGCTGGCCTGTTCCAGTCGACGAAGCATTACTTGCCGTATCATCTGCGACCAGCCAATCGACGTTATCACTTCCATAATCTCCATATATATCAGGTGCTGGACTAGAATCGGAAAACTCGTAAGCATTAAGGTTCGGGCTATGGGGAATGGGCTGCGCGAAAGCAAGCCGTGGCGAGGGTCGTGGAGAAGCAAATGGGGATGGCGCTGTTGACTTCTGTCGCGAGAAGCTCGGTCTTGTGGGGAAGCCAGAAGGAGCAGCAGGGCTACTAGATATAGGTGGCGATGCAAGAGGGGTACCAGCTCGAGGCATTTGCCATGGGGCGGGTGAAGACTTTCTGATGACCGTGTGTCTTGATGGTGCTTCTCCTGAACCTGGATTGGCTGCGTTCCGGTGCCTCCAAAGAGCATCGAGGATTGTGTTTTCCAGAGCAGACCCACGGAGTGCAGTCTGCTTTTGGAGCAACACCTCCAGCTTCTCAACCTTGTCTTCCTCCTCCAGCTCCGCATCTTCAAGGACAGGGTGACATAATTCGTAGATCTCGTCCGTAATCATATTTCATAACATCTGAAGCCCTACCGGGGCTTCATCGGCTCAGTGAGGTATCGTAGAGGGAATCAAAAGGGGAATGGAGCGAAAAGCGGGCGAGGCTCAGCTTGGAGGTCGCATGCGCCGCAACCTGCAACTGGCAGTCGTCACGGTAACTGTGTGTTTTGAGCAGAGGATTTCGCATTGAGAAGTGTTCCGTAAGCTATTACATGTTGACTTGTAGTTGACATACAACACTATCTTCCAGAACGTTCAACGGTGGAGGCGCAAAGTGAACACCGAGTTCAGCTTATGGTTGGACAGGTACCAGCTTTCTACCAGGTCTCATGGATCGCAGATTTCGTGAACGAGGCGGTGATGTGCGAGTTGTCTAACAGGTTATATCTGTACGGAGAATATGAACTTAGCAACGATGGTGGGTGGTGCAAGCTGACGAAGAGGAGGAATGGTAACATGGTACTCTACGCCAGCTTTGGCTAGAGGCCAATAAGTACAATAAGTAAGTATTCTTACCTCCGACTGCTTCCAGCTTCTTGACACAACCGTCGCGACAAGATGATGATGATTCTCTACGTAATATTTATCTTTGTGCTCCCCATACCTTTGCAGATCTACTTAGATATATTTGGCCGCTATCGAAGCATCCGAAGAAATGTTTACTCAGCCTACCTTTCCGTTCCGTTTCATAGAGAAAACCAGCAATACTCCGTAAGTTTATGAGCCTTGCACGGACCCCAACCTGCTTCAAGCCAATAGAAGATGATGCCGATTCATTCATTCGTAATGTCATAAATGGTATCGAGGCAACTCCATATTTCTCTGAGATCCTGGGAGTCCGCCCCATTGGTCTTGCTTGAGGCTCTGTCTAGGCAGCTCCAAATGTAGCCGCAGGATCATACTCATACACAGCCTGTACCCTTTTGCTATTCATAGTTCTGCTCTCGGCTTTTGTGTTCCCGGTACACAATGTTCTTTTGTTATCCAGATGCGGCCGTGGAAGGATTGCTAGGGATTGTGTACCCTACCAGGCCACGAAGAAGGCTCTCACGTCCATCTTCCTTCCGCTCAGCTAAGCAAACAGACGCTAGGCAAGATGAAAGCTCGCTATGAAGGTGGTTACATCAGTGGGAACTGATTCATCGAAATTCTCGGACTTCAGGAGAATGGACGCTGGCGGCTGACGGTGCGATGGGGGAGACAGTATGCCCTGATGAGCTTCTAGCCATTCTCAATGCTCTAGCTACACAAATTCAAGCAATCTGTTGTGCCCACATCTAGGAGTAGATACAGCTTGCCCAGCCCGTTCCTGAGTTGCATCGTGGAGCTACTATAGGCTACTATATGTACTGCCGTTTACTTGCCAATAGAAAAAGAAAGAGGCGGGTCCATAGATGTGCTGGCAGCTTGGATGCTGCCCTGATATCAGTTGTTCCCGCTTCAGATGGAACTTTAGGATGTGAAGCTGCCCTTGCGAGCCGGATCTAGTTCCTGGTTTTCTAAGCAAGATGTATGTTACGGATTGTTGTCTTCAGAGTCTTTTGGATTCTTAAGTCGTAGACACGACTGAGTGTTGCCGTCAGATCAAGGTGTATGCAGGCTAGTTAGTTAGGAGTGAGGTGGTGTGGAGCACAGCATCGGCGGATGCAGCCAATTTGAAGCGCATCGCCGCATGCCAATCTCAACGTCATCAAGAGTGCGCATCAATATGCAGGATAGATCATCAATTTGTATCTAGTAGAAGATTGAACTATTCTTGATCGCATTGGAAGAGCAAAACTTGTAATCTCCTCTTGAAACAATCTTAAGATCACCCAAGCCGACTTCGGCGTTTTGATTTCATTACAATGGCGATGCTAGCACTTAGATACACAATTCTGGCAATTTTCATCTCTATATTTTCGAACCCTCTGCTCGTCTACTCGAAACAAGCTGTGCTGAAGCAGCATAGTGCCGACAGTCCGGACTCTTCGCTATCACCTCCTGCGTTGACGTATATACCACCTGTAGGCCTTGGACTATGGCTTTCCAAGGGCTCAAATGTAACATCTACCATCCCACTCATTTGCTAGTCTTTGATAACTAGTCATGTAGGCAACACAAGCGGTGGAGTCCGCGCTCAATGCCGGGTATCATCATCTTGACTCGGCTGCCGCTTACAGTATGTAGACATGCCAGATCATAATCCACACACACAATTGATGAGAATGAATGGTTCACGGCTGATGTCCGCGTCCACAGACAATGAAGAATATGTCGGCAAGGGCATTTCCTTGTCCAATCTTCCTCGCTCTTCTTTTTGGATAACATCCAAACTCTGGAACTCTGCACATCGACCCAGTGATGTACGGCCGGCCTTGGAAAAGACGCTCTCCCAGCTCGACGTACCTTACCTGGATCTTTACCTCATGCACTGGCCAGTTGCTTTCAACCCCGAGAAATCTGGCAGCGTCCTCGACAAGGATACGTCCATCCTGAACACCTGGCGAGCTATGGAGGATCTCGTCCGAGCCGGCCTCACAAAGCACATCGGCGTCTCCAATTTTGCCAAACACGATGTTGATGATCTGCTAAGTAAATGCGAGATCTGTCCCACAGCTCACGAGTTCGAGACTCATCCCTACCTTCAACAGCAAGATTTCGTAGACTTCCACCACAGAAACGGGATGCAGATAATCGCTTATTCGCCACTGGCCAATGTCAATCCCATCTATGACTCCAAGAACAAATTAGCACCCATACTGGAGGATCCCTTTTGGGTGGAATTAGCCAAGGAGAAGAACGTGACGGCTGCACAGGCGATTCTTGCCTGGGGCATCCAAAGAGGTACGGTCGTCATCCCCAAAAGTGTCCATGAAGGGAGGATTATCGAGAACTTTGCGAGTCAATATGTGCGATTCAGCGATGCGGAGATGGAGATGGTTGCCGGGCAAGACAGACAGGCAAGATTTAACAATCCATCAAAGGGTTGGGGAGTGGATCTTTTTGATGATCTGGATGGAGTGTAAGATGTTTCCCATCGACCCCGCCCAAAACAGCAAACCATTCCAACTTCTCAACCTGGACCAGAAGTGTTCCTGCTCATGTTGGATGTTTCTCAAACGTGGTGGTTCCCTCTTCCAAAGCAAAGGATAATTAGTTGAGAAACACCTTCGGCACGAACGATGCTCCTTTAACAGGTTTCCAGATTGCAAGATTCAATACTTAGCAGGATGTGCGGTGGCCGACTACTCGGGTCAGCAAATAATGCAATCCTCCTGAAAATCGTGTCAGAAAGGCTGAGGTGGTTGAGGTGTTTGTTGATTGAGCAAAGATATGTCAAGGCTTACTGAGATAGATGATATTTTAGCTATTAGAACAGCCTCGGTCTGACGTAGAAAAGACGAACAAAGAGCAAGATCCAAATATGGGTCAAATTTTATTCCAACTACAGGAGGTATGAGACGTCAAGAAGACTAGTTATGGCTGTCAGAAGAAGCATGAAATTGTAAATAGTGACTTTATATGAAGGAATTCCCGTGATCGTCAATTACTGACGTGGTCCACAAGCTCGGAACTTACAAGTACCTCTTTGGTTCCTTGGTGTGCCAAGGCCGTAGGTACGTGGAGATCGGATGACGCGGAAGGGGCGCAGGCTGTGCTGCAACAGCCTGATCCATTATTATTCATGAGATTGGGGGCTGTTTGACGACATACTATGTAGTATGTGCAAGTATCCAGCAACACCTTTTTGCGCCGCAAAGAACAGCCATCATGACGGAAAGTCGCTGTTAAGTCAGCCTCTATCAAGCTCCCCAAGTTTCAATATGGCAACACCTTAGGCAGGCCTCCTACCGAGAATCCGAAAGCCCTCCGTCCTCGACGACTTCAAGCCGATAGCATATCACACCTCCCTCTCCTGGCTGTGAGCTGAGATGGCAGCGGATTATGGCTCAACAGCACGCGCTCTGTCGCTTCCTATCTCGCCCACCCGCACGTCCTCCCCAAATTTCCCTAGACCCCCATGGAATTCTCGCCGCAGTCAATCTAATGGAGCGCAAGGCCGCAGCCAGTCCTCCCTCTCCTATCGCGACCGTTTGATCAATAATGCCCAGAAATTCCACCGGCGGGGTGTCAGGATCTATGAAAAGTTATCACCGCTTCAACGAGGTTTGGTGGTAGCGGCAAATCTTATCACCCTAATCCTGGTAATACTTTTCTTCGTCTACAACGAGAAGATCTTCGGATTTCTGAAACCTTATGCTGTTTCTTGGAAAAAGACCACAGGCGGCTGGATCATCCTTTGGTGCCTCACGTTCATCGCGGCGTTCCCACCTATAATTGGCTATTCGACCTGCGCAACCTTAGCTGGCTTTGTCTACGGTGTTGGTGAAGGGTGGCTGATTCTCGCATCTGCCACAATCATTGGCTCTACTTGCTCCTTCCTAGTATCAAGATTTGTGTTGCAAAGATATGTCCAGCGCCTTGTCGCTAATGATAAACGGTTTGCGGCATTGACTTTGACCATGAAGCACGATGGTCTTAAACTGCTTTGCATGATACGACTTTGCCCGCTTCCATATTCATTATCGAATGGCGCAATCTCAACCGTTCCTACCGTTCATCCGTTGATGTATGCACTGGCCACTGCCATCGTCTCTCCAAAATTACTTATTCACGTCTTCATTGGAAGTCGATTGGCCGCAATTGGGGAAAGCGGAGGACAAATGAGTGCTGGGGCGAAGGCACTCAATTGGACCAGCATAGTTGTGGGCGGTCTGGTTGGCGCATTCACTGGATATTATATCTATCAACGGACCATGGCTCGTGCTCGGCAACTTGAAGCAGAGGAGGATGCCAATGTACGGGATGCGGTTACTCATACCGGACACCCACCAGCTGAGTTTATGGACGATCCTGAAACACAAGCTGCTGCTACAGTCCTCGCGCAACCCGATGATGGGGTTGACTTCTTCGAGGAGGAGTCTAGCCCAACCCGGCATGACTATAGAGACGAATTTACGGATGACAACGATGTCTTTACTGAAGGTGATGGGGAGGAAGACGCTATAGATATGCATAAACAGCAAGTCAAATGAAGCAGAGAATGGGGTATATGCAGCATTGGCGCACCTGACGCATGCACTTTTTGGCTGTTATTGGGCTGGTAAGGTACCGGGGGAAGAAGGATAGACATAGAATTGTTGATTAGTGGTCTGATCTCAAAGGCATGCACTTGCATCCGTATCAGGCAGCGCAAAGACTCCCAAATTCTTTACTTTGAGTATGACATGTCTTAGAGAAATACTTCGGTACCGTAATGGGTTCCGAGGGGAAGTTGAGTCTTTGTCTGAGCGCTTGTCATGGTCGAGGCACCATCATAAAACTTCTTGGTGGCGAGGTTTTACTTGATATGTCACCGCCTTCATCCACCGTCTCGCCACTTCCAGCTTTGGTGAAGCTGCGCGAAATCAGACCAGCGCCAGCCGCCTTGATTGACCCTCGTACTGCGTCTTCTCATGTCCCTTGTCTTTGGGCGATAGCACCCTTTCAAGGCAAAATTCGTAAACATCTCCGAGGTGGCTATCACATCCTTCAGCTATGCCCTGGCTACACGAACTAATGTACTCAAGCTTCGACAATACGGTCTGGTCTTTGGTCCCCAAGTTAAACTAGCCTGTTACCCAAGGAGGCTCTTGGGCAGGATTGATGTCAAATGTGCAACCCTCCCTCTTCATCGCCTCCAGGCTCACTACAGTGGCCCAACCTAATCAGCCTTTGGGAAGGCATTCTACCGCCAGGTACAGAGCCGGATAGATATTGGTAGCAGTGCAATAACGCAGTGTGCCACCGGGGTAAGATGCAGCCAATGGCAAGATGGTTCTGCTCCACTAACTCCCGCTCCGACGAGGGAACACATACGTAGTACTACGTACGTACACTTCGAAGCGCATGCGCGCAGTTATGTGGAAGGTCGGAGCCGAAAACGCAATCTTGTCTACTCCCGCTCCCAAGATCGTCGGCACGGAGCGCACTAAGTTACCGCGGTGAAACCCACTTAAACCCAACCCGACTTTCTACATTCAATGGATGACGAGCAAGTTATGTCGAGAACTGAGCGCCATGTTACACGGTATCCGAAGAGCGGAAGCTCTTCTGTTCAGTAATCAGCTCCCAATTTGAGTCTGCTTGTCTGTGGCTTGATGGGAAATTTCAGTAAAGGCAGCAGATGCTACACCATACTTGAGGTCATCAGCTCGCCAGAGTGTTTGTAAAAAGACTAGCAACGGCTCGACCCTTCAGGCTCTGACTCTGTATTGTCTCTAAGTACAAGGCACAATCTGAAACTCCACGCCCAAAGAGCCGAATCGACGATTAAAAATGCACTCAAGATTAGCACTATATTGCGGGGCAATGATGAGCTCGACCAACGTGGTATGGTTGGAGTATGCAATGCAACAGCTGAATCCCATCACGGGCGGAATGCGGTCCGTGACCCCGCTCGAGAGCAGCCAGACGTTGTCCCTGCGGCTGGCTGGAAAAGTCCATTATGCGGCTGTGTGGTCGGATACAAATGACACACCTGGCAAGCACAAGATACATTGTGATTCACACTAGTCCTACGATAGGTATCGGTACATTGCCGATGATACTGCATCTCTAGACTATCGAGAGCAATTCTCCTGTTCCCTTTACAAACACGAGAAGCCCATGACTGAGCACGCATATTCCCAGCCATTGCATTCAAGCCCTCGTATTCAGATTTGATACTCTTTGGAAGGCCAAAACAAGGGTGCCAGGATGCTCAAGCAGAAAAGTTTTTGTTCCATCATTTCATTATAGAAAACAAGAGGGGAAGAGGAACGTACGGCCTGCGCGGCTATAGCTTCATGAAGCCTCATTGGCTAAAGGTGTCTGCAAAAAGAAGTGCGTTTCGACCCCATCTTTACCGATCAAATCGCCGATCGAATGACGAAATATGAGGTGACCTTGACGAGGAGCACAGCACAGGATTATCCATGTCTGATGGACACCTACCTTGTCTGATCTTGGCCCTTCCTGATTCCCTATCGTCCTCGATAATTGATCATCCAGACCTCTAATACTTACTGCCACGCAATTTGTTAGAATATCACGACATTTAGGTCGTGGCGTCGTCCCTTTGTACTCGGTGTTGTTCGTCTTGCAAACATAATGTACCTACAACTAGTATCGATCAAAGATTTTCCGTCATCTACTGAACGAAATCGTTCATTAGCTGCCGATGCAGGACGCTTCATTTCGAGTTTGGGACCTGACCCTTGTTTCATCAGTCGGCAATGTATTGATTGGAACACAGCACAAGAATCATGCAGTGGTCTCTGCAACATCAGGCATTGTGACTCTGGTGCTCACTACATGAAGACAACAAGCCTACAGATCGTATATGTGAGCTGTATAATCTAGAGTAGGTGGCACCACTTCCAAACTATACTCTATTTACGAAAGGCTGAAAAGCATGTCTTACCTCCCCACTTCTCTTACTAAACGTATAGAAGGAATAGGAATGAGAGACTTGTGGATTGAAAATCTATAAAGACTCGTGTCCATACTGACATTCTGAGGAGATCTTACCACCATTCTACTCATCTTTAAGTGTCCCTCATCCTTCACTTTCAGACTTTCGGTCTTTCAAACGCAATTCAATCGAGATGCATATCCTCCAGTCTTTACTGTCAGCCGCAATCCTGATCGCAGGCATCAACGCTGCTCCCTGCGAGAATCCGCCATTCGTAGTGGCAGGTTGGGAAGGCCCAGGGACATACCGAATTACGAATGTTCAGGGTCGCACCAGTGTTGATTTGTTTCAAGGACAAACTAACATCGTTGGCTGGCAAACGTATTTTTATGATTCAGTTTGTCGAGCCATTACAAGAAGATGCCTAACCAAATTGTCAGGGACCCTAACACCAACAACCAGAAGTGGATAATTACCTCTATTAATTCTGGGGCTAATACATGGGCCATCCTAAACAACGGTACCCGTGGTGCTATAACTTCGAATGGATGTAAGTGTTGTGAAAATACAATTCTACATATCAGAATAACTTGTCCTCCTTCTCTCTTTGGTATCTCTATATTGTGGCTAACGTAGTCTGTAGGGAATAAACAAACTACAGCTCAGCCACTTGACACAAACAATCTTTCTCAGCAGTGGACAATCGAAGAGCTAGGAACCGGCGGTGCTGTAATGTACGTTCCCTCACCCCTTCATTTACTAAATATTTCTTCGGTGCATTGGAGCACAAGACTTACTGCTAGCAATAGCTTTCATAGCGCTGCTAGCCCAAACGACGTCCTTGACCTGAGTTACGGTAACCCAAACAACAACACGCCAATCGTTACCTACTCAAGGAGCGGGAGAGAGAATCAGCAGTGGGTGCTTGAACTTTTGAGCCGTGATACCGTCAGTGACAACTTGCCTCCACGGACCAAGAATGACCAGATCTCTCTCACGATAAACGTGGGACTCTAAGGATCTCCAATACGAAACTGTACCGTTTCGGCCAAATATGAAATGATGCCGGAAGTCGAGCAGGGCCATCATTGACTCACTTCTAAGGAGTGTCATTGGTTTTGGAAGGGGGCCACCAGTTGCAACCATTCATATTATCAAGGGTTCGCACCTCTCTCCGTGGCAGTGAGCAGTTACTTAGGAATTAGCTTTGTGTCTGATCTTTTTTCATTGATCCCCAAATGGGGCCTAATAGGAATACAATCGCTTGTTAGTCTAATGATTTTCATTGTTCAACTATCCAGATGTTAAGCCTTGCCCAACGGAGAAAAGACACCGACATAGTCCTCTGGTCTTTCAATCATTTCTAGATATCTCATGCTCAGTCTAGCTGCTGGTGAGGCAGGCCTTAGCCACATGTGCACGCCCGAACTCAGCGTGACCATAGACTAAGATTGGCTGGCTCGCCTTCCGACCTCTTCAAGCGTCCGTTCGTGGTGGAAGTGATGGGTGCAAGATTCGACAAGCCGGCCTATGTCTCTTAATTTCCCGTTGTAATTTCCTCGCGTGCTAATGATTCGCCTGGACCGTACGATACAGGACACGGTCAACTTTGGCGAGTTGCAGGGCCTCGCTCGGGCCGCTGACGCTCCACCGCAGGATGACAACGAAGAGAGGAACACGGGTGGGGCCGGCATCCCACCAAACCTGGGACGTACACCCACTTCCCCCGGAACCGGTCGACAAGCACTAATTCTTGCCACAGCTCAACCGACACAGCCCCTCGTGACAATCCGGGTCTGGAAGCACGAATGAGAGCCGAGGGCCTCATGATGACCGAGGAAGCCGAACCAAGAACATCCAGGCCTGAGGAACTCCGAAGAGAACAGGATGGCCACCCGGATGCGACGGCCTTCCGTCTCCGTCTTCAGGATGGTCTAACAGTCAGTCGTCGACGAAATGAAAGAGGCAATTGGATGGCCTCCATCTACATGGACTCGAGGGTATGCCGTAATTGATGGGAAATCGATATCTGCCTGGCTCTGGTGATGGCGGTCCCCGCACACGATTAACCTCTCTGCCCTGAAGGGCGGACCTCCTGACACGCTTATCGAATCCGAGTGTGCATCCAGGAATTGACCTTGCCGTGGCGACAACCGGTCTTAAAGTGTCTGTTCGAATTTTATGCCGCCGTTCTTCTTGAGCTCTGTCTTCGCCAATGCAGCACAGGTCGACGCCTTTGGCCGGGAGCTGAGGTCCGATCATGAGGGAGATGTTCCATTTCGTTCCAGCTCTTCCCATGTTGAACCACCAAAGTCGCAGAGCCAGAGGTCGGGAGATATTTTGGTAGTTACGTGAACGAGAAAATCCTCGGGCTGCAGATCTGAGTGTATAATGCCATTTTCGAGAAGGTACACGATAGATTCAGCTATTTGCCAACACCATTTCCTGCGTAGAGGAATGTCCATTGAAGCGTTCTTCTCATTAATATACTTCCGTGGCTTGCTTCATCAAGGAGCAATCCTTGCTAGATGCCAATGATGTCTTGGTATCCCAGATATCTAGGAATAACGGTCAGCATGATAAGCCCGCTATCATGGCGTTTTGAAGGTGAGCAAACTTTACAATCTTTAGATGGTCTCCAAGCTTCCCGAGTATCTGCCGCTCGACGGAGAAGCTGTGTGCAATCTCCGTAACTAGTTTATTTGTAGCGGTGCGTGCTCTTTTCCCAGACCTGCACGGCAAACTTTCCCTTTGCAACTTGCGGTGCTTACATCCTTTGATTCCCAGTGGCCTACGGCTGTTCTGCGGGTGTTTATTCGCTTTTTCCACCCTCTTTTTCATTTCCTCGATAGTCCCTATATGTAGCGGAGAGCCATTTTATAATTCCTAAGAATGAACATTACGTAGAGCGGCGTAGGGAGGGAAACACACACGTACTATAAGCCGGAAAGCCACTGTTGTTAAGTAAGTACTGCGGTAAGTGGCATAAGTATTGTTAGCGTACGCCAGTGATAGCTAGTTTCTGATACAAGGGTCTGGCGTCCTCCGGAGCTGCTGTAAAGTCCTGACCCCTCCATAATCATAATGATTGGCTCTTTCTGAGAAATATATAGACTAACGTCGTTCCAGTGAAGTACAAATTCGTTAAAGCTGTGTAAAATACCGAATTCCTAGCTTGAAGCTAACAACACTTATGCCTCCTACCGTAGTACGGAGTAAACACCGCTGTGAAGGAATGGGTTCTTTGCCCAGACCAGTGCACTTATTTAATAGAGGCAATACCCGCCTAATATGCCAGACTCAGGACACTACATCACCTCCAACTAATAACCCCTTTTGGTCCTGAACAAGACTACGATGACAAGTACTGAACCTGAGCCACAAAATCCCGTGGCGAGGTAGGTGTTGGACTCAGACGCGCTTACCACTGTTGATTGCTACAGAAGGTTGCTTCTCCTCCATCATTTACTATCTCCATGGGCACGCCTACTTGCGTGAAAGCAGAAATGTCACAGACAGAAAGAGAGTGTGTGATGGGCGATCTTTGTACTTGTAAATATCACTCCAAGCGGCAGGACTGGTTCTGCCAGTTATGGGTGCAGCATGTTGAGCACAACTTTAGCAAGATTCCTCGTGTGTTCTACGGTGTAGAGGTGCCTGGAGATGTCTTGGCATTAGCCATTCACACTCTACTTTTATTTAATAGCACTGCGTGCACTCACAACCTTTTTTTTCCACCGCACACTTGTTCTTCATCTTGATAAACTTGTTTCCGGCCAACCTTCGACGTACTTGTTGTTGCGGCTTTGCAAAGACCGCGACAAGCTGTAGCCCTTCTACTTGATCGGCGGCGTTCTTCAGAGGTAAGCTGAGCTCAGCGAATTTCGCTCACCAACCGCTGACATTTCTTTCACCAGCGTGGCGCTATAAGCAGAAGGGTCTTATCTTTGCTCTACTGAACACCCTGTTTTCTTTTGAAACATCATCATCCAGAAAACAGCGACTCGACTCTACAACCTTTTTCATGGCTCAGCTCCTCAAGAAGTATCTTGCTTCGACCTGAAAGTAAGTTTACTATGATTTTCGATCTTCTACTACAACCCTGGTCTTCCACTGACATCTTCATTTCTCAAGCAGCATGGCCCACGCAGATCCGGCGGTGCCGGCTCAGCCTTCGGGCGCCTACCTTGACTATCTCCGAGCTGAGGTCCCTATCAGAAGGGAATTAGCATCTGAGCTTGTGCGAGATGGTAAGCAGAAAATGCGCGATATCTTGGACATCTCAAAGCAACATGGCGATGAGATCTATCGTGATCCCGAATCCCGCCGATTATTTCTTGGGACTCTTTACTACAGTCGACGTGAGCTATCAAAATCACGCAGTCTTCTTTAAGATTGTAACGACCCTATTCGTCGAGCACAGCTACATTATGGTGCCGTGATTTCACCCAGCCTCGTGATGGACTCTACTAGTCGTCCGTGCTCCGATGCAGAATCTCCCAAATCAACAAAAACAGGTGTCCCACATTCTTCTGCCCCAAAAGTTGCCTCCGATGAGGTTAAACAAGCAGAAGGTACCACAGGCACAGCTAAAATTGACCAAAATACAGGTAAGCTGACATACACCTTGCTGCGCCGTTTGTTTCTGACTAGACCGACAGACACAGCCTGTCTTGCATCGCTTGCTTTCGATTTCGGAAGAAAATCAATGACTATCAAGCGGGTTGATGAGATAAAACTCGCCGAGCAGATGACCACAGCGGCGCTTCACGTGCTCAAGCAAGCTGTTTCTGAAGGAACGGCTGATCGAACCACACAAACATAGCAGCTCCTAGGCAAGGACACTCTTCCATAGAAAAGCCTACGGGTAAGACTGCATCTCAGACACAAGTCGGTGAAGTTTCTGTTACGGCACAGTCGCTACCGCTGTTGCCTAGCCGATAGCTAGCAGCCTTGGCACTATCTGTAAATACTTCTTCTCAGTAGCTATCCTCTAGAGTAGCTACATACACTCATGCCACTGATCTTCAACAGCCTTCTATTGTGCTTCCGCCACAGTTTCCTTGCTTGATCTTTCTGATCCCTGTGACTCAGTACCCGCTCATCACGCAGCACCCAGCTCCTCACACAATATTCTTCAGCCACCCAGCTAAGCTATGGCTAATCTAGACGTGCTTCAAGATTGAAAGGTCCTGAAGAAAAGAACGCCGGGAGAGATGCTCTTTGTCGAAAAGGAAGAGCTCCATGACATGAATCAACCACTCGTTGATCATGAGCCGTACCGAGTACTGTCTCTGGATCTTAATGATCCGGATCTAAGGCCTCTGAACGAGCAGATGATTGATTCTCGAGATCGTGAAACTTCTTCTCATCTTCAGCTGTGAGTTCTTCTGCCGGTGGAGACGGTTCCAAAATTCCCATGTTGTCCAGATTTGGACGTTGTTTTTGAGCCTGGAATTTCTCAGCTCGAGCGAGATAATTGGCCAGATCACCGTAATGAAGGGTGATCACTTCATTCAAGTTGGCATCAGGAAAAGTGGTTGCGAGATTGTTTGCAAAGTCTCGGAGTTGAAAAGTCAGAGATCTAGACTCGAGATTGCCATCATTGTCTCTTATCACATCTTGTTCAACAGCAGCTCTCATCCTCACTGTGTCTTGATTCTGGGATCGTATAAAATCTGGTCGCCAAGCTGCGATCTTATACGCCTTCTTGCTTTCTACCTCAAGACCAATCACAAGCTGAATGTTACCACCAGAGTTGACAATGAGATCCTGAGCTTTCCATCGTAATGATTGAAAGGACTGTGAATATGCTATCTCGATCACAACTCCTGGGTAATAAGAATCTGCGACAGCGAATTGACCATCAGGGGAACGAAATTTGCCTGATCCATAGAGTACAATATCGCGATAACCCAGAGCTTCAATGTCTTGTTATCAAGATGCTTAGTTGTATTCATGAGATTCTTATCAACAGGGTCACTGATTCAATAAAAACCCAGTTGATTGATATCAAAAATACCTCAAACGAACCCACGAAACGGCTTATACAAGGTATTTGTCATCAATCAAATCTATTCTAAAGAGAATCAATGAATAATTTGAATTTTAGATTTTTTGTAAATACTTACCTGAGCTTAGACACATATACCCAAGCCTCAAAATGGGACTCGCGAAGAAATTTCAACGTTTTTGCGTACGTTCCTGGCTGAAGAACAAAGGTAAGGCAGCCTGGACGACCAGCAATCTTCTTGGCGTTAAGACGGGAAAGAAAGTTACGGAGCAATGGGACCGCAATTGTTGTTTCAAAGTCTATGCTGTTGTCGTTGTTGCTATGATCGTCGTAACATGGAGACAGTCTGCTTGGTTCGTGAGATGTCGTTGAAGTCTGAATAGCATTGCCGCCGATGCAGTTGTCAAAATTATTAGTGTCATGCAGCTGCTGAGAATCGGCGCCATATGAACGCTTTGGACTCTTCAGATGCTGAGCAAGCCATTTTTGCAGCTTTCGTTCTCACAGATGATTGACCATTGTTTAGAATTTAACCTACGTCTACTCAGTACTGACTTTATATATACATCCATGATGCAGGAGGTCCGTGTACCTGACTAACTAATGCTTTTTGGAAGGGTCGTCGGGACATCCCGTTAGGCTAGGATCATTTGGGAACATGCCCTCACCTCCAGTACTTGTTGAAGATCCGGAACGAATGGATCGTGCAAGTGGCACATTCAGCGAATCCCCCACCATGGTATAGATCTGATGACCTCAAATTGTCCATGGCCTCCAATATCTTGATCCTTTCGTCTTCGTTTTGTTCCAAGACTAAGCTGTTATGGCGTTGGACAACAGTTCTACAATGAAAGAACTCCTACAGAAGCTTGATAGCGATCGAGAAGCATATCTGACGACTTTAACACAAGCTCATGAGATATTAGCCCGGGCTCTAACAGCATCGAACGTCTCCAGACCCAACTCCCCTCCGGCATTATCTCGCTCTCTGACAGACTCGACCTCACGACTGCAGATACGGAATACGGGATTAACCTCCCTGTTTGATGTTGACAACCCGCACAAAGGTTCGATCTTCACAGGGGAGGAAAGTAGTGACAGCGAAGATGATGAGTCACTATTTGTCCAAGAGACCCTTCCACCAGAGACTTTTTCCGAAGACAAGTTCCGTGGCCATCTCAAACACCACGATTGGGATCAGTGGGCCAGCAAGATGTTGGAGCCGGTTTTGCAGGACAGAGATCTTCTGGAGGCCAGCAACTTGTTTCAAGACGATGGTGTTGCGCAGGACGGGAATGTCTCACAAAGCACGCATGCCACTGTTTACGAGGTTGGAGCAGATGGGGCCGCACTCTTGTACCGTCCAGAATCTAAGGGGCTTTCGCAATCCATATGGCAGAGTATAAACAGCACCAACGCAGATCCCATGAAACATCGTCTTGCTACAGGAAAGATTACGATTGTTAGGGAGCCCTCGCCGTTACTATTTGGTGCTGTTCATCTGACTATGGACCCGCATTTCGACATGGACGAGATTTTCAGACTCTTATCAGATGAATCACCAACACGAGCATATATGAAGGGCTGTTTTGACTCCGAGCCGACGCAGCAGAGATCGTTCGTGTTCTGCTTCAAATACTATACCATAGTCGACGTCGAGCGTGAGCCAATGCCATGGCAAACAAGTGATAAAGATCTACGAAATACCAAGACACATATTCCAATCAGCTCTTGCTCATCAATCGTCGGTCTGTCTCTATCTGGGAAGCCAAGTACCACGCTCAAGAACCGTTCTCGAAGAGCAAAAGCTACCGTTGGCCACGTCTTCGATCCATTCGCGCCATGGCGAGTTTTATCCATCCAATGCTACCCTGATTGGAAGAGCACGGTCGATACTCACGACTCTAACCGTCACTACGTCAATGGTCCGGAGGCCTTCCTGGTAACACTTCTTCAGGAGTACCGCGATGCACAAAAACGCTTTTCAGAGATCGCGCGCCGAGTCACAGATCTGACAACCCCTCCACATGACTTTATGTTCAACCGTGAGACTAGAGATAATCTTCTGTTTGAGGACAACGAATTCACGTACTCAAGACGATATTTTTGGGCCACTCAAACCCTCGCAGTTATGAACGATAATATTCAAGCCATGATAAATGCATATAAGGACACCTTCACTGAAGATGTCTGGACAGGCGAGCACAAATACATATGGCCTGGTAAGAAAGACCAATCCTCTCGGTATGCGAACTGGCGGAAAAGAATGGGGAATCTGCGGAAGCTGTTCGAAGTCGAAATCGAACAATTAGAAAGAATTCTCAACATGAACGCTCAAGAGATCAAGGACCTGAAATCACTCCGAGATCAGCTTTTTAGCGGTACGTCCGTGCGAGAATCGAGAGAAGCTCTTAAGCAAGCCGAAATTACAGTCCAGCAGAACCGGAACATCAAGCTTTTGACGCTTGTGACCATATTCTTTCTCCCATTGACCTTCGTTACTTCTGTATTCGGGATGACAAACCTCCCTTCAGATGAGACCTTTTTACCATTTGGTATTGTCACGGCTGTGATTTGTATACCAACCTACGTATTGATTGGGATATTGAACTCACATACAGGGCAGAGTTCTCTATTAGCGCTCTACTCGAAGATCATGCAAACCAAGTCCAGCGATATGGTCACCACTGCGACCCGTCGTGTTAGAAGCGACATCGGTACCACACCTGCAAATCTACCACCAACGAGCCCAAGACGTCTGTCCCGTTCTCTTGCTACATACGAAGGTCTCGCAACACGATCCGCATATGTCTCCTCACATCCCGCAGTTCTAGAAAGCAAAAATCTCAAGAGAACGTATTCGGAACCACTGCAGCAATCTCCAGACCGAGCAAGTACAGTCAAGTTCAACCTTAGCACGTTTGAAACCAATGCGCCATTGACTGGGAGGAGCACCACGGCGTTGGATCTGGCTGAGTCAGCTCCAAATGCGATACAACAAACGAACCCGGACCCGGGACCACGACCTGACGGTTTACATCGCAGTAGGCCACTGCTTCGAGCTCTATCGGAGAGGTTCGCTTGGAACGAGAAGAAGGAATCGCCGGTGTGATGTTCATCTGCAAGAATCTCCTCTTTGCTCCTGAGGCACACCCGGTATATCTCCACCATCAAGAGACATGGTACCGCTGCCATCACTTCTGGACGCTGCATCCACTTCGAGTTTAAGAGCCCATTCTGCAGGAGCATCAGATCGCAGCAGATCCCTTCGCCCGAAATATCATCACCTGCAACGACAACTAAAAAGTCCATTTCCCCCTTCCTTTAATTAGATACAGCATGAATCTCACGATCTCCATGATTCAGCGGTTCCAGCCCAGGTTTATCTCGGTGCAGCAATGATGGAGGCGTTATTTGTATATCTGCACATCTCGACACCCCCCAGAAAGCGATGCTATCTCGATTTGACTGGGTAGCTAGGTTAGAGTACATCTACATACATATATTGTATACAGCGCAAGCGTGCGATGGCCGCGCAGGTCTCCAAGTTAGAGTTGTCTAGTTAGAGATCATGGAGATATTATCATTGACCGGGTAACTCGGGAACCAGCTTCTTTTCCCTCCTACCGTGTTTGTCTTCTTCTGAACGACCAGTGAGAGCTTGACATCTCGCATCGTGATCTCCGGTCACCCCGGCTTTACGGAAAGGTAGGTAGGTAGGTAATAGGTACTCAGACGTAGCTCTTGATGCAGATGCAGTACTAGGAAGAGAAGACGCTCGATTACTTACACGAACTACGTAGATGCATGCATGCGGTTCAAAGGTATTCACCTTTCTCCGCAGCTTGTAAGATCTGGGATCTGGGATCTAAGATCACAGAACCGTGAACTCGTGTCTGCCTCAGCGGATACAGTGTCTGGGTCTGACATAGGCGTATCTTTAAGCTCAATAATCTGTCCTCATCCTCGTCCTCGTGTCCCGGCGGTATGGTAGATCGAGGAACATTGGCAATCGGGGAATCGTAGAAACTTAGTATGATGGATCCATGAATGGGGCTGATTCAGTGTCGAATATCCTCTCTCGGACGCAGCATTTGGGTTCTTATTTGGTTATCGTTCTTGACTAAAGAGGACTGACAACCTTGGTTTAGGGGGTCCGGTCGGCTGGGCTTTCATTTCCGAGAGGATGTCTTACTCTCATTTCTACGTTGATCTTGATACCTCAGTTTTCCGCACTGTGGGAATGGGTGTATATGTATAATTCAGATTGGGAATGTGAGAGCAGGGATTTAGAAGACTGTATTTCTGCCATTGAGAACTGTGCGCATTGCCCTGTTGAACTCGTCGGTGTCATCGCCGTGGTGGCCTCCACGAATCAACATATAAACCACCCGACAGTATCCATTTCCGCCCTTTTTGCAGTAGAGGAATTGATGCCCCAACCAACGACAATCATAATCAGAGTAATCGATCACCCCATGACGATTTTGCCATCACCGGTCCTCCTGAAGATGCGTTGGAAAGTATCTGACCACCAGGCTACCTCTTTATTTGCCGTCGTCGTTGAAGCCGACATTGTACGGAGGCCGGTGGTACTGACTGGAGTATGCAGGGGGATGTTAGAATTGAAAATGGTACTGGTGCCAGCGTTGTGAGTGGTTGTCTTGTCTGGTGCTTGCTCAGCGGCGCGAGAAGCGAAGCGAGAAGCCATCTGAGAAATCGAAAGTAGGTTCTCAGGCGTCCTGTATGTCTGGTTGGGAATGGTTATGCTTTCCAAGCTGGAATTCAGTTTCTGGGGTGTGCTGATAGGCTCGTCTTCCTGTTGAAGAATGATCTGGCCGTGCGGTTAGCCTTAGTGATGCATGACATGGAGCAGCGGGCTGTTATACCGTTTTCTCATACCGGGGGAAATCCAATTGCATGCGGATGAACAGCAGGCACATGGTCGTTCCTAATCTAGGGCGAGAAATCAGCAAGATGAGCAACAGTCTAGGTAAGATTTTGGCAGACTGAGACAGACTAAGGTAAGAAACATACAATCTCTCTGTGGTTTGCTGGCATTGCCGAGTCCAAGCCGCGGGTGGCTCCCCATCCGTGAAATTCGAGTCGCCCCAGACAGCACCTCCCCAGACATGGATAAATCGATGCACGAGCATCTCAGTGGAAGGCCCCGAGTCCGTCCCACTGGCCTTCACCTCAAGATTGTTACGTAAAAGGAAATTGTGGACGAGTGCTAGGAAATCCACATGTCTGGACGACTTGATTTCCAAGTTCTCCAAGAGCTGAGTGTAAGAATCATCGAGCTGATAACTTTTAAGATTGCGGGTGGCCAACATGTCAAACAATGCCGATTGCTCCTCTGACAGTATCTCCCACACCGCGGTTTCGTCGAGAGCAGCTAGCATTGTGGTAGTGGATAGAATAGGATTGACTGAAGACTCAGAGTAGCATAAGATGGTGATCTGTACAGTCGAAAGTGTCTCTCTACACTTGGTACTGTGGTTCTCGTGGTGTGTAGTAATGTGCTGTTGGTTGATGATATTAGTATGATAATCCAGTGGCGATGCTGCCGTGTTGGTGCACAACATGAAATACAAGGTTCGGTGAGTTTGTGACTTGTGCCGCGTGATTTTGCCACACGGTCCTAAAGTGTTCGACTTTGATTCAGTACCTGAAGCGCATGTCGCGACTTGTGGTTGGTGTTTTTGGACGCCAAAAGAAAGCGCCCTTTTTTTTGGAGTCTGTAGGACGATATCGGTACATGGTTTCAGTGCTTGGAGTGGTAACGATTTGTCCAATGCAAGCACATCAGAAGTAAAATGACTGACACTTTCGTTCCGTGGGGAGGTGAAGCCAACAATGGAACGAGGACAGCGACCCGGGAAAACCAGAATGGGTATGGTACGAAGAACAGGATACAGAAGATGGTATCGAGAAATTTTTGCTTGTCCAGAAGGAGCAATATCAGTGTCTCCGCAAGTACGAAAATGCAAATGTTGGTTGTGATTGCTCGATACTCTTGGGCGAGTATGATCGCCTGATCACTTCTGTGCTGGCAATTTGCCCCTCGGGCGTCCACTGAGATGGTACTTGGCTTGCTGGATGGAAAGGTGCAGCGCTGGGAGCCGATGATGGTTTCGTGTCACAAGAGGCCTCTGGAGAATGCTGGGATAGTCAGTCTCGTAGTTAGTGGAAGTCAAAGAGAGCCGCCAACCTTGCGGGATTTCTTTTGTAAGCGTGCCATTGCTTTCTGCCATCTATTCATTCTCGTACTTGCTCCAAGTAAGCCAAAGTCATCAAGGCTTGCGGATCGTTCTTTACGAAAGGATTGCAACAAATGCACAGCTGTCTTGCTTGTGAAGGCACGGCGACTGCGAACACAAACAGGTAAAGAATATATATAACACGTCATCATGTGAGTACAAACGTGGCTGTGGGGCTTTGGATTTCGGACGATAGTGGCATAAAAGGAAAGGAATGCAACCTTGGAGGAGATGGTACATTTAAAAAGGAAGAACGAACAAGAGAACATAAAACTTTGCAGAAAGCAGTGTGAACAGACACAGATGAAATGGCATGACAAGCTAAAGAGAGCGCAGCGATGATCCTTGGTTTCGAGTTCTTGTGTATAAGTGCGCGGTTCTTACAGAGGTATAGCAGTATGGCATATCCAGTGTCATTGGTGAACCACTAGTGCTACGGTGACTTCGTTCTTTTCTAGGAGGATCGTTGACAGCTTCCATTCGAATCTAGTGGTCTTTTGTTTCGGTCAATTACTTCGTCCGAGCTCTTCCTCTGCCGAATTTTGGCCCACGCTGTACACGGATGAGGACTTCACCTGGTAAACTTCGTATAGAGCCCAGTAGCCCTTCGGGACGACAGCAAATCAAGATAGAATTACGGCTGATTGATGCAGTGGAGTATTCAACAACGTTCGTATAAGCTAGCAAAACCATCGCAGCTGCCTCCTTGTGTTCATTCGGGCCATCATTGTTGCAACGAGCTCCCTCAAACAATAGACATCGCCATGCTGGTGCAGCTCCATCTTCTCGATAAGGTACGATGACATCTGGAAATCGCTGTTGAGTGGCGTCAAAAATCGACGTACAACCTGGCTTATTCAGGACTAGTGGAGCGAGTCAAGAAGTCATGGTGGTTGGTTTATGGTCGAATTGCTGGTCGCCGTTTGTTTTTCGCGGAGACCCATAGGCCGATAGCAACTCGCGTTGTCAAAATCAGCGGGACCAGTGCTGGACGCAGCTTGCCAAAGGATGATTGCACTGTCATCTCGGAAAAGAAGGAACCCCCTGCGTCTTACCACAGGATACAGGTTGCTGCTACTAAAAGTAGCTTGTGCAGCAATCGCAGACAAGCTCCTAGGGATCCAGCATGAGTCTCGGAGCAGCCAACAAACTGTCCCGCAGCGAGCTGTACATGCATAAAGCATGCTGTGAGGTTGCCATTGCAAATTAATATGACGTGAGAAGGTCCTGGTCCCGTCCTCAACGCGGTCAATCAGCTCGGCTATTTAAATTAACTTTAGCGCCAGTATCGGCTAAATGTCGCTTGTTTTCCAGCTTTTATCTTTTGTCCTGGCCCCAAGTGCCTCTCCCAAGTTTGAGGTGAGCAGGATTCACAGACATTCCCATAACGTAAGCACAAAATTAGCTATCCCTCCCCCAATTTGGAAAAGCGAAAACTTCTGGCGGCACCTCGTAATTGAAAAGGGGAATGAGCAGTCAATGTGATCTCCAGGACACTCTTTCCTTGAGCACATTCGGAGTCACAAAGCATGGCAAGGGAAATGGAATAGCAGGAAGACCGCTCGACTGGTTGCCGGAGCTCTGTCTATCATCCGAAATGATACTTGCATGTTTTTCTGCCTCCGACGTGCTGACATTTGCCAGTTGGTAGGAGAACGACAGGTGTACGTACTTCCAGAACAGTAATCCAGAATATAGACTACATAACTGAAACCCGTCTCAGCCATTACATAAGATATTCGTACAGTCCTCAAAGACCTCCACCAGGTACAAACCCCATATTCTCTCGATTATCATCCGTTAATCTCCCCCACTCTAACAATACCCTGAAGAAATACACCTCCATATCTTCTTTCCTCAGCACTTTTCCTGCCCATTCCCTCCCTTGCTCGGCTATCCTCTCCCCTTCCTTCAAATGCGGCTTCATCTCCGCCTTCTTCCCATTCGGCAGTGTTCCGTTGACGCCTGCGAAATATGCCAATGTACTCCACACCGCATGGAGACGCATATCCTGTGGCACAAAATGGTGCCAAGCCGTCAGGCGGTCATCGTACCACTCACGGAACAAGGCAGTCTTGAAGGGCAGGCTGTGCGACTGAAGGAAGGCGAGAAAACGACCTGAGAACCCTGCTCCGTCTAGATCGAAGAGATAGCGGTATTGCCAGTGGGATTGAAAGTCTGTGGGATGGACGAGGGCGAACTCGGCTTCTTGATCAGTGCAGTCGTGGAGGCCGATGCCGCCACAGCGGGCGATTTTGTCGACGATGGCGATGTCGGTTGAAAGATTGAGGGATTGAATAGAGTTACCAGGGATGGTGATGTATTTGTATCGATTCTCTGGTAGCGACTCATCCTTGAGCAAAAGTGTGGCAGTGTCATGGGCAGACGAAGTCAGGTTGTTGGCCATGTGGACCAAGCGCTGGCGAGTCATACCCCGCCATGTATGATCACCAGAAGAGACACCTTCAGATGTTGATCCACGCCAGAACAGGGTGTTCTGCTTAGCCTCGAAAGGAGGGTCTGGATGGCCCGGGTTGTAGCTCTCGATTTCCGGATCGCCAGTTGGGTCTGTGGGAGCGTAGACTACTTTATCCATGTAATTCCAAGCTGAAGGGTAGAGGATGTCATTGAATCCATGAGGTTTTGATTGCGAGAAAATCGGAACCAATGCGTGTGAGTCTTGAAATGCTGCAGGTGAGAGGTAGAAGCCGTGAAGATATGCCATGTCCGGCTGATGGCAAATATCAGCAGACAATGTCCAATTGGAGAGAAACTGGCCCATGGAGTGAGGTGACATGCAAGACACACAGAGGTGGGAGTGTGAATACAGGTCTCGGAGACGGCGTGCAGGTGATGATGAAGGGCAGCTAATGGACCCGAAGTCTAGGAATGTGTTTTGAAATGCCATATCTTGAAGCACCACTTGGCCGTGTCCCTCTTCAATAGACTCCCAGTCATCAGCTCGATCCGCCGACCATGGCTGCTTCCCAGAACGGTCTTCCACGGCACGTGCCAAGTCCCTAAGATGCCCAATTTCGTCATGTGGGACAGCCACCCGAGCTTCATCGTTGAGATTAAAGGCAAGGTCCATGTCAGGTAGGTGAATAGCAAACTTGTTGATCATCGCAGCCACGCCGTCCAACATCCAACGATGGGTCCCGGGGACATTGTCAAACACAGAGGCACTACCTGCACGAATTTTGATGCCTCCAACATCATTTTCGGGAGTCAGTATTAAGGCCTGCGTTGACTGTCGAAGTTGTTCCGGCGTTATCGACCAGAAGGGAAGCATGTCGTTGTATATTTGGTCGTATTGATCCATAATGACTGAATTGCGTGTCATAGCGTACCCATACCAAGCGCTGAAGCCAGGCGGAGGCGTCATACGATAACGTCTTCTATATTGAGCTACTGCTTCCTCGAGATTGTAGCTCTGAGTGGCATAAGACACGTAGTGTTCGTGTTGAGATTTTGCTCTGAATATGAGCATGTCGATCGGGTGGTAGTATGCAGTATTTGGGCGTGAGATGACCGGATACAATATGATGAAAAAAGCGAATAATGTTATGATACATGTGGTAGCGTTCAAGGATCGTAAAAACGCGGATGAGTGGCGTATGGACTGATAGCACACATTACCCACGAAAACGAGGGGGAAGGACCAGATCGATGCTGTACGGGAGACTGGAGGGAAAGGACGGCGGTGGGACCACAAGAATGAGATCGAGGGGGTCATGACGTATATTGTTGTTAGAGTCAGAGTCACCTCAAGAGCACCTAGGTAGATAATCTGATCGATCAGTAACGGATAGCTCTGGAAGAATCCACTTACACAATGGGCAGAGCATATACAAAGAGTGACCACAAGAAGAAACTGCCACAGAAGAGCGAGAATGTGGTTGAAGTCGAATATCAAGCTGATAGGAACGAGCCAGTCTCGATACACTGGTTTTGCGAGGAATACAATGACACCGACGACAGTCCATATCGCCGACGCTGCCTGGAACAGAAACAGTTAGCACGCAAGGCTAGAGCTACATTGTGGTGGACACGCACCAACAGAATAGAGCCCCATGCCAATGCCGTACTCACTCCAGGCTTCTCATCTCTGCTGGGCTTTCGAAGACACAGCTCGTAAGCAGTGATGGCAAGATGACTGTCCAGTAACGCGGTAATAAATTGCATAAACGGCACAGTCCGGGTTTGCCCAACAACCAGAGGACATATGTACGTTGAGGAAAGACCAGACCAGAGCCCAGAAGCTAAATGGCAGCCTAGGGTTACTAGGAATGTGGGTAAGACATATCGATATCTGAAGCCCAGGCACCAGCGTATGTCGAAGGCAGTTTCATATGGATCCTTATCCAGAGGTTGCCCTTTCCCACGAGACTGTGGTGCTTGGAGCCTGAAGCTGTCGTACAATGAGACAACGAAAGGAACGAGAACCTACACCAGTTCTGAGCGAATTATATGATGGGCTTGATCTGTCATGCCATACCTCAAAGCTGCTGACAGTACATTCCGTGGCTTTTAGTATCCTTCGAAGAAGTTCAATTCGTACCACAAGCGAAACCACAGCTCCAGCCAACAGCGCACGGGATGTTATCCTCTGAAATGATGGGGTAGTGTGACGGAGCTGGCTGTCTTTTGAAATGTCCTCCGCCATCGAAGGTGAGGATAAGTCTTCTAACGGCAGATTCGCATTCTTGTCACGTGACTCCTGGTGGGTTCGAAAGAGACCTGGAAATTGTCGACAGATTCCAATCAACGTCACACCCGTGGCAAAGCACAGAAGCACGATGGCATGAATCGCGCGGTCTATACCTATTAGTCTTTTCCATTGAAATCTGTTTCCATGTCTTCCTACCATATGCGATCGACGTCGAAAATGAATGAGCTAGCAATGACGCACTTGATACAAGCCCCCTGAGGACTCTGTCAGGCCGTGCTGTAAGGAATGAGATGGTAGCTACACTGACCAGTATACTGCCCTATTAGGCTGTGCCATGACCAAGAGGCCCGTGTCGTGCAAAGAATGCAGTCTTCTATGAGGCATACAAAGATGCTCGAAACATATTTATATAGGAGGCAGAAACAGATGGTACAGCAGCCAATCAGCATTTCTTGTATCAGCCGCCATGAAAAAAGGTCTTAAGCGACTCGGTTTCTTGCGTGATCTTGTTGTTTCTCGATCTCCACAACATCACCAAAACTTGCAAATTCGCCTGCTAAGAATGCCAAGCCCAATCAAGCAACTTGAAATTTCCTGCACCCGGAAGGCTAAATGATTAGGTGCACTACTAAGCTTCATGAATGGACTCTGGTACGGAGTATTATCTAGTAGCTCATAAAGCAATATTGACTGTCACTCAATTCGCCTGCATCACCACGTGGATCTGTCAATCAATATGCTGCATGATGTCTTAGTGAGGGGTCTGACACTGCAGCAAGAGGGAAGAGCAATCCTACCCAGACAAACCAAGAGAGCCAAGCGTACACAATTGGACGCATTAGTAGTAATAGTACTCCGTAGTCTAGATGCCGGTGCGCTGCCTCTTCCGGTTTAGCCCCGCCCGATCGGGCAACGCGCCCACTCGCCGCTTGGCCCGGGTATAAAGAGCCCGCTGCTCCTCCATCTCCCTCGCCGTCTCTTCCTTTCTGTCTTCTACTCCATCCTCTTCTCTCGCTTGCCTCCTAGCTGGCCTCTCCTGTTGGCTTCGCTAGGCCGCTGACCGGCCTTCCCTTTCCACCTTCGTGCTCTTATTCGACGCTCCCCCTGCCGGTTGATCCAACTGTTGGCCTAGCTGTCGACGGCGATCTGATATATAGCCCACTTTACCAGAATTGGTGGCTGCCGGTTTATGCGATAGGCCCCATCGGCATCCTGCTCTTGGAATCTCATCTCTTCAGCCACCCCTTGACCAACATCTCCCTTGCCTGAGGCACCGGCATCACCGTAGTAAGATCTGGCGTCGCCGGTCTCTCCTCCTCGATGATCATGACGTGTCAGCCTTCAGAGATCCCGTGTTAGCTGACATGACGCTACAACAAGACTAATAGTGAAAATGTCGCAGTGCTAGCCATGTTACTCAAGCGGCATAGCGGCGACAAAGCAGATTTAAAACATATCTAGTGAGACATGCAAGAGATAAGTAGTGTGCTACATTACCTGAGAATGCCTTTATGTCTAATTAGAAGCCACTTAAATATTAGAGTCTGTCTTAATAGCGAATTTAAATAAGGGCTGCATAAGATCCGGTCTAGCTAAGAATGTAATAAAGCTAATAAGGAAAGCATCTTAATAAACGTCTTAAGATTTATCTTGCTTATTTTCTTTAATTATTAGAATCTAAGTTTTGAATAAATAAGAGCTTATATAAGCGCATAATAAAGCTAATAAGTAAAATGTTACTTGTCACGTTGGAAGCAGGCGACGAGTACGCGAGATCTTCAGCCCATATTGAGTGCTATCCTAAGACTGCAGAGCCGACGAGGATCGCACTGGGGTCGCTACTATATAGCGAGCATCCCCCTTACTAACACGTAGTGCCAATCAATACCCGGCGGCCCTAGCGCTAGCGGCCAACAAGCATGACAGCTGTGACATCACCCCCCCCCTCCAGAAGGCTCGACATGTCCTCATGTCTGATGAGAAAACAACAGCAGAACAGCAGCAGAGCAACAGCACAACAATAGCACAGCACACCGACCTAACATATCCTCCTGCCACATGGTTACCAGTATCTACTGATAGTAAGGCCTATCTCTTCCCACGGCAACCTTCACCCAGTCCTCCAATCTCTGACGCTGTCCTGACACGACAGCATCAACGCCGGCCTCTATGATCGTATCGAAGGGGGCCACAACCGCCACTGATACTATGGGCACCAACGTATCCTGATGTGTGGCGTTCTCAGGCCGGGTGATGGATGGCTCTGCCTTCTTCGCCACCCAGTCCTCCAATCTCTGACGCTGTCCTGACACGACAGCATCAACGCCGGCCTCTATGATCGTATCGAAGGGGGCCACAACTGCCACTGATGCCATGGGCACCGACGTATCCTGACGCATGGCGTTCTTAGGCCAGGTGATGGATGGCTCTGCCTTCTTCGCAGAACGCTTTGACTTTGTAGGCGTAGTCGTAGAAATGGGAGGCGTAGATACAGCATTTAATCATGCCATAGCAAGATTATACTTGGTGTTAGCTAGTTCTTCTTATAACCGTTTACGCTCCTCTCTTAGTATTAGTACTTCTTACTTAAGCTTATTCTTAACAGCCATAATGTCGGCTTGTTTCGCTTCTATAGTGTGCTAGCGTCACATATAGAGTTTCATCATCATTTTTTTTATATATAAGCTTTATTTTATACTTGACTCTATAATTAATCCTGTTAATTATAGTCTTAAGGTTGTTTAAGACAGCCTTATTATTCTTATAATATAGTTCTAGCTTCTTAAACTCCTTTATTTTACTGTATTATACTCTTTACTTAATTAAGGGTTTCCTATTAGCTAGCACACCTTTACCCTTGCTTATAATAGTAGCTTAAGAGGGTTTAATATCAGACCTAGTTAGTATAATAAAGATAAGAGCTATAGTAATTTAAGATTCTTTAATAATAGGGTTAAGATTAAGATTAAGGGCGCTGTTAGCTATAGTGGTAGTCTTTTTAAGGGCGCTAGCGGCTATAACAGTAGCATTATTAGCAGTTAGAAGAGGCATAGCTTTGTGTTCCTTATCTAATACCTTATTAATTATAGTAAAACCTAATATATTAATTAAGGAAATAATATAAAGAGTATAATAAGTAATTATAATAGTAATAAATAAGCTAGTAAATAAGCAGTAACAATAGCAATAGTAAAGAAAACAATATTAATAGAGATAAAAAAGAAGAAGAAGAAGTAAGAGATAAGAAATAAAAAAGATATAAATAAAAGAAGATCTACAGAATAATAAGGAAACACATAGTTAAGTCAGCGATATTTAAGCTAATAATTAGACGAAATATTATAAGACTAATAATATTATAATATATATTATTTTGTTTTCTGAGTTCTTTATATAATTACTTTATTATTGTCTAGATGCTCTAAGAGTAGCTTATCTCTTAAGGCATTATTAAGCTAGTACTAAAGTCGCTTAAGTAGACTAGTTTCTCTGTGGGTATATATTATAATAAGCTTGTAATGCTAGAGAAGCGTTTTATAGGTTGCTAGCAAGGTACTATATATCGTCAGAGTCTTATCCTTACTATTATATTTTGTACTCTAGTTGACCTTTACTAATTCTTAATAATAAAATCTTCTTAATCTCTTACTTAAGATCTCTGTTAACTTCAACTATAGAAGGCAAAGTAAGAACCTAGCTAGAGAGAGGATTATTATTTGCCTTACGTAGCTAATCTGTATATAATAATAGTAAGATATAATAAGAGGACAGAAGCTCTAGCTTATAAGAGTAGCCCACTATTTCTAAAATACAGAAGAAGCTTATAACAGAATAGTCTAGCTTATTAAAGAGTCTATCTATTCTTTATAACTTCTTAGTAATAAATATGAAGTCTCTTAAACAAAAATCAGGTAAGTAACATTTCTTGTTAGCTTAATAAGTATGTTAAGCCTAAGCTAAGATCATATTTATTCTAGCCTAGCTTACTATCTTATTAATATAATATAAGTGCTTCCTTACTTGCTCTTAAGTAACTTTTTTTTATACATTCTGGTGTAAGCCGTTACTTATCTATATCTAGTCGAAATCTAGACAAGGTTCTTAGTTATACTTAATTATATAAGATATTAGTTCTATAAATTTGTGAACTAGAGCTGACCTTATAGCATTTAATACTAGTAAAAGATAAGCTTAATTATCTTAAAAGTAGTTTATAAATAGCTAGAGTCTTATATTAATAATTTAATTAATAATTTCTGTTTAGCTATCTATCTAAGGATATACTAATATTAATAACTTAAGCTTAATATAATAGAGGCAAGATAGCTTATTAAGAAAGATACTAATAGATTATAATCCTTTATTATTAGTAATAGTCTTTAAGTATCCTTTAAATCACTATATATATTTATAAAAGAGGTTAATTATAGTAGCTATAATAATAATCTTTTTTATTAGTAAGCAAATATATTTCTTACTTAAGCAATTTATTATTATAAAGATAATATTATAACTATTACTAATAGTACTAAGCATATAGAAATCTATTAAGAGCGGGGTTAGCTATAATAGTTATAATAATTATTTTCTTTATTAATAAGCAAATATATTTCTTACTTAATTAATTTATTATTATAAAGATAATATTATATTTATTACTAATAGTATTAGATATAACATGATTTATAATCATCCTGCGTATATAATCGTCCCGTGTATCTTTCTCTTACATCACAACCTTCTGACTATTATACACAGCCACAACATCAGAAAATCATTCATTCTCTATGTCACTATCTTCCTTAGATGTCTCTTTAACCTCCTGACAGATTCGTACATTGTGGTTAGGCTTGCCGCATCTTCTACATTACTGTAAGCCCGATAACTTAGCCTGTATAACATCTCCTTCTACTGATCTTCTACTTAATCACTGTTATATAGTTGCTCTCTACTTAATTAAACTACCTGTATCCTTTATAGTAAGTGCACCTCTAGCTTATACACGTGTTTTTTTAGTCCTTTAATACTTTGTAAGGGCCTGATTAGCCTTGCAAAGCGTACAGACCTCCTTATACAAAAGGGTCATTTGATGAGCAATCAGCTCTATACTCTTCGCTAATTGCTTAACAGCCAAAAAAACTATACTCTTTACTAATTACTTAACAGCTAAAAAAACACTACTTAGAGAGCTTTCTTAATGTCTAGTAATCTAATTTTATATATGCTCTAATTATAAAATAGCATTATTAAAATTATGTAATATTTAAGAGACTTATAAGTTGACTTAAAAAAGAAGAGGTCTAGTTAGTATTAGTATCTATAACTTAATATTAAGCTTAAATAAGATAGCTTAAAAATTATATAATATAAGGCTAGTACCTTAAAAGCTAGCCTTAATGTTTTTAATTATTATTATATTAAAGTAAGCGGCTTTAAAGGTAATAAGAAACTTAATCTTAGTAATATAATTAATATAAGCTTTAATAAAATCTTTAAGTTTTTTACTATATAATTACTTTAGAATACTAAAATAATTAATATCTAATAATTAAATAAAATAAAATAAATATATAAGAAGATAGAGAATAAAATTAATAATAGTTTTTTAAGACTCTTAAGTAACTTGTTTTTATATATTTTAATATAAGTTATTACTTATTTATATCTAATCAAAATTTAAGTAAGATTCTTAGTTATACTTACTTATATAAGATATAAGTCTTATAAATTTGTAGACTAGAGCTAACTCTATAGCATCTAATGCTAGCAAAAGATATGCCTAGTTATTTTAGAAGTAGTTTACAAATAGTTAAAGCCTTATATTAATAATCTAATTAATAATTTTTGTCTAATTATTTGTTTAAGGGTAAGCTAATATTAATAACTGAAGCTTAATATAATAAAGGCAAGATAACTTATTAAGAAATACGCTAATAAATTATAGCCCTTTATTATTAGTAATAGTCTTTAAGCATCTTTTAAATTGCTATATATATCTATAAAAGAGATTAGTTATAGTAGCTATAATAGTAGTCTTCTTTATTAGTAAGTAAATATGTCTTTTGCTTAAGCGATTTACTATTATAAAGATGACATTATAACTATTATTAATAGTATTAAGTATATAGAAATCTATTAAGAGGTTGTCTTATAATTATAAGGGGACAGGTAAAGAGTACAGAAAACTAGGCGTCTTATTATATAGCTTATAGGATTAATAATATTTATAATAGTTAGTAATATAATATATTATATTACTACTTTAATAAGGTTACTAATATAGCCTAATTACTAAAGCATATGGTTTTGCCTAACTTAAGTATATTATAATTATTTATAAATAGATTTAGTAAAGCAAGTATATATATAAGTTATTCTTATCTTTTAATATTATAAGTCTATTATTATATAATAATAAGTTATCTCTTAGTAACTACTTACCTAATTTTATTATAGCTAGCTAACGTACCTTTATTAAGGTTAGGCTCTCTTGTTTCTTTTTAATAATTTCTATTATAATATTAAGGCTCTTAATATTCTTTATAATAGCTACTTTTATCTTTATTAGATCTAATAGTGTCTATTACAAATCCTTTTATAACTTATGCTAAGGACTATATTTTCTATGGCACTAACTATAGCTTATAGAGCTTATCTTAGACCTAGCTCCCTACCGCTATTCTAGCTATTACTGATAACAGGTATCTATAATTGTCTGTATCTGCTTAGTGAGATAAGGGGCATAGACATATATATAGAGCGTTATATTCCTACTTTTGTTTCCTTTTCTTCATGCTTCGTCTTATATATTAGGCCTAATTATAGCTCTCCTGACATTATAAAGCGTCCTACTTATTTTTATCTTCTGATCCTTAAGTCTGCCTTAACTTATTTTCCCTTATTATTATTCCTTATTGCTTAGTCTAGGCAGTAAAAGAACTACTGCCTCTCCTTCTTTCATCCTGTTCTATATCTCTTCCTCCTTAGAAGAGTCTGAGATCTCTTTTAAGTCCTTTTTATCTATAGAAGCTATAACTAACACCCGGATACATCTTAATAACGACATAGTTAACTTATAAGAACTCTCTTGCATATTTATCCCTATGTATAGTCTGGCTCTAATTTATACTCTCTAGCCCTTAGTCTGGGCAGTGGAAGAACTACTGCCTCTCCTTCTTTCATCCTGTTCTATAGTTCTGCGTCCCTTCCTCCTTAGAAGAGTCTGAGATCTCTCTTAAGTCCTTTTTATCTACAGAAGCTATAACTAACACCCGGATACATCTTAATAACGACATAGTTAACTTATAAGAACTCTCTTGCATATTTATCCCTATGTATAGTCTGGCTCTAATTTATACTCTCTAGCCCTTTAAGCACCTAGCCTAAGATCTAACTTAAG